CATGTGAATGGTTTTATTTTTTATTGAAAATCTACATTTTAACACTCGAGAGATACGTGTACAGTACTCCATTTTTTAAAGCCAGGTTTAATTGCTTATGATTTGCTGAATGTAATTGCATGAATTGGTAGTTTCGCATGATAGCATGACTATGCATGACTTGAATTTTATGCATCAAACTAACATGATTTATAAAAAAAAATTGATCAGGATTTTAGATGATATTATATTGTCAATTATAAAATGGAATGAAGAATATACTTTACCATATCAATCATATACATTCTTGAAGCAAATGACTTGTTTTAGGAAAAAGGAGATAAATTTCCCTGATCTCTTGGGCACTTTTTTCATTCATAATTGTTTTGCTAGAACTTTGATGCTAGCATATAAATAATAATGATTGTGTTGTATACATTGTTAATGTTTGTTGAGAAAGTCCTGTAAATATTGTCTGTCACAAAGGAACTAGATACACCATGGCACTAGTAGCTGCGTGTTGTAGTTTCATACAACATACCACACTCATAAGAATTCTCTGAATGCCAGATCAAATAAGAATGGAGATTTAAACTATGTGATGACTATTAATAGTAATTCCTGCTTCTTGACGTTTTGAATTTCAAAATTGAAGTTATAAAGTTTATACTTTTATAATTTATAACATATTCTCTGGAATTTGGAATTTGCTAAGAGTACCTATTAACTTAGAACTAACCACTTCTTTCATCATTTCTTTCCCCCATTAGTTTCGATTTGTCAAAATATGAAAATCTGTTCCAAATTTTATAGAATGTTTTAAGGAAATTATTTGTATAAAAGTATCTAAAAAAAGATATACAAAATATCAACATGTATAATCGGCAGACTTTGGTTTTACATGAGTGTTAGATTTTAGCCAATAATAGATCACAAAGTCACATGTTATTTTGAACACCTATCACTCTTGTAGTCAGTAGATTTTCATGCATTTTCTTTCATCCTCCCTTCTTCCCTTTTCCCCCCTTTTTTTCTTGTTCTTATTACCACAATACTATCGATTCCAACATTTTATTAAAATCCATACACCTCATTTCAACTTGTATAACATACCAATTAGAGTGGCGTGAAGTGAATTATATTTTGCCTAAATGAAACATCTTTGATAAGTTTTTCATTAACTTTCAAGTTAGTTTTGCAACTTATTTGGCATCAATATTGCAGATAAATTTGGAATAATTTGTCTCCTTCCCCTGCACTTTGATTTCCTTCCTAATACTCAGGGATGCCAGTTTTCAGGCAATAGCCTGAATTCAGGCCCTGGCAAGTTATTTCCAGACCAAAGTTTAGGCCTTTTTGTGTACAAAATAGCTCATTCTAGGTGATTTTCAGGCCCTCTAATCAATTCTAACTGGCATCCCTGAATACTAAAACATTAGCAATCATAGCACCTCTGATAATAAACATCTTAGAAGCACACATGATCCATCAAATGAATGTTTCATTGCAAACTAACATCCATTTGTGACAAAAGTAACATCTAGTGATTCATATCTAGTATTTTCCTACGTCATTTTAAACCATTTTATTGAGAGCAGAGTTTGATTATTTCATTATAACAATTTGCTCCAAATCCATTCATTTTCTTCCTTCATTTTGGAGTTGTCATGGAGATGCTAAATCTCAATTAATCCCAGATTGTTCTCTCATTTTTTGATCCTTTGCCCTCTTTTCTTTCTCTTCTTTTTATATAGGACCAGGGCAATGTCCTTACTCCTCTCTTAAAGGTATACATCATGCATGCATGCAATCTATTTTAAATGATGATATAATCCTTTTGACATTCAAATAACAGGCACAAATTTGTTCAGATACAATGTACAGTGTTGGTATCTTGTCTCAAATGTTTTTTTTTTCAAGCATGTGTTTCTTTCTGTTTCGAAGATGGACTTTCTTTCTTCTTAATTTCCAGCCTAATCACAACTCTGTGGTTTAGAAATTATAGCCATCATTTCTTAAAGCTAACCTTAACTTTTATTTGTTAAAAAAAATCTTGAATTTCAAACCATGCGATATTGAAACTCTTGATATTCTGTGTGTATTCATGTCAATTAACTCAGTTAAGTGACTATAGTATACTAACATTATTTTCTTTGAGTTGTGATTTGACCGTTTTAGTTACTATTGAAGTGTTACACCTTTATAATTACATTGTGTGTTTTGTCACTTTATTTTAATGTAAGGCTACAGGACTGTCAAATTGTATCATGAGATCACAAACGTGAAGAGATTGTTGAAGAGCTTTTATAGTGTTAATGATATAATAAAGAAAACGGTAGCTTCTTATATACAGTGTGAGTCACAAAAAAGTTTACACCTAGAAAATTGCTAATTATTTAAAAAAATCATCTATGAACAGTAAATTATTATACATCTTAGGAAAGAGTGTTTTATCCCGAATCATTTAGTACCATTTTTGTGTGGTATGTAATCACGCTTGGATGAACAGAAGGCATTGTTTGCGAGAGTGCAAAAATCGACTTGCCCCAAAGTTGCTTATGTGATGTTTAAATAAATCAATTAGGATTTGGGTATTATTTCGGTCTTTGCCGGTCCAAATAACATCCCTAACAAAATTTATCATGCCACACATATCAAATATCAAAGAACATTTTTGCGCGTGCGTGTGTTTGTGTGTGACTTTGCTTCTGCAAAAAAGCATATGCAATGCATTTCATTTGATACATTCAATTCATTCTCCCACTCCGCTAATCCCAACACAATACGTACCGGAGGCATCAGTTTGGCGCAAGTCGATTTTTACACTCTCTAAAAAAATGTCTCCTATTCATCCAAGCGTGATCACATACCACATAAAAATGATACCAAATGATTTGGGATAAAACACACATTCATAAAATGTATAATAATTTACTGTTCATAGATGAGTTTTTAAATAATTAGCAATTTTCTAGGTGTAAACTTTATTTTGACTCACACGGTAGTGCACATCTCTGTCGTATCAGTTATCCATTTACACCTGGGTAGAGAGTGACAAAAGTGGATTAATGTCTTGCCAAAGAAGGTATAGACCTGGGTTTGATTTGTTAACCCAGTGCATCAGTTTAGGGTTAATGTAAGGAAAAGCCTGAAGGTATTATCAGAGAACATATGTACATGTTCAGGTAAACCTAAATAAATTTGTAATCTGTCAGACACATTTCACTTCTGAGTAATTTTAGCTATTTGAAGTTTAAAAATTAGCTCCAGATAGTGTTTGATATTTGAATGTTGAGCATGGTATAAGTTATAGTGCATACAATCATACAATTTCAATTTTAGCATTCGATCCAAGTCTTAGAATATTAGCTAATAGTTAGAAACTAATCCCTGCTAAATGTGACAATAAAGGGAAGTGACTGCTTAGACATTCAAATGAGTATTACTTAGAGCTTATTTAGATGTAATCATTTTGTATTTACATTTCGCATGAGTGAGAGATGTTGACAAATTTGCTTTGCTTAAGGATACGTTAGCAATTTAGTGCTGTTTAAAAGTGAACTTGTGACAAAATTATAGTGCTGCAATGCTAGACATGCCTTTTAAAGCATGACCCCCCAAAATGAACTTAAAAGAGATTCACATTCATTCCAACATACTTCATACAACTACAAACCTATAAACTGACAAAGAACTTTAGATTTTGCACACTTAAGGGATGGTTTTTATACTCACAAATAACAATATATTTATAAGGCAATTGAAATATTGTTCATATACAATAAAGATATGTGTAGGGTCAAGACATAGTTAAGTTTGAATATCAAACCTGACTATATTTTTCCCTTTTTTCCTTGTTTATTATGAATAATTCAGAACTATATATATATATATATATATAATGGCTTTCTTTGTTGTGTTGATTAGATAGACTAGGGAGGGACTTGTTAATTCTGATTTGTATTTCTGCATGTCATTGAAGTTGGATCCCATATTAAAGAGGATTTTTGTTCAATGTTCATGTAATAATTCTAGACATAGCTTAAGTTTATGTGTCCCAACTCTATGAATTGCACCATTAAACTTCGGAAATATCAAACTAACATCGGTTAAAATCTTTAGTTTGGGCTTTGAATCAACTTACAGCATGTCAAATAAAGCAAAAATTTGTACTGAAAATGGGTTTCATATAATAATAATAATAATAATAATAATAATAATCTTTTAAAGTCCACTCCAAATTTTATTAAACCGAAACAGAAATATGAAAAGTGAAGCTCTACTAATATCATCACACATGAGCCCTCTTTATTATTTTTATGATCTAATACTTATACAGATTTGAAAAAAATATTGCTAACAAAAATGTCTTTTAAGATATCTGATTTTATACTAATATGAAAAAAATTCAAAATGCTGTTTGTCTCTGATAATAAGGAACATTAATCTAATATTTCTCTCTTTAATCTATTTCCCCCATTTTTACGCATCATAGTTATATAAATGATGTTTAGTTATAAATTTGTATTTGTTTTGCGTGTATAGTTGGGTGGATGAGTCATATTTATGTACATCTAATTGATTATGTACTGATCATTCTTGATTGTGTTGCATGATACATACATTATTAAAGATATCCTATATACATTTCTATTTTATGATATAAGCTGTTTGGATATATGGTACAACTAGTTACTCTTGATTGATAATTTTCGTGATATATCTTGTTTCTATTACATTTTTGTAATCTTTACTTATGGCATTTATCCTTTTAACATGATGTACAAAATATGTATAGCATTTAAGCTCTAAAGATATAGAAATCAAATACATATTCAATATTATTTAATTATATTTAATTCACAAGTATATAATTTCCAAGAGTATACATTTTGACTTTGCCTTCTATTTATTTTGTATTAATTTACATTTATTATTTTTTGACAGATCTATGTTTTCTTGTTTTGACTTTCAGTTTTTGTTTATTTTCGTTTCATTTTTCCCTTTCGTGCATGAAACAGGTAACCTCCTCCAATCCTGAAATGTCTTTATCTAGACCAGATAAAAAGTCAGAAAAGGTATTTCTTTTGTTTCAAACAGTACATTCTCATCTTGAATACATTTAAACTATTTATTTTTTATTTATATGAAATGTTATACTTTTCATCCATCCAATTTGTCTAAGTAGCTAATCATCATTTAATACGGTATTTCATTTCTATCTATTTGTAGATTAATATTCATTGATTAGAGCAGTATTTTAGATTCTTTTTGAATTCATATTAGTTTATTAGCAACTTTGGAATACATTGAGTGTAGTTCAGGGTCTCACCGCTTATTACATTTCATTATGGTTTATCCAGGATTTCATTCAGGCAATTGAAGTTAAAGTTAGTGTGTAGAATACTGTTCAACACTTTAAATTTAGGTCTGCAATTTTACATACCGGTACATCAGTTTGTAATTAATTGGCATGACATCAAGCGAATTGATTTTGTAGGGCATTGAAAAAGTAACTCATTTTTTTAGAGAATAATTTTCTATGTATGTTTTACAACTGCATTTATGGAAAACATGACATTTCATTCAATGCTTGTCTTGGGAGCTAAAAATGAATTTTTACACATTTTTGTTATATCATTAATAAATTAGCTGACTTGTACCTCTCAAACCAGTACTTAGATGTTCAGTCAGTTACAAACCATGGCAGCTCTAGCAGAGTATTCCAGTGTATGCAAAGTCCTCTAAGATAATATAGGAAAATGATGAACTTAGTTCAGCGTATCTTCGTTATATTTAGATGTCGATCTCTGCTTTGTATTTATCATACTTTCCTGTCAGTCAAGCACCATATTGCAAACATTGGACATGAATGTTTATTATATCTACTAAATTTTTATTAAAGAGGAATATTTCTATCTTTAAGGCCTAATAGTGTGCTTATTGATAAATTTAAATATCATGGTGTATCCATTCAACCACATCTATCTATTGCATCTATAGGCTCATGTACTTAATCTATACCATGGTAGTCAAGATGGTGTATTATTAGAAACGTTTGACTACTTGTGCTAAGTACTCCTGTACTTTTCCTGTACTTTATCTTGAATATCTTCTTTATATTTCATAGATAATTTACAATTCCTTTTTTGTTTCAACTCTTCATTTATGTCTCATATTTTTTCTTGTTTTGGATATATCTTTTTGCTCATCTTTCTGGGTAGGATCTTTCTCCTGCTGATGTGATATTGGCATTGAGTCCACATCGACATAAAACAACGGTACATTCAACGATTCACACTCATTGCATGAACATACTTTAATGTTTTGATTATAATATATAATGCATCTTGGCATACAGAGTACATATATAGCTCACATAATATAGATCATATACACTTATGCGTACAGTGGTTTTTTGTGTTGAAAATCATGCAAAACATGAGGATTTATAATCACATGCTTGGGTTAGTAACCCTACCCCATTCCATATAGCAACTTCCTATTTAGAAAAGGATTGAACATAATAATGCACATAGATATTAACTGTTATGAATGTGTTCGTTTCATTGCATGTAAAGTTTGTTACATCTATATAAAAAAGTAGTCTGTCATTCTGTTGATTAAGAAACTGGAATTATTTTTGAGGTATTATGAATGACATGTGCATTAGCTGCATGCAGCATATGGTAGCAAATACCCCTCCTACTTCCTAAACTAACCCCTCCCCTCCCCCCCCCCCCCCCCCCCCCCCCAAACCCTGGACCCCAACTAGACCAGGCAAAGCCCGTTTACTAGAACTACAGAACAAAAATTGACTACCGGTAAACTAGTTGATACCAGACAAGCTAGGCCTAACTCCATGTAAACTTAAACAAACAACCCCTGACTAAAATGTTTGTACCTGATCAAACCAGACAGTGCAAGGTTAAAACTTTTGTGACAAGACAGACCAACACCAACTCTAGAATGACTTAACCAGATTATACCAGAACCAACCTGGTCAAGAGAGATTCTGAATAATAAGAAAACCAATCAACCTCAATCTGATGGACACCAGATTATACTGTGGAATGTAGCAAACAAGACCAATTCTAACCTGGCTTAACCAGTTTATACCAGCTGGAACCAGACCAGACAAGTCTAAAGTGACCTAACTAACAAATCCAAACCTTTTTTTAAACCTGGCCTAACCATCTTAAAACCACCTTCTGAGAATGGTATTTATTCATTTCATGCTTTTCATCAAAATATACCCTGCTCAATCCAATACCACACAACCCTTTATCCTTAAAACTTATATTTAAAAGGTGTATTAAATGTAAATTTCATTAATAATAATAATAATACAAATATTAAGAGCTACAATTATACTGTTCACATACCAATTCCAGAGGATGCTCATTCTAAGGAGGCTTCAAAGAAGTATTATTACCCTGGCTTTAAGCCCAGCTGCCCCTATATATTCCTACCAGGTACCCATACACTACACCTGGGTGGAGGGTGGCAAATGTAGATTAATTTCAATTAATTACATGGTGGAAACCAAGATATATGTAAAACAGACAAGCAAACATACAATAAACCAAATTTAACTTTAATAGCAAGAACTTCATATTAGAAAAATGCTTGAATTTAAAAAAATTAACACTTTAATTATAGCAAAGGTAGATTAAAAGTGTAAAAATATTACCATACATTTCTTTCCTATGGTTAGTTAGTTCCTTCATGATGCTACAACATGTCGTGCATGTTGAACATTGCTTTAATTATTCTTTCTTTGTTTGATATCCTTTGCTTTTCTCCAGCCCATCATTTAAAAATATATTCATTTTTATTCTTTTTTTCCTTTTTACTTTTGGTTTTGCATGTCAAAGTTATCAGTTTGTTTCAGATCTCAAATATCAGAGAAATAAGGACATTTCCTTGGTTAATGCAAATGACAATATGATACCTTAAAGGTATTACAAAGTTTTGGTATGGGGTCATGAATTTGGTTCAAATTAACAATTTCGGAAGCATATGCGTTCCTACAATATTCATTGATCGTTGTCGCGGTTGAAATCGAGTCTAAAGTTGTGAAATTATAATTAATAAACTCTTTATGTTGTATAGCTCCTTCTCGAGGTCAAGATATCAATTTAGCTATGAAACAATGTTTCTTGACTAAAATCGACCGATTAGCTATTCCCGTTTGGAAATTATGTATCATAACTACATATTCTGAGATTTTCATGGTCGCAGCTACCATTGTACGGCCATAGGCGCTATTTGAAATTTATCAAAATTTACCGGGAGCACCGGTAAATTTTTATATTCAATTTTTCTCGAAAACAGAAGAGTTTTAGGGGCTAATTTTTTTAGTGATTACAATACATCCACAGGGGCATCCAAATATAATAAAATTGTAAAGATTCACTATCCACCCATTTTTCAAAATTTCCCAAAACTTTGTATTACCTTTAAACTTTGATATGAATTATATTTTGATGATTTTCATCTTGGAAATTTGTTCTGTAGAAACATTTCATCAGGACCTCTTGATCCTGGTAAAGATTACATTATGCTTTTTCCCAAATGGAGTATGAATTGGATCAGAAAAATGCATGGTACTAATCGCTCCATAATAAGCAAATTAACATACTTTAATGGAAACTTGTAAAAATGTCTGTTTATTACCTGCACGACTAACTGTTGATTATTATGGTGGAATGATAATGTGTTTGCTGACCATACAAGAAGGTCTTTAACTTTGTGTAAAACGATACGAGTTATGGCCTTTTATAGACCATGTGAAATGCATGGGCATATATAGAAAGTTCTATATATATTTTTTACTTTAGACTTAAAGAACCTTGCATGAAGTAGCCAACAATGCATGTTATTGGGTTTACTATTTCATTGCAATTCATGAAGATGAATATTTCATGACAGCTGCAAAAACATGAAGTAGGGACTTCTAAATCATAAAAGGTATGTTTATTATACCCTGACATTACGGGTATATAAAAATTCCTCATGATAGAGCACACAGAAAAAGAGATCTTAAAAAGTTTGCCTGACTTAAAAGCTTCAAAATTGAGTGACATTTTATAATTCTGGCATTCAACAAACTTGTGTTAAAGTTAAGATGGACATAACATGTGCAATGTCTTCTTCTTTCTCTTATCACACAAAGTTAGTTTAATCTTTCTTTAATAAAAGCAAAAAAAAAGACATCTACTGAATGGGGAAAATGGTGTGTCATGTTCTCTCTGACATGGGTTATACTTTAATATAGTAAGAATATTAGAAGTAGAATGATTCAATATTAGGATGTGCTGCTAATTAATGAGAAGCTGGAGATGTGCTGCAATATACATATATCTGAGTTGTTCTACAGTATTGTTTTTTAACCTCTTTTACAGTACTTTATGAAAATATCAACTTATTGATCATTCATACGCAATGCTTTCATTCAGCATCTGTAATTTACTCTAAGAAATAAAACATATAGCATGTGCATGTACAGCATATATTAAATCTATATTAGTACTGGCATGTACCGGTACTATTGTATCATCCATTGATTTGTTTGTTGGTTGGGGAGCGTATAATGGCAGATATATTTATATAAATGCCAAATTTTGTTATTCTTTCTTATATTTTTATCATATCATCGATCTTGAGCCAGAATGGTGTTAATTCATATACTTTAATACAGAGATAATACCCTTCTGCTTCTGAACAAATGTGATGACGTGTATATATATTGTATGTACAAAGTATGCAATGCCTGTTCATGAAGGTTTTCAAAGAAATTTTCTTACAATCAAAGGTCTTTCTAATTCACACCGATGTGGTGGATCAGAATCAGTGTGTAAAATTAAAGATTTCTTGCTTTTAAATGACTATTTAAAAAAAAAAATCTAGCTATGTGAAGTATAACTTTTTTAGGGAATTTTAAGACGTAAATGTATTTCTTTTTTAAAAGTATCAATTTTAAACGATTGTATTCTCTCTCAACAGAGTGACAATCCCAGCATGCACCTGGTGGTCAAGCAGCCAGTTACGAGGGTCAAATCTTTACCGGATAACTTCCAGTTTGCTCCTGATCAACAGAATCAAACTTCCACCAATGGTAACCTTATTTCCTTCCTCAACTTTTAGTAATACATTGTATTATAAGGTTAATTAGATTTGTTTAGCAGGGTTCTTTTCCTATTCAATAATATTTTGTTCACAATTATATTTACTCATTTCATTAAAATTATATCTTGTCATTTTTCTTTAAACTCAATTTTTTTCCAAAACTATGTTTGTTGTTCTGTTCTAATACATGTATATCCCACCTTTTATTCTTTCTTTCTCTCTTTCTGTCTTGATCTCTTTCTCACTGCATCTCTCTCTCTCTCTCTCTCTGTCTTTCCTTGTCTTTTCTCTATCTATTTCTGTATTGCCTTTCTCATTCTCTACCTCCCATTTCTTTATCTCTATCCCTCTCTTTCTCTCTCTCTCTCTCTCTCCCTCCCACACTCACTTGCGCTTCTAGTTTTCAGTTCGTCCCCTAGTCATTTACTCTTTTTATATGTGTGTTTTTATATTTAAAATATACTTAAAACATTATTTATAATATGCCTAGTATCTTTTGTGAATATATTCTGGGTCAATCAACTCAAAATATTCTTGATGGTCTTTAGGTGTGGATGACAATTACAATGAGAAGAGTGATGGAGACCAAAACCTGCCAGTACCCCAAATGTACCTGAAACCCGGGGAGAAGAGCATTGCTGGGCAGCAATCCTCATCAGCTGATAGCATATCAGCTCCAGAGGGCCCTAGGGATACCTCTAGTCTGGGCCTCAGCAAGTCATCACTTAGCCCTGGTGGTGGTGGTGGTGGTGGTGGTCTCGGGTGTGGTCTGATGGTGCCTGGTCGGGATAGCGAGAGAGAAGGAAGCCCAAACCCACAAAGGAAGTTTGCAGCACGCCAGCTCAACCCTGTGGACAACAACCCAGGAGGTGACTTGGGCGCCAGTGGTTATGATGCTGTACCAGCAGGGGTAGCAGGGTGTGGGGAGGAGGTACCCTTGCAGGAATGGAGGGTACCGCCTGTAATGATATCATCAACATCCAGTGAGGACGACTCTCAGAGGAAAGGTGCCAAGGCTCTACCAGAAAGTCCCATGAAAAAAGGGGCGAGGAACAGGGCGTCGCCTGGTCGTAAAACCTCCCCAAAGAAAGTGAATCGTAACGGATCAAAGGGTAACACCAGCAAAGAGGTTAAGAATAGATCAGACTCATTGCTGAGTGTCGAGTCCGGATGTTCAAGTGATAACGAATCGTTACTCAGTTCACCTCAAATTAGGCAACGTAAATCTCGACGAAAGAATGCTCCTGCGTCAAACTCATCCTCATGCTCAAACAGTCCCAAATCTCGGCGTAGTCTCGGCGGTGCAAGCAACGAGGAGAGCGGGCTGAGGACTCCATCACCGTTGGTTGGAAAGGGGCACAGCAACCCGTTACTATGGGAACCGAATGGACAATCAAATAATAGCCCAAGATTGGGAAACGGGACACAGAATGGTAGATCGACACCACCCGCTGTTAATGTAGAATCAACGCAAGACAAATCTCAGAATAACAATGATCACCGTGTATGACAAATGATTTGCTTTAGCCATATACATGTATAATTCTCATTATTGCTCATTTTCAATAAGTTGAGAAAATTCAATAGACTTATCACTTGTGCTCTTCAGTTGACCATGTTTTTAATATGTAACATGTGCTATAAGTGTGTGACTTTGTTAGCAAAAAAGAAGATAAAGAAAATATGACTAGCTAATGTTTTCGAGATTGTGAACGTGAGGCCTAATTTTTATCATGAGTTCCATTATTTTTTGATATATTTCACTTAATCATTTTGTTTTATATGTCTGCTGGTGGTATCATATATAGGGAGAAGGGGCAAAGGAAAAATACATCATATTTTTGCAATGTTCTTATTCTAGAGATGTTCACCAAGCAATGAATTTCACCAAAGTATTTTACACTTATGTTATTAATTGTTACATTGTTTTTGAGTCAAGTGCTTCGATCATATCAGTTGAAGGATAAAAACCTGTTTGCTTTGAAGGAACAGAGAAATATTGTACATTGTTATGTGATACAGCTGAAGTAATGCTATGTCATACATGTATAGATTTAAAACACTAGTGTAGTACTTCTAAAGAAGACTACAAGGAGAAATTTGGTGTGTTGATTGAAACATGCACTCTGTGATCACAGTCTAAAGATGAGATGGCAATCGTCATTACTGGACATGTGATTAGTACAACTATGAAGGTCACTCTATTTTTCTGTTCACTCATATCATATTACTTCTTTCACATGAATGATATCTCTGCACAACATGCTGTTTTGATGAATTTTTAGCAATTACAAGTGAAGTTGAAGTGGAAAATCCACTATTTTAGGGTTCTTAACCTACAAACAACGAAGATGGAATTTGTCTAAGAACAATATAGAACCGTGTTACCTTCTAGTTCTATTACATGTAGTGCAGTGCTTCAAGTGCTTTCACTTTTTTCAAAGAAGGGGAAACTATCTTTTGTTTATCACAACTCAGCACTTACAACTCAATGGTAACAACTCAGTGAATTCCCACCTAAAGTTGATTACATTTGTCATGAATTGGTTTTATTAGTTATTATGCAAAGAAGCAAAGCTAGTGGGAGGATATGAAGCAATAAGGTCTTGTCAAACAAGATATCCTGACTTTTATATGTGTATACTGCTTGTGTATTAGTGTTTCAAACTTATCAATGTTTCAAACTTATTAATGTATAATCAATGTAGGAGTTTAAGTGGCTTTGGTAAAGATGGAAAAAGGCAATGAAAAAAATAAGCATGCTGCTTTTTGTATATGTAAGATTGTAATTATAATTCTGAAAGATTGGCGGATTTTTCTTGTACATTTGAATGAAGTATGTGTATGAAATGAAATCAAGACGAAGAAGTGGCCTGGTGCTACCGTTCCTATTTATCTCGAGAATATTTATTGATGATATTGTAATTATTTTTTATCTTGTTGTCAAATCAGAATTAACTTATTAAATCAGAAAAATATGAAATGTGAGTTCAGACTTTTATGACTTTTTTCATTATCTCTGTTCAATAAATAAAATAGATAAATAACTTAAAGATGGTTAATGGCTATACTACTTAAAAAAGTCATTGCTGCATTCATAATTAAGATTCATTACTGTTGATCATTTTGGGGGTATTCTGTTTATGTGCACTCATTTTATAAGACATCATAGCTTAATTTACAGTAGGCGCTATCATATCAACCTTTTCATGCTTATATTGTTATCATAGAACTTCTAATCTGTCTATATATTCTTCAAAATCATTTTTTTTTCTTTCTCATAAATTCTCACAGGCTTCTGCAAGAGGCTTATTAAAATTGACTAGTGACATACATGTTTGCCTCTACATAATTTAAGCATGTAGATAATGTATCAGAAAGTAGAAGTGCAACCTTATCCACCAGACTTTGAACGGCTGGCTGGGCCAGGGAAAATATTTTTGTGCTAGATAGGATTTCACTATCAAATCACCAATTGCACTTGACTGAATGAAAAGTTATTAAAGTACTGTGTTAGTACTGTATAAGCCATATATTTTTGTCATCTTTTTATTCAAAACAAGGACAAAGACATTTTGTGAGTTGTTTTTTTAGTGATAATTAACATACCGGTAGGCCATTTACAATACCTTGGCTTAAGTATTGTCAGCTCGTTTTCCTTTGTTAAAATTCTTGAAAATTACAAAAACAAAACCCACACAGAAATAAGAGCTTATACAGCATAGGTACTACAATTATATAATTGCCATTTTGCTCATTTTCTAGGGATTAGATGAACAAGCAAATAAATAACTTAAAAGTACAGGCAATTCTGCACTTACAAATTATACACCTACTATATGTGCATGTATTTGTACTAATTATGAAAATGAAAATAATTATATTAGACTGTCGCCTATAATTCATTTTACAAGTGAATAATGTTGCCTTACCAGGAAGATGTCAATTTTGTGCTTGTGTATGTAGTGGCAAGGATGGTCGTGACGCAGACTGTTTAATTAGAAGATTATCTGTAATTCAGTATGTCACTTTAATTTGTATTATTTAACCAAACTTTAATCAAGCATTCTGTTACAGCTTCTTTTGTTATATCATGTCTCTTCATTTCTTTTCAATTCACACATGTGCTTTATTACAGCTTTCTATGTATATTGTAGGTGCTTTTTATACCGTTGTTGGATATTTTGTATTAATTGCTCCTCGTAGAATCCAAGAAGTCATGAATATGTTCAGTCCTGTTTGTGTCTTGATTTAGAGTTACTTAAACAGATGACATAATTCACAATTAATTAAGAAGGAATATCTAACCTCCCACCCTTTGATGTATAAACTGCCCTAGCTATAGTTGACATCAATTCTACGTAAAATTCAGCCATTAGGACCGGTCTGAAACATGGCATAATTACAACCACATGGTGTTTTATGAAGAGGATCTATTCTGTTATTCTATTCTTCGATCGTTATGCAACTGTGGCTGCAAACAGTTATACTTTTTTGTCAATTTGCGAACTTTCTTGTTACTGATTCACCCCATTTAATGATACTTTAATAGCAGTATGTAACAGAGAGTCCTAATTGTAATCATGGTTTAGATTATTTGCACAGTAGAAAATTAATTGTCATATCATGAAAATAACAATTGCATATTTTGAATTAAATGCTGATGAGGCAGTCACAAACGTACTTACTTAAAATTGATGCAACTTAAAGCACCTTTAAATTGTATTAATTGATTTTTTTTTAAATAAAGATTTTGAAATGGTGTGTATATAGAGGCCGTTGTCACATATTGTAACAATGTTGATCATTGCAATAGCATTTTAATCGTGGTTGTAATTTTTTTCTTTAGAAATCATGGGTAATATGTTGAAATTAATTGGAACGTCCTGTGATACTCGTTGTAGGCTTTGCAGTTCTTGCTCTGTCAGGTACATTTTTAATTGCCATAGCAGGTATATTGTCAGTTTATGTACGACCCATGCTTTGCTTTGATTATTTAAAAAAAAGGTTTCCGAGGCAATATAAATTTGACCAAATTTAATTTTTCTTTTTATTACTCCTATAGTCAACTTTTGAAAGACTTAATTATTTTTCAATTCGGTGTGATCATCATGAGTTATTACTTTATGTACACATATCCTCAAGATTTATATTTTGGAGAAATTAATAAATTGGCTGTTGTGGGGTCTTGGTGCAAGTGCAATATTTGCAATCAACGTTGGTCTTTCTTTGGCAGGTCAATCCTTTTTGTACAAATAAAAAATTCCCTCTTTTATCTGCTGCAATCGAAATCCAAACGCAAGCTTTATTTGAGCAATTATGTTTCTTTTTCCGACTAAACTACATGTCAAACTGTTAAAGGAATGTTTTTGTCTTTAGGAGTCATATTACATCTCAGTTGTTATGATCATGAACAATCTGCACTTCTCATATCTACTGCAATCCACATGTATGACTCATGATATATTTGTAAGCTATATGCTAAATAAAATTGCATTTTGTGGTGCTGCTGTCTGTGCCATTGTAATGGATGAACACTATTGAACGAAAGTGATTTTTGTTCTTGGTATTAGGAATTTAACCACTAGTCACCAGTTGACTTGGATGAAATTTAAATTCATTACAATTTTAGGATGATTGATGTTGGGGTAGGTTAATTAAGAAACGAGAAATGGAATGAATGAGTATTAAATGAATTTGTTTTTAGATATACAAATAATAATCCTTATTTTTCCATAATTTGTTGAGCATTGCTTGATGCAACAGAAAATTAAAATATCACAAATAAAAATGCCTTTTTACCAATTCTCGATTCACTTTGTCGAGAGGCCATGGTGGTAATCGTGTTTACACAAAATAATAGAAATTCTGTGTATTGCTATATGAACAATACTTATTATGGATGTTTGGAATGAAATTCCTCTATATCAATAATTCTTTCTCTCTACTTTGAAGATTAATGAAAGAATTTGATGGCCTTTTATATTTTTAAAACATATACCGACAGTTTTGCAAATTCATATCACTCAATATATTGACGACTACTAGTATTACATTGTTACCTTTGAGGAATTTGACCAGAATGGTTAAAAATTTAAATGTTCGTGATAGGTTTTCACCTTTGGATTGCTCATCATGAAATTTTATCAAGTTTCAAGTGGAACTGGATGCTGCTCTTGGAATTTATTTTTCTTGAAGCATGTATTTCACTCTAAGAAAAAAGCTGGCTTTACATGTAGGTAGTTGTATTCATCTCAGGCTCAATAAATTTTGGGATAAACTTTGGCAATGCAGTATACTTCGAAATGTGAATGTTCAGATACGACTCGATTCTTCACTTTCATCACATCACTTTTTCATTCTCTTTGGTATTACCCTTGACTAACTTTAGAAAGAAAATACAGGTACATACATGCATCTGCCTTTTTCAACTTTAAAAAAACTTATTTTTCGATCAATTTCTAGCAAGACAAAATAAGATGTAACAAACTGATTGTGTGCACAGAATTCTTATTAGTCATCTTATTGAGAATGTGTTTATGAAGATGATGATCAACTTTGTACATTACATTCATAGCAATCTCTTAATCGGCTGATGGATATCTACATTTTAGTAGATCTAAAATAATGTGTAGTTTTCATCTTCATGCGTATCACCTCCTTTGATATATGTACAATCCTATGACCATGTGTTTGCACCAAATGAATGAAACAATGAATTTCACATTTGTAATGAGTTTAAGTAAAGTAGTGCATTAATTGATACTGATGATGAGCTGAGCTGTAATTTGCCTGGGTTGTAGAAATTTGATGTGTACATGTTTGGTAACATTGAAGGTTAAAAAACGAGACCTTTGAATAAAAAATACCATGAAAGCTTTTTATAATGAAAGTCACAATAGACACAAGTGTGAGTTGACTAGTTTGTTTGGAGCTTATCTACAGTGCCCACTTTTGGAGTATTCGATATGATATATGCATTGTGCTTTTACTGATCAACTTAAAAAATATTAAAAACATTGCTCATCAGGCATTTTTTCTTCAAAAGATGTTCATATACTTGAAGCACAAAAGACATATTTTGACAACAGTCGTGCTACGCTTTTGATGAATTTTGTGCTTTACATATTATGAAATAGGAGCCGATAGATGACACTTTTCTCATCGATATAAATAAGCACATCATTTATCATATTATGCATTTCAAAAATGGGCACTCCGAGTCAGAGTGTGAAAGTGGAAGAGTGATGGGCGTTGATTCTCGTTCTCGCATGTCTTGTTGGTAAACTGCCACGGCCAAAATAAATGGAATGGTTATGGCGCTCTCTACATTTCGGTGTCTTGGAACACAGATAAAGATAAACAAGTAGGCCCATGCTTATTATCATGATTATTGTTTGTTGTTGTTGTTTGTTTGTTTGTTTTTTTTTTTTTTGGGGGGGGGGGCTTAGTGCAAGCTATTTCACGTTTTTTCCCTGCTCATGCCTTCCAATTAAATTTTTTAAAATGTTATTTTGAGGCAATTTACCAAGTAACATGCATGTATGAATGAGGCTTTTATAGGGACGGATGAGAGAAGGAACAGGAGAGGGAATGTGTGGAAAGATAAAGAGCGAGACAAGGGAAGAGATAAGAAAGAACCAAAGATGAAACAAATCTGGGCTGGAACATGTTAAAAGGAATGAGTCACTGGGAGCCTTGAGGTATCTACAGTGTAGGTAGATCTTATCACATTAACATCACATTCATGGTATATTTTGTTCAGTGCCAGAAGGGCGCTAACCAAATGTAAAAGGATGTAAGTCCCTTTGGCTCTGAACAGACTAATTTATCTTTCAACATAGTGCATGGGGTATGCTATGCCCAACAGAATCAGCTAATGTCTTCATCAAATAAAGTGAAGAAAAAAAAGAAGAAAAACAATTTCTATACATTTCATGAGGTTTGAAATCATGTGATTCTCAATAGAAAAAATGTGCCTAGTAAACATCACACACGATCATCTGGGCCCCGCTGCATAAAACTTACCATCAATGGCAACTACCATGGTAACAGGGCTCAACAGCCAAAATCAAGGTTTCCATGGGAGTTACCACTGATGGCAAAGTTACCATCAATGGGTTTTATGCAACGGGGCCCTGAGAAAAGAGCATTATGAAACACAAAAATGATGACACATCAATCTTTTTTTCCAATTATTTTATTCAGACTTCTTAACTAAGAACACAGGTATTTATACAATTAACACTTGGAAAATACAATTTGTTCTTTACAATTCCTATGAAAAATGCAATACTTTATTCAAAACATCAGACCTTCTTTTGTACGGAATTTAATTTTGTTTGTATCTGTTTCATCAATTGATAGCTTTTGGAAACCCCACTGATTTGAAATCTAGCCTTTTTCCCCTAGCTACATGCTTCGAATTTATATGAAAGATATGTTAATCGAAATTGATTTTGAACAAATAAAAAATTGCGTTTCTGGGAGTGAAAGAATTAGCTAATACACTGTTTTTTTTCCTTCAAATAAGGTATTTTTCAAAAATCATTAAATATTAACGTGTCAATTAGAAAATACACAAATTCCATGATTTCAGTTTAAAGGCTGCCTTTTAGAATCAAAGCGGCTCTCTAGTTTAGGACGATGGTCATCAGTTAACAAAAAAATTGTGCATCTTGTTATATACATGTATACACGATAAAGTTGTATTCATAAGTGTTTATTTACTTACGCCTGTACATCCATGTTCAAAACTAGAAAGTATTTAATACAGAGTATGTGCTTTATTTACCACAAAATATATGTACAAACACAAACAGAAATTTCATTGAGAATTGAGTATTAAGCGACTTGTCATGTACACAATTTCATTCCATTTCGTCTCTCATTTTCATTGTAATGTTTCCCATTGGACGAATGCCAATCCTTCCTATACAACGCTGTACAATTCTGAAGTTCAAAAAAGAGTTAGGAGAATCTTTGACAAAAAAGATTACACCTTTCACTTATTTATGATGTGGTGGCTTTAAGGTAAAACAATGCATTGAAAATACACATGGAGCAACTTACACAAACAAGAATCGTAATTATGTAGACTATTATTTTGTCATCACCAAAATGTATCCATGTTTTGTATCATATCTGTTCTTTGTAAACCTTGTCTGAGTCTGTATTTTACATGTGAACAAACCAATTATCCATGTTGAATGACATTGGACAAATAAATACATTGAATTGAATTGATCGAATTGATTATAAAGCATTCAGTATGATGTTTCAGTATTAACATTTTAGTGTTATTATTGGGATTGAAAGTCATTTATGAATGTCTATTTTAGTCTAATCTGGTTAAGAAAGCGATATCAGGGAAATTTCACAAAGTTAATTTCCTTATAATATTCTTTAAGCCAACCACACACTATACGATCTGACTATGATCCGATTTTGAAAGAATTTGCAGTAGCATTTCATATAAACATTCAAACTTCTAAAACCTTAATGATCTATGATCTGAATAGTCTATGATTAATAAGATTTAAATTTAAAAGGATTTCAAGCTTCCTTGGAGGAAAAACTAAATCGGCTCAGAATCGTATTAACATCATACCATCGGTACAAATGTCAATAATTTGAAGCCAATTTGGCTTTTATCCTGACTAGAAGGCTTAAATGCACTAATATTCCAATTGTCAGTTTTTTAATCATTACTTAGACGTAAATCGGGAAGACGATGCTTGGATTCCTTATTTAATATAACTGCCAGCTCTTCGAAAGTCGGATCCAGGAGGATCGTGTGCGGTGGGCTTTAGAAAGTTTGCCATGTATGAAAAATCTCACAATTTTTCCTATAAATCAGGTGCAAGTCCTTCAAAGATTCATGATGGAGGACGTAACAGATTTCTTTGACTTGCAATAAAGATGTTACAAGCTTTTATTTGTATAAATTAGACAATCAATGCCAGTTGAAGCATTTCAAATATTTACCATGGCCATCAGAATTCATCACTCTACACAACATGTGCACCATCTCCATTATCTGGGGAATATTCTAGACATTTAGTAAATATGACGGCTTATGGCTAATTTTCATTTCATTTTTTTATAATTTAGTCCTATTGAACATTTTAGAAATACAACAAATAAATGGTGTTTCTGCCCTTCTGACCCACATACAACAATAATGATTCATTATTATGAAGCCATTTCTAATCATTGAACCATGCAGAACCTTTATTTTCCATGCAAATCTCGACTTGATTACAGTCAGGAAAAAGGATAAAGCAGGGTGGGAATGAACATGCACAAATAAATTTCAACTTTTCTTTCTGGAACAAAAAAACAAGGGGGGGGGGGGTCAGATTAACAAATCATGGTTGTTCTAGTAATTTCATGCAGAACTCTTATTTATACATAATTTGGGGAATTTGGGGAATTTGGGGAATCTAGCAATGCGGAATTGACTGTCGTATCTTCCACTATCTATTTAATATAAAAAGAAACAGGCGGTGGATTTGGTTAATCTCCAGAATCACTCTCACAGCAAATGGCAATGTTCTCAGAATTTAAGCACCGAAATAACTGTTTTGGCCACAGATCATTATTAACAGACCCTTGATAAGCAGGACACAGCAAAAAACTGTCATCATAAACCTTGAAATATATTAACCCAATCCACATGGGAACCAGATGGTCCCTGCATTTAGCCTAAGGGATTTAGAGAATTCAAGAGTCATTGGGTTGAGAGCCTTTATATCCCTTTTCTTAGTACATACCTGTAACTTTGTCCATCAGTGTAGCACAATGTTCCACATGATAGTGCTAGATTTATAAAAATTGATGTCTTCAGCTTTGGTGCGTCGACTCGTAATATGAATACATCATGCATATCCCATACAAGTATCGTCATATCAGGTACTACTCTACAATGATTTTATATGATGTAAGATTGCCCTCATGACAGACATCAATTGTTTATTCATTGCATGTACAACATCCAAGTACATGTAGCATTAAAAGGAAAATATGTGCACAGACCAATCTAAAACTGAAACAACAAAAAACAACTTAAGTATGACTTAAATCAGCAAATCACAATATAAATACTGTCTATATTACCCATATGATATACCTCAATTCATACTGTACCTAAAGTAATGTACACGAGAATATGTTGCATTGAAAAATAAGGATACAAAAAGGGATGGGGATTGGGGGGAGGGGCAAACTAATATACATACTACACATCAGCCATACATAGGAAAGCCTTCTTGGAAGGGAAAAATAAAAATAAAAAATTGGCATAAATATGAAAGATAATTAAGGAATCAAGGTCTATTTACAAATGCTCATCTCACTTGAGAGCCTTCATCTTCTGGATGAAGAACTTCTCCAGGACGTCAGCACACTGGTAGTAAGGTGTGTCCGTTGGGTTGTAGAAGCGACAGTTGTCAAAGACCTTCCCGATGTCGGCAGCAAAGTCGCTCAGTTTGACGTAGTGCTTGTTCTTCAGCCGGTCATCCACCGTCGAGAGATCTGCAATGAAAGGAAATGATATATATTTATAACATCTGTATTCGTACATTTCGGATAGATGGTTACTAAGTAAAATGACATCTAGGCATATTCCAATGAGGAAGTGGAGGAGAAGAAGACATTTTTATTTGATCTATTTAGTTGTTTATTCATTAATCAATTTTTTCCTCCTTTTTTTTTTTAAGTGGGGGGGGGGGGGGGGGGGGGGTTGCTTTTCAGATATATTGCAAGCTTATTTGACATTTGATTCTGGAAACATCTGTTTTCATAAACAAGTTATCAATTAAGCACGGTTCACATTACATATCATGAAAAATATTTAACAAAAACTATAAAATATTTAAAAAAATAAAATAAACGGTTTCAGAAACAAACGATGAACGACAAGGCAAGTTAATAAATTTTAAAAAAACAGATCATCTCGAGAGGAATCTTACCCATTGGGTCTTTGATGACATCATAGTAATCAGCTGCATCCAACTCACTGACTGGTTCTAAGAAAGGCCATGCCATCTTATGACTCTGCAATAGAAAATAGACAATGCCATTCATATAGAACGAGAATTGAAGACAATTAGCATCTCTAAACTGCAAGACACAAAAGAACATGAAAAAAAAGAAAAAAGAAAAGGAAAGACCAAGCAATTTATTAAAGCTAATCAGTAAACTGACCAATAACACAAGAGTACTATAGCTGTGCTCAACACATGCCCTGCAGTATCTGCTGCATTCATGAGTGCTGATGATATCGCTTTCCAGGAAGCAATGAGATCATCTAGCAACTTGCCTAAATACCAATTTCTTGTCCCAAAATGCTCAAAGGAAACATGTCTGAAATATGGTAAACCACCACTAAAAGAAGGATCTTTGGTTATGTGTATATGAATAATTGCAGCTCTATGCAACAAAGGTCCTATGAATATTCTCTTAGGTCTGTCTTATGCTATGGTCACAAAGGTTCGTACGACCGATAATTTTGCATGAATCTCCGTTTTTCCATTGTCTTCCCAAATTTCCATTGTCTGAAAATCGTTCGTACGGCGTTCGTAGCAGTTTGTAATGGCATTTGTGACCGAGGCTTTACAAGATACAAAAGTGTGAAGCGTATTCAACTCTACGACATCATTTTTATTTTAAATGCTGCAGTTTTGCCATGTCAAGTCTGAAATAAGCTAAACCAGGGTTTCCATGAGGGCCTTGAACCCTGATGCCACTCACCTGGAGTTGTCTGAGCATCTTCTTGAGATGATCATAGTCCTTGCTCGTCAAGGTCTTCTGTTTAGCCAGGTTCTGTATGGTGGTAGTCTTACAGCCCGGACAGATGTAGTTCTCAATGCTTTCTGCTTCGTCCTGAGAGATACCCACACAGTGCCCATGGAACCAATCGTTGCATCGGTCACAACCAATGTAGAACCTACAAACAAAAGGGGAAAAAAGAAGAAATGATGGATTCAATAAGATGTCTCTGGGTTAGTATTCTTCTACAGGACCCAAGCAACAACAAAAAATATATGTATCATGACAAAATATGACGATTGTCCAACTATTTCAAAGGAAAGGGGTGGTGAGGAGATGGATCCATGCGCAATACTCATTATTATGTTATTATATCTGTGCAATTATTTTATTAATTTGGTGCTCCTTTTTCCTGCTACTAATTTTCACAGTTTGTTTAAATTAACTTAAAATAATGCTCATGATTTGTATATTTTGAACTGTCTGTACTATACCACGTGTATATATTTGTTCGTTTTTTAATGCCAATAAAGTCTTTGGAATTGAAGGAAAAAAATACTATTACACTGTCAGTGTAAACATCCGTCATTCATGAGTAGCAACTAAAGGTTAGTAAGAATAGTTTGAAGGAATGTCTAGCTCTATCATCCATTAGGAGCCAGGACATTAACTTGCTGTAAGTTGATATGATGTAAAGACATTCCCCTCCTAAGAGATGATACATCTCTATACCTCTGTTACAAAAACATATCATCAGTCAGCACAAGGGCGACTTGACATGAGGAAAGAGCCACTTACTGTGCTTCATCATAGGGTCGTTTGCAGAGGCAGTATAGTTCCTCTTCTGTTTCCTGTTTCTTAGTCTTACATTCATCGCACACATATTCCTTGAGGTCCGCTGCTGTCTTCTCAGAGACCTTGACACAGGTCCCATGGAACCAGTTCTGACACACATCACATCCGATGTAAAACCTGATGAAGAGGAAAACAATCAAGAGTGAAGGACTAATCCTTGTAACGAGGCAACATATGGCTGCCAGGCTGCACCTACATTGCAGGAGAAAGTGCGTAGTCCAGTAGAAGAGCAGGGGGGCGTTTCACAAAACTTGGCATCAGTGACAAATGACAAGTTTTTGTTATAAGCTACTGGAATCCTTGCTTTTGATTGGTTATCAGCAGATTTGTCACTGATTTTTGTCATTTGTCATTGAAAAAAGGCTTTATGAAATGCCTCCCAGGAGTCCCATTAACCTTCCAAGTCTAGAGTTCAAAACCAAGTTATTACACTAGTGCTCCTTGTCAAGGCATTAATCAGCATTACCAAGTCCATTGGGTGGGCCTGACAGCCAGAGGTCCCCCTGGTGGCTTACCTAGAGGCACATCCTTGAAGTTGGATAACATAAACCATCATCATCATCATGTGCTTAGATTTAAATTGTTATAAAAAGTCTTTCTCAATTATAGATTGCCATATGATGCTGAATTCAACAACAACAAAAATAGGGTAAAATTCACTAAAGAATAAAATACATCAGTCAATTAAAGAATCTCTACCCTCAACAATGTACAAGACATTACAGTTGAAGATTAGCTATCATAGTGAGTATTCATCCCATTGATGATACGGTGCCATGGATGGAGAGATTACATATGTTGTGCTACATCAGTAGTTATCCTTGTAGAGAAGCAACCTACCTTGATTCATCATATGGAGTCTTGCATATACAGTAGAGACGCGTATCATCTCCTGCAGGGGCAGCTGGAGTTGGTTGGGTCGCTGCAGGAGCAGCCTCAACATCACCCTCCTGCATCGTCTCTGTGATGAGGCTGGATACATTCTCCTCCTGTTTCGCCTCCCCTGCTGCCCCTGCTGCTGGAGGCTGCGTCTTCTTGGCGGTGGCGGTTGCTCTGGACTTTTTCCTTGCGTTTATCTTCTTCCTGGCCTTCGCCTTAGCAATCTTCTTTCTAGCAGCTGTTGCCGCTGATGTCTTCTTGGCATTGACTGATTTGGATGTGGTGGTGGCGGTGGCGGTGGCGGTGGTGGCGGCCTTTGCCGCTTCGTCTATCTTGACCTTCTTAGGTTTAATCAGACCCTGGGTTTCCTTCTCTCTCCTCTTCTCGGCCCACCTCTCTCTTCGGACCTCATTCTGTAAGAATAAAGAATATTGTTTGCATGATTAAACATATATAAATTTGATAATTGATAATTCCTGGTCATTTCTGACATAGAGTTCTGCATTCTTGTTTTAAGATGTAATATTCTCCTTGAATCTAGGATGACATTCACTTATTTCAAATGTTTGTAAGACCGTCCATACTTTCCTCAGCAATACTAATGATGCTGTCTTGAGTAAACATGAAAGATTCAAATAATCATAAAAAACAGCATATAATTTCCATAGTAATAAAATAACAATTTAAACAACCACTATTTACACAGTATCAAAGTTTCAAATTTTGCATGATTACTAAAATTCAAATAGATGCTGCTTATAAGTATCGGCTTGCATGGTGATGTAGATATCCAGTAGGCTTACGGTTGCACCTTCCTCTCCTCTTTCTCAAATGGTGCAACCGTAAACCTATTGTATAAAATTCTAACGTTTATCAGACTGACAACAATGACAACTAAAAAGTGATTTGATCCTTACATAGACATCCATTTTGAGTCTCCTCTCCAGCTGGTTCCGTTTGAGAAGGATGACTTCTTTGAGCCTAGCTTTATGGTTCTCTAGGATGGCTCTCTTCTTACTACTCTCCTCCCTCTCCTGCCTCAAGGCTTGGTGTTTCCTCTTCCGGCTCTGTCTCTCCTCCTTCTCGATGCGATCCAACATCGATTTCATCACCATCTGACATGATACATTTCTGCAGAGAACGACATAATGTGAAAGCTTGAAAAAACAAGGTACTCTGTGATACATACGAAACTGGCTTATATGAAAATATATCAAAATACAACCAGATGAATTAAAAAAGAGCATCATAATGGATTCAAACTAAATTTCATGCGATCTGCTAAATGCCAGGAGGGCATTTACGTATGGTACGGGTCCCATGAAGCAGGTTTACATTTTCAAACAAAAAATCAGTAGGTATTTCTTGCCTAAAAAAATAATTAAAAATCATTGTATAAGTACTTGAGAAAAATACATCACAATATTTCAAATTTCAAACAACATTCAACATCGAAAATAATATTGCTAGTGACATTCGTTCGTCTCGCAATGTATGGTCAACAAGGGATCAAAAGATCACAACGTTTCGTGCACCGCTGCAACACTTGTCTGTTATTGTTTTAATTATTGATCAAATTATTTGACCGCCGGTCCACCCGTAGAGTAAAAGACGCTTGCTTACAATATATATTTTATCACCTGACAAAGTGTTGCAGCAGCGCACGAAACGACGTGATCTTTTGATCCCTTGTTGACCATACATTGCGAGCCAAATGAATGTCACTACCGAAATTATTTTTGATACTATATCCGCAATGAGTAATATATTCAGCAACATGTAACGTGTTGCAAATTCAAGTGGTAAAATCTTATCTCATCCTTTAGACACTTGTCTATCCGTCTGCTAAGTCATTAATGAAATAGTAAACAATCGAAAGGTAGGTCGTTACCTTTGCATTATTTCCTTCTCCTTTGACTGTTTGTTAAACTGCTCCTGCATTTGTTGTCGCTTCTTTTGCCTGGAAGCAGCTTCTTTACTCTGGAAGAAAGAAAGAAAGATATTCTTTCAGATCAAAGCCCAGGTTCAGTTCTTTACACATTTTCATACGTCCATGCCATGCAAGCAAAATTCAAAACAATAACACTTTATAGCAAGACCTTCTTGTGATTTTGTAATTCACTATAACTACAGTCAAACCCATCTGTTAAGGCTACCCTCAAGGCATACATGAACACAGGCCAATGTAGACACATGGCCTTTCTAGACATGTTCTTCAACTCATGTTTCCTGCTAGAGGGAGGCAATATAGATGACCACTATAGACAGGTGGCCTTTAAATATAGAGGTGGCCACTACATCAGGTTTGACTGTAATTACATATTCACAACAATGCACAGCAAAGACTGAAGCAATTAGAATTTTGAAGAGGGACTTGATGCAGAAGTGCATGTGAAATATCCTTTTTTAAGGATCATTTAAGGGATGCAGTAATACAGAAAAATATTGAAATCTGTCCATCAAGGTCACCCAAGAAAAACTTATAAAGTGGTCACTGTAGACAGGTGGCCTTTTAGACAGGTTCTTCTAGAAGGAGGTATTATATGTGGCCACTATGGAAGGGTGGGATTTATATATAGAGAGGTGGCCAGTAAGACATGTTTGACTGTACTTATTTGTTGAGATCATGATTAAATCTATAACCCCAGTGATCTTGAGCTGTACTACGCCCCTCTGCTTCATCTGGAGGCATAGCACAGCTCCAACACCACCCAGGGCAATAGTTCTGAACATGCCCCTCCAAACAGTCAATAGTTGTATTAAGGTACCTTTACCGCGACCCTGAGATGATCAGGGGTGAACTGTTTATGAGCTTGAATGGCTGCTAACGGTGTTTGACCTTGACCTTGTTTAGCTTTCTGGAGAAGCTCCAGCTGCTGTTTGATTAGATTCACCTGCAAAAAGAGGTCATGAATGAAACACCTTGAGCATCGTATTCAAAGCCTCTTTAGGTAATAACTACGTGCAATAGGCAATTTTTGTAATGTAATCAAATTTAATGCATAAATCTTTGCTTATTGCCTCGTTTCAAACTATTTCATTCACCTCTTACAAATAATTGTATATTAATAGTCAGAATGCCAATTGCATATATTTTGTGTAGCTACATGTAGGTAGGACATGCCATAATGTTTTCCTACCTAGCAACAATTAATCTATGCAATTCACATTCTTACTATTGAAGTACAATTATTCATAACAGTGAATGAAATAATTTATAACATGGTACTTAACAAAGATTTATGCATTCAATTTGATTACATTACGAAAATGTTCTATTACAGCATCAAATCATGACGATAATGCTGTTTTATACTAACACTCTTATACAGCCAATAAAGTCCCTCAACATGAAGATGATCACATGTTTAGCAAAAAAAAAATTGTATTATTTATTCTTTTCTATTTTTCTGGGAGAGGATAGGGGGTGGGGGAGGGGGGAGTGGAGGTATCATTCTTATAGTAGACTGGCTTGACATTTGAGTAGAATTTTCTATTCACATGGCAACTATTCTCACCTGCTGTTGAGGAGTGAGAGCAGATAGAACCTGGCCTCCTCCTCCTCCTCCTACCACCCCGGCGCTACTTGTGGATGCAACCGCTGCTGCTGCTACCTGCACCCCTGGTCTTACCGGGGACACTCCAGATGAAGTCTTCTGTAAGAGCAGGTTATCACCCTGGGTATGGGCTAGGCGGATGGGCTTAGCCTGGGGTTGGCTGGTGTTTAGGGTATGGGATTTGATGGTGATCTGAGGCTGCTGTGGTAGACTGGCAATCTACATGTTGATAGAAAGAAGATAGGAACATTTTATTAGGAGATATTTCTTATATTCAAATACCTAAACCTAACACAAGAGCTCGTATAAATATTACCAGAGCTGGAGTTCAAAACATCTATGATGGATAATTTGTAAAGCTTGAATACCATAGAAAGTTCCATGAAATCATTATATACATGTCTGTTTCCATACTGCTTTGATAACAAATACAATATTGAGTTGAGCTACCTGATATTACAACTGAGAATGTGCAGTTATACCTTTAAAATTACACCTTATTATAATAATAGTCACTTTTGCATAATGCTATATACTTTGTTTCTAAGTGCTGTTCATTGTAATTATTACTACCCCAGTGATTGGATTTGCTAATCCACATTCATTCATTGCAATCATTTGCATTTTTATTATATCTTCTTTGCAAAGACTACTATCATTACCATCACCACCTTACGCCGTGCTTGCACCCCACCATAGCAGAGCTGCCAACCTTGAGCGACCCAAAAAAGGAATCATGGTGGCAAAAAAAAAAGGAATTCATGAAAACGAAACTTACAACCACGTAGGACACACTTCCAATGCAGAAATGTTTATTCATCATGCTGTTTTTTCCATACAAGCAGGTAATTTTGTTGGTGGTTATTTTGGTATTATCGGCATTTCATTTTTTTTGAGAATATTTTTCTCTTCAAGTATGTTTCAAAATAAGTTTTCTATTGAATTTGTGATCAAATCACCATTTTAGGGCAGTTGTTTGACATGCGGTATGTAAAAAAAAAAAAAAAAAAAATTATTAAAAAACATTTTATGAAGAAAAAATGTAATACCGTAATTTGGAGTAAAAAACAGAGTAATTCCGGCAAAAACGGAATGGTTGGCAGCTCTGCCATAGTCATACTGACCTTTGTGATCTGGGGCTGTTGGACAGGTTTCTGAACCACCAGGTTAGCTGGTGCAGTGATGGTAGTTACAGCTGCAGCAGCTGCTGCTGCTTGTTGCTTCTGGCTTTGCTGGGTCTGCTGGACTGCCTGAACAGCAGCTTGGAGATTTACCTGGGGTATGCTTCCTGGAGTAGATCCTGTGAGAGATAACACAGCATACTAGTAGCTAGCTCTACTAAACATTGTATCATGAATAAATTATTTAGGCCCAGTCTCTAAATCAGTAGAATAGCAATATAATTTCAAAAAATGATGACCTACATCATCATGATCATCCTTTAATCTAAATAGTGTAAGAAATTATAAAGCTTTTGACAAAGTTTCCTTTCCTATCACTTAGATCAAAGACTATTTGTTATTCATGAAAAATCTCCTCACCCCCACCCCCCCCCCCCCCCAAAAAAAATAAAAAAATTAAACACCAGTTTTGCACAATATCACTCATCTCTAACTAAAAATTACAAACTAGCTGAATTATATTTCAAAACAGTTATTCAAATTTACCCTTTACAGAAAACTATGAATAGCTATCATTGTTATGCTATATTTCCAACATTACACAAGAGCAGGTAAAATATAATTGAATTCTCCAATCAGACATACCTTGAGCAGCATTGGGTGTCAAGACCAGTCTCTGTAGGACTGCTCCTTGACTGGTCTGAGTCTGAATGAGTTGGGCTGGGATCATCTGGCCTGTTCCTTGGACCTGGACCTGGGCCGGTGTGATGACAAACTTCTGACCACCTACCTGTAGCACCTGGGCTTGGTTGCTAAAGACCTGGGCTTGACCGGTCAACTGGGGCTGACCTGTACCATGGAAAGAGAGGAAAGGTCTTAAGTATGTGGAGGTAATTAACATATTAAAGTGAAAGGAATGAAACTAATTTATTATAAAGATAAGAGAAAAGCTTTTGAATTTAAAAAAACAAACATAAAGGAGTGATAGAATGTATGACAAATTTATATCACTGGACACTGGACAATGCATACACATTTAGAAAATTCATCAAAGACATAGGTTTGAAGGGAGGGGGGTATTTAATTGATCCCTTTCTTAATTTACCGGTACTCGGTGTATATTACGGAGCTATGAATTGAAATAAACTATTTCATCAGAAAGTATACATAACTAATAGTCCAACATGATTCAGCTTTGTGTTATAAATGCAATGTTTTGGTATAGGTCGTTTTACCAGCGTCTAACTGGTGGGCATGATTGTGGATTAATTAAATTAAAATACTCTGACTTTTGCGAGTGAAAGGTATCACCTGACACATGATTTGATTAAATAGAGCAAACTCACCCTGCACTGGAGTAGTGCTTGCAGCAACGGTAGTAGCACCCCCTGTAGTGGAAGGAGTCTGTACCTTCATACCGATAGGCACATTGCCTCCCGGTGTCCCCTGCTGCATCCCGGCGGGTATGATGGTTGTAACCTTGCCTGGAGTACTGGGGCCTATGATGGTGGTGGCTTGCCCACCGGTGCTGCTGCTACTGACACCGGGTAAAGGCATCTGCTTGATGACCTTCAGGGTCCCAGCACCTCCAGCACCGGGGGAGTTGGTGATGACATAGCGGGCCTGGCCTGGGGTTGCGGGGTTGTTAGCTGTGACGATGCGTGCCTGGTGGAGAGAAGTGGGAGAAGAAAGAGATGTATAATTAAAAGGTATGGGGAAAGGGCAAGTTAAAAAGATTAGCTTAGCTGACAGGTGATATTTACTGCTCTGGATAATGTAATAATGCTGATATTACCCTCAAAAATAATAAATCTGGATTAATATAGCGCTTAATACGAAATACGCTCTAAACGCTTTACAGGAAATATGGTTACCATGGCGACATATGAAAATTACTATCCCAAAGGCTTTCATCATCCTACCATGTCCCATTTCTCTCCTGGGTATGGTGTGGCAAATGTAGATTAATGTCTCATCGAAAGACATTAGTGTTATACAAGGGATTATATCAAACCTACATTTCTAGTCACGTGCTTAAGCCACTAGACTATGACCCCTCTAAACCTTGTGCCTGAGAAAGTATCTCAATACTATTCTAACCATTTTGAGTCCACAGTTTTATTTGGGCCTATAAATGCAAGAATTCCAAAACATAACTTGTTTCTTGCCTCTTTACAGATGGGTAACTAAGTCACCTGCAGCACCACTATTCTACTTTTCTCCACTAATAATCTGACCCCCCCCCCCCCACAACAAAATTTGTCAGAGAAATAGCTGCGGAATGGCATGTTTTTGTTCTTGTCACGAAAGGCAAGGGAGTAATAAGTAACTTTGAACCATCTAGACCCTGTTGCACAAAACTTACCATTGATGGTAACTTTGCCATCAATGGTAAATACCATGGAAACCTTGATTTTGATTGGCTGTTGAGCCCTGTTACCATGGTAGTTGCCATTGATGGCAAAGTTACCATCAATGGTAAGTTTTGTGCAATGGGGGCCCTAGTCTATTCATTGATTTCACTTACTTGCTGAGTTCCACCTGGTCCTGAGATGTACTGTATTGTAGTACCAGGGGGTAGACCTTTATTCTTGGTTGCCATTGAAGCCAGATTACTCATAGAGATGGTTGTCTTAGATGCTCCTGGCTTGGCAAGCGTTACAATCACCTTGGCACTGCTGGCTACACCAAGACGCTTCTACAAAAAAGAAAGAGAGGAGGAAAAAAAGTGAGATATTACAGTTTTGTTAGGTATGCTGCTCAAGAAAGTAGATGGCTATTTCTTCATTTGATTTTATTCACAATTTTAGGTTTAAAAATCCTATTGAAAACAAAACAATTTTCATGAAATACCAGGTAGTTAAAAACATAAAATCACAAGTATTTTGAAGATAAAAAGAACATGATAGGTTCTAGGTACTTATTTGCCATAAATATTACTGCATTTCATTTTCACCCCGTTTATCCCACCATTTCTCCATTGAGAGACTACATTATCTGTAGAATCATGAATATCAACATCTCAACTGAAGTCTACTTCCTTCATAAAGAGCCATATCCCATATCATAACAATCATCATCATGTGTTCTTTGTGATCTAACCTGTTGCATCTGTATCCTCTGGAGTCTGAGTTGTTCCTCTAGCTCCTGTTTAACCTGTTCGGCTACGGACTTGGTGCCCTTGAGGGTCGGTATGGCTACCTTGCTACCCCCCTTGGTCGTCACAGCTAGCTTGATAGCTGTCTCATTCTCCTTGTTGTGCGTACTCCTAAGAGCCAACGCTCTGGCTTCCTTTTCCCTGGCTTCTTTCTCCTTGTATTTCTCTCTGGCTTGTTGCTTCAGTTGCCTGCGGGAAACAATAAAACAATGTTTGTCTTAATTTGTTTCATTTCATTTCATTCCAAAGAAAATAAAGGAGCACAAAAAATATCACATAATAAAAAACAACAACAACAAAACAAAGTACAACACCAACAAGTTTTGAAGTACTCCCAGGGAGTGGAGAGTGTGCATACATGTGTGTGGGTAAGCCTGAATCCGATGAACGGGGTAATAATATGATTGCAGGGCCCTCAGGGAGAACAGCATAAATAATGATGAGGCTACCCTGGGTAAACATGACATATTATTATTATTATTATTATTACTTAGTACAGCTTCAGCAATAGCAGATAATGCTAGTTTATTTGTGACGTTTGAGTCTATGTAAGTACACAAATAAGAAATCTTGAAATGCAATGCAACTGGATATACTACAGTGAGTAGATTCAGAATCAGTTTGTAGGCCCTTTGGTGATGTGTAACTACGGTATTGTACTCGACAAAGATTAAGTATTCAGAGATAACAATGTCATTGACCATGTAAAGACTTGCAGGTATCATCTTACCTTTCACAGAACTGCTGGACTTCCCATAGTTCTAGTCCTTCCTCGGGGACCCACACCTCGATGGTCTGTGGACCTTTGGGCTTCTCCGGGACTACTCTACGTGTTGGTGTGACGCTGGATCTTAGACCGGATCGCTGGGGTTTGTGAATCTCTGTCAATCAAAGTTAAATAAAATAAATAAATAATAGTGGGTTCTTGTATAACGCTCATGTCAGTCAGATTTGACCCCCCTGGCGCTCCCGATTATTACCCTGGCTTTAGCACGGCTGCCATACGGCGCTCTAGCATTAATACTTAATTACCCTCAGAATTAATACTAAATTACACTATTAAGGAAAGCATGCATATTGACAGATCTTCCAAGCATTGTAAAATTGAATATATAATGACAAATAAATTAGTTAAAATTACAACTAACACTTTTTATGTACACCTGTTAGTATAAAATTGCATACTAAAACAATTTCATTGTATCTCTGAACAAATACAAACTTGTTTTTTTTCATCTTGCACCCATTAGAGTAAGACAGCTTTGTGTTAACGTTTGTTATATAACAGGTTCTAAAATGTAAGCAATCTAATTGGTCAAATAACACCAAGTGACCGTGCATCAGTCTTTCCTACCACACCTACCGTGCAGAAGTTCCCATCACAAAGTGATAAACACTGGCTGACATACATATCTCTGGCATATACAAAATAGAAGGCGTGATGAAATGCATGTAGTTTCAAATGACAGACATTGCACTTTGGGCTGCGCCACTCTACTGTGATGTCATTCTATTTAAAGCAAAGGGCAGCCCCCAATCACAATGGCTATGCAATTTTTGGAATTTTGATCAGGTTTTTCGCTCATTTCTCTAGTTTATGTTCATGTTAAAGACCCATTTTATAAAACAAATGATTCATGTTTTGGAGCTCTTGTATTAGTAATATGTGCCAATGCTCTTGCAAACATGAATTATTTCTATTTATTATGATGAGTACAAGATGAAGTGTCAGTTTGCATAACTTGTAATTGATTTAGTAGTTCTTAAGGATCTCTTCAACACATTAGACAAGATGTTACTTTCACAGATTTTTCCTTCATTTTGTAAACTTTGTTTCTAGATTAGAAGCCTTAAAGAGATTTTAAGATTGAAATTGGTAAAGGCTGAAAAAAAGTTGAAAAGTGAGGGTTAGTTTACCTGGAGTGGAGATCGAAGTCTCTTTGGGTACAATCGTCTTGCGCACCAAGTACTGAGATTTGACACCACTTGGAGTAACGTCACGGCGATCTATAATCTCTGAAGTGATCCTTTCCCTCTCTGTATTGATGATGGTCACACCATTATTGTTGGGTGGTTTGATGTTGAGGTCGTCCCATCGTATACAAGCCCACAAGGTACGAAGCAGCAGACTCACAGCAGATAGGGATTTTACAGTCTGCAGACGATACCTCCAGCAGATCTTGAAGGATGGACGGGCGCAAGGGTAAGGCCAGAAGTCACCCACATTCTTGGTGTTGGAGATGTAGCCCTCTACTTCGAGGTTACCTCCACGCCTGCTGAGGCGCCTAAGATTGTGCTGAGGCAACACCAAGATGCTTCTCTTCCTGCTTCGAGTGGAGAACATATAGCAGATGGGCAAGGGTTTGGCTAGGCGCTTGATGGAGCGCCTGCCCTTTGGTCCTTTTTCAAGGCGCACAGGATCATTGGTTCTTCGTTGCTTTGGAATGGCAGCTAACTCATCTTTCAGAGCACTCTGTAGCTTGATGATCTCTGCCTGAATCATGGTCTGGGTGACCGAGGTGTCAATCTTACTCACAAGACTCTTTGTTGTTTTGGTTGTTGTGACGGTGTTGCTGGCAAGAAGATCTCTCAATTCACGGCTGATCATAGTAGATGTCGTTGTTGTAGTAGTGGTTTTTGTGACAGTTGTCATGATGGTCTCTGATTTTTCTGTCACAACAACTGAGATGGTGGTTGCAGGAACATCCTGCACATTGTCCATGTCAGCTGCATTGATAACCTTACTTTCAGAAGCTTGGATTTCTTTGGACTGTCTAATTTCAGAAGTCATTTGGACTTTCTTTTCTTCAAATCCAGTTACTTTTAGACTACTCAACATGTTGTCATTTGGCAATACGGTATCTGTCTCCATGGGGCTTTCCACATGTGAATCGTTTAGCTCCGAGTTTCTCTCACTTGATACATTAGTCCTTGTTACACTTGAATCCTGAACTTCCATTGGTTCACTGGTAGTCTCAATCTCTGTTTTGGAGGAAGCCACTTGTGGTGATGTAGCATCAACAGATGTTATTGCAGGAGAACTCACATCTTCAGCTTTCACATCTAATCCCCTGTTTTGTGTTGGTGAGACATCACTTATCGGCTTACCAGAAGCTATGTTTGTACCTTCAACAGATGTTGTCAATGTAACATCAGAATGCTTCTTCACAGGAGGTTCGTCCTGTTGTTTCATGTCACAAGGAACAGCTGCAGGTTCTGTCTTCATTGTGTCCTCTTGTTCCTTGAACTTGGCCACTGCTGGGGGACCTGGAACTGTCTCTGTACCTTCAACAGATTGCTTTGATTCCAACACATTATATTCCTGTACTGGTTTCAAACTCTGTTGTTCTGTATCACTCACAACAGCAGCATTTTCTGTCTTCATCATTTTGTTGTCAGCCGAATCTGGCAATTTGTCAGCGACTGCATTGTCACTCAGAGCACAAGTCAGCTTTTCATCTCCTGTGCTATGCAAGATAGGATCAAGATCTGTATCCATGACATGATCAAGCTTTGGTATTGTTGCTAGCTCCGTCTCTTCAGGTAAACTGCTTGTTAACCTTACATCCACATCATGTTGCTTTACAGTTCTTTCAGAAGGATCATGTGAATGGAAGTACATTTCATCCCCTTTTTGTTCTTCACTGTCCACAATGGCCTTTGCTTCAATGTCTTTTGTGTTTATTATTTCCTGTTGGTCTGCACTAAGTCTAACCTTATCTCCTTGTAATGCAGGCATCACATCTTTCACAATTCCATCAAAATTGTTATGGGCAATGGCTACGTTGGTATTCTCATTGGTCTCATTAGAAAGAGAACTATCAACACAATTCACAAACTCGTGTGTTACAGGCTTTTCACTCTGCTCGGAAGTGTATGTAGTACTTGTGTTTACATCTGCATTTTCAACACATTGCACATTAGAGGTTTCCTGCGATGAAAGTTCTTCACATTTTGGCTCTTGTGGAACTGCATTATGTTCTGAGGAATGGACGAGTCCAGAAGCAGCTATGTTGCTGTTATTGTTTGAAGTAGACAAGTTTGATCCCAGAGAATTTGCATTTTCCTCAACACTTTCACTTCCTGAGCCACCAACGTCACTGGATGATGATGACAACCTTCCAAGCACTTCAGTGTTTGGAAGAGATTGCTTAGTCCTTTCACCATCACAACTTGTTTCCCCTGCTTCTGATTGTGAAAGCCCACTTTCATGATGTTCTGAATCCATGGATACACTATCTCCACTTTCCTTAGACATTGAAGCATCATCCAAGTGATTGTGCTGCATGTTCTCAAAGCTTTGCTTCTCAGGATGCAAAAGATTTTCCTTCGTGGGTTCTTTCTCTTGAGAGGAATGACCCGTTTCCATAGTAGGTGCTACGGACTGGCATAATGCATCTGAGAGTATATCTTCTTGCCTGTCTGCACAGGGTGTTTCAGAGGGTTGCTGATCCATCGGCTCTGGGTCTGTCAAAGAAGCATCAATCTTATTCTGCTGATCTTGACTCGTGTCACTGTCCACAGGCAGTGAAGGTGCCTCTCCAGTTTCACCTTGTGAAAGCTGATCAGAGGATAGGATTGATGTCATAGGTTCCGGTTCTGTGAGAGCAACTTCACTTTTATCTTTCTGACTCATGTCATGTTCTGACTGCAACGGAAGTGCCTCTGAAGATTTAGCTTGCAAGGTATCCTCTGTTATCATGTCAGATTTCATAGGTACGTCGGTTGTAATTTCCAAAGATTTGGCACTGGTCTCCATCATATGTTCTTCTTCCTCAAAATTCTTCCCTGCATTCTCGACTTCCACCGCTTGTGCAAGTGTCTTTGTTTCTCTTTGATCCCCAGTTTGAACATCAAGTGCATTCTGCATTTGATTACTGCCAGGTTGTTCAGCCGATAACTGATCTGATCGTATTTTTACACCCGTATTGGCCAGCATTTCCTTGTAAGCATCTTGATAGGAAGATGGAGCTTTGGCAAGTTGTGTTGAAGTTGGCTTCTGGACATCTGATATACTTTCAGTTTTCAAGTCGGCTTGCTCAGTAGGTTTACTGTTGGTGAGTTTTTCGTCCTTAGCTCCAAATGTTTGTTTAAATAGAGGAATGCGAGCAGAAGGCACTACAGGTTCTATATTAACAGGTTGATCAGTCTTGTCTGTTGCAGTGCGATCCTCTTTGACAGTTTGTCTTGCAATGTCAGCCTGAGCAACAGCTGATGTAGCAGGATGTGCCTCTGCCATAGGTATTTCTACTTTCACTGCAGGTTGATGTGTTGATTGACCTGAAAGTGGTTCTAGTCCTTTCTTAACATTCAACATTTCTGATTGTGCTGAAGCAATTGATGAAGAAGAAGGAACTTCTGATTTGACAGATGCTGGAACAGCTACAGGAGTGGATGTTGGAGCCATCACGGTTGCCATTGCACTTGTTGATGCAACTGCTGGAGAAGGAAGAGGTTCCTTTGCACTTTTCACTTTGGCATCACGAGCTGCTTTATTGGACTGAGAGGGTGGACGATACACCTGAGGTTTCCTTGCTCTCCTAACCTCAAGCTGTTGCTTCATACCTTCTACTACACCCTGCACAGCCTTGATGTCTCCACCAGCGGAAAGCTTTGCCTTGAGGACCTTCAGCATCTTCTCCTTCTCCTCTACCATCTTTTGTTCTTTGGCATACTTCCCAATCTCTGACTGGAACTTGAGTGTCTCCTCAATGTGCTGTTTAGAACGACTCTCTAAAAGTCCTTCAAGTCTGGACTTGTAAGGGATCTTTCGGTAGACAGTGTGATTCCTCAAGGCATTGGAAATGTCTAGCTCATCAATGACAAGGGACGGTTTCTTGGCAACTATTCCAAGAACTTTCCCTCCAACATCCATTGATTCTGCTGCTTTCTTGTCAACATTGCTTTCTGCTGCCTTCTTGTCTTTATCAACCTCACTAGTCCCTAAGCTATCACTGGGAGCTGATTCATCAGTTCTTTGGATCTCACCAGCTGGGTGCAGTTCTTGACCTGTACTCTCCAACCCTTGCCCAGCACTTTCTACCTGACTACTTGGACCAGCAGGAATGTTCCCTGCTGCCTTCTGGTGAGGACCTGTCTCAACATTTCCATCTGTCCTTGATTCACCTTCTCCCGTCCTCTCACTCTGCTCTCCTGCTGAATCTTTAGGACCGTCAACTTCCATTTTCACCTCTTCATCACCTGCCTTGGTTTCAGTTTTCTTTTCGTTCATTTCCATCTGTGTCTCACTTTCTTTCTCATCTTTCTTAGCCTCTTCTACATTATCAGTCTCCATCGAGTCAGGTTTTTTGTTATCCTCCTTGATATCTTGTTCTTCCTCTCTTTTCTGAGTGTCTGCCTCTTCTGTCTCTCTGGGTGACTGCTTGTCCTCCCTGGTGTCCATCTCCTCTTCATTCTTGGAGTCATCAACTGGTGGGTAGCCCCATTTTCCAGCTGAAAAGTGAGAAGAAACATTGCATTAAAAAAAAGTCATGTTCAAAGACAATTTCAAAATTGTTTCTTGTTTCATTATGCCCTAAACTTGGATGTGCATCACTGCATTAGCACTTTGATCACTTATTAGAGTTCAAGCCAGAATTAAACACACTTGCTTATATGCCATCAACATTTCAGACTCAAAACAATTTTACAGAGCTCTAGCAATCAGAAAGGTGGTGCAGATACCATTTATTCAGTTAAATGATCACAAGAATATATCTTTATTGTTGTCCTACTAGTCATGACTGACCCTTTGTGACCCTATTGATGATGACGTTCCAACCACTTCTATATAAATATATACTGATTTAATATATAACATAACACAGGACCTTAACATTTTTGAGATTTCCTTAACTTTCCCTTTTAACTAATTAAAAAGTGATCCATTTAGCAACAACATGCATTAGGGGCTACTGCGGAAAACTTTTTTTCTTCATCTTGAAAGTTGACATAATATTCCAGCTCTTGATGAACACCCTTTTTTCCACTCGAATCAAACAATATGAAGTTAAATCTTTCTATAAGATGACGTGGAGCTTAATCAAATGATTGTTTGAGAGCGTACATGTGACCAGGCGTTTATTTTGCCTAACAAGTAATTTGGATAATGACTAGTCATTATCCAATGGTAATGACCGGTCATTAGTAAAATCATTTTAAATCATCATTTTATAAAACAAAAAAAAACATTATCTTATAAAACAAATAATACATATCATTTTGTTCGGGCATTAGTAAAATTACCCACACACGGTACCTTCAAAACAGTCCAAACAGACTGTTCCAAAGATACCTTGTGTGGGTAATTCTTACTAATGCCCTCACTGCTGTGTATTATTTGTATACTAGTTCTCAGCAGACAAGAACCAGGATGCATAGCCTTGTGATAACTCACCAGCCTTGGCAGCTCTGATGCACCTGTCTAGACCAATCTTAGCCGGACTAGGAGGGGGTAAGGGCCGTCTCTTCCTGATGGTGCTATGCCAACCATAACCACTGCCTCCGTATATGCGATACTCCTCACCTTTCAACTTCCATACCTAAAATCAAAGAATGAAGAATCTTCCTTTTGTAAATTTATACAAGATGAGTCATCACACTGGATAATACTTCCAGCATGATTACAGCATAGAAAAGAACATTCTAAGATAAAAGGGAAAGAAGGAATCCCTTTTAAGCTGCTCATATACACTTTTTGATATAGCTCACCTTTACAAAGCCAGAAAGTCAATCCACTTGCTACCCACTTGTACCTAGTTAGATAATGTACATGAATGATAATTGGGGCAAGTATAAACAGATGATATATTTGCTAGCCTGTATGTACCGGTAGGTTTCCCTGCTGTCAATAAAACAGCTGCACAGAGTCTGGAGGATGTAGACTAATTTAGTTCAGTCTAAAATCACTCTACAAGTCTATATATTAAAATGCTATTCTTGACCAAACACACTTCATTGGAGTGGAGGCCTAGAAAGCAAGGGGGTGGGGGGCTTAGAAGAGGTTATTGCAACTTTTTGCGAGTTCAGTGGTAGTCTCCAAAACAAAGAAACCTTTTTCACATGTTGTATTAGGTGGATTAGAAGGGTAGAAATAAAGGATCTCGTCTAAGTCATTTCCCATCACACATCAGGGTCGTGCTATTGTATTGTCTGTCATACAGTTTGGTTGCTAATCTGAAGGACATGTAAATGCATTTGTTTCTACTATGCTCATTGATCTCACTGTCACCACTCACCTGATGCTTGATGGGGAAGCAGTACTTGACCCAACTGCAGTTGGTTTGAATCTCTTCAATATCATCATCCTTCCTCTTCTTGTCATTCTTCTTCCTCTCCTCCTTATCCAAAGCCGTAGTCCTCACCATTCTGACGTGACCCAGCCCATCAGAGAAGTACGAGTTGAACACCACAGGCTTGATGGCACACTCCAGGACGGAGAGGGCCAGGGCAAAGGCATGCGGCTTGGAGCACATGTGGACAGCTTTGATCCAGTTGTTGCGGTGGACCGTCCAGTTGGTGTGCATGACGGCCCTGGGGAGGTTGGTCTCAAGCTGCGTGGTGGTGAGGCGGAGGGTCGAGATGGTGAGCATGCGGTTGCTATTGGTGCTGCCGTGCCACTTGAACTCGGCTGCAGGAGTCAGACTGAACTTATTGACCAGATAGCGTTTGCGATCCCGCTCCTCTGCATGCTGCGGCTTGTTGAGGGCAAGCCTGTTGGTTTTGAACTGATTCTTGTAAGACTTGTATGTCCCCTCCATGCCAAGTTTGAAGAGAGATTCTGGCCGCAGGGAATTCCTTGTCACAATGCCCTTACTGGTGTCATCTCCTCCAATCGATTTAATCTCCCCCTTGGAATTAATGACAAGGGTTTCTTCCGTCTTGGTCCTGCCTGATACAAGAGAAGTTTTTGTATGAGTTGGAATGCTTGTAGTGTATGTTAGATAGGGAGTGGCTTTAGGGGGCGGGGGTTTGTAGTTAGGATTTCTTGACCTTGTCATAACAGTCTTTATTCCTTTGTTCTCATCATCTCCATCCTCGTTCTTCACCGAGATCTCTGATTCTTGGTTTCCACCATCTTGGCTGGTACCAGGTTGGTCTCCATCCTCCTTCTGATCCTCACTTCCCACCTCCATCTTTTCTTGACCCTCCCCTTCTGTTTTCCCATCTTCTTTGGTTTCCAAATCCCCAACCCCTTCCTCCTGAGCAGTCTTACTTGTACCTCCGCCCACATCAACTTCCATTTTCTCTTCGTCCTCCTTCTCTTCTGACTGTTCAGCCTCAATCTTTACTCCAGCTTCCTCCTGTGCCTGAGCGATGACTGCTTCTTCCTCCAGTTGTCGCTTCTCCTCTTCAGCTTTCAAGAGGGCCTCATCTCGTGCAGTCTTTATAGCATTCAATTCCTCTGAAGGGCAAAAGAGTAATCACACATAATTCATTAAATCTATCAAATGAATATGACTCCCATTACAGACACAAATATTTCACCTTCACAGAACCCTTATCCATGACTAAATATTAATGATATCTGCTGCTGTAACCTCTTGTGAAATAAGAATTCCAACTCATTTACATCAACAGATGTAATGCAATCCATGAACCTTAAAATCATATCTAATGAAAGTTTATTCTCACATCGGGGCAGTTGATATATCGCAAAGAAGTGGTTTAAAGCCTGTCTGCACTAGTTTGGCCAGGAGGGATTAGACCCCCTGCAAGGTCACTGACAGGTGGTTATCTCGTCAAATCAGCTCTCAACTAACATAAGAAAAAAAGGATCATGGGGGACCAACAGGCACTGCTTAAGCATCGTTTGCTAAGCTTAAGAGGGCGCAAGTAGCTACAAGTAGTGCAGTCCTGCTTTAAAAGGCGATATCAAGTAATTCAGATTTGGAAAGTTCATGAAACTAATTCCACAAATTAATACTCTAATAAGGCTGTACACAACAGTGTAATGAGGTACCCGAGTACACTCCCAGGCTTACAAGCGAATACTCAACTATTCGGACGCCATGTTTTCTTATAATTTTTTTGAATTTTTTTTTTTGTTGTTGAATTTTTTTGATTTAAAAAAAAAAAAAATTTTGCCACCACCATACCTTTGGAGCAGTATCCCAGTTCTGTCGCCGAAAACGCATGCAATTTTACTTCGAGTTGCAGTTGAAGGCGCCGATTTAATAATAATAATAATAACAGTAAACAATGCTGTTTTAAAAACCAAAGATGGCAGAATAATCCATTTTCCTACAAGTCCAAACAGAAATCCAGACATTTGGTCCCAGTTTCTGAGTAGTGAGTTTGACAGTGCTTGAGTTGGGAAACATTTTTACCGATGGCACCATGCCAGCAGCCGCCGCTCACCCAGGCACGGGTAAGCGTCGGCCTGGACAGATTTTTTTTTTTTTTTTTTTTTTGCGGCAGAATATTCGGGTACGAGAAATCGTACCCGAGCAGTTGTCAACCGTGCGGGTACTCGAGCATTCGACTACACGTCGCAGCCTTATAATCTAAGTAGACATTCTTTATTTTTAATCAGTCAATAATTAACACAGATATTTAAATTTCAGTTGTTTTGTCCCTAAACTACAATAGTGCATATTGTAGGTTCCAATGTATCCATGCTTTGCCAGGATACCAAACGGAACACTCAAGGTACTCAATGAATTCATTTTCCTACCAGGATAAATCACCTCGGTTGAAAACGGTCTATTTATGGAAATTGGTCTCTTGTTAAAGAGCAGAAGGACTGCATTTGAACCAACACAAGTTGAACCTCAATTCTAGACCAACGATACAATAATTTTTCTCTATTAAAGGGAGAGGGTCGTCAATTTCCAGCAGTTCATAATTCACTGACAGCAGACTTGGTTGGAAATAACATCAATGGGTGTGTAAGTCTTGCACACCCAACAAACCTGTAGTCCCATCAAGAAATACCCCCCCCCCCTTGTTGGTCATAAAACTAACCCCTGTGATTGAATACACCTGAATGGTGTTGAATTCCCCATGAGAACCCACTACTATGCCTCTGTAACTTTACAAACTTAATAACATTTATTTACCTGATGACTTCTGGAGCACCGATTTCTGGTTACCCCTGGCACTGTTAGTCAGCTCCTCCGTCCTCTGCATCTGGTCTAGGATCTCGGTCATACAGTCCGTCAGGGCTAGGCACAGGTCCTCCTCCCACTTCTGTGCATCCAGAGTATGCATGAGCTCTTCAAGTTGAGGCTTGGTGGAGTAGTACCGTACTTCATCGTCACCCTCACTGCAAATATAGAGAAAAAAAGAACAACAACAAAATAAGTCTTCTATTACTTTTTCTTTCATGATCACAACAAAAAACTTGACCTAAATTGTATAGCGAAAAATGCTACAATATGAAAAGCTGAAATTACTTCATTTAAAAACATGTTAATCTCTATTTCAAATGCAGATTACAAATTGCAAATCAGTTGTATGGTAAATTAACAAAGTTTATTAGTACATTTCTTTCCTTATTAGCATATCAAAGGACTTCTGTGCTATGTCAAATATTTGTATGTGTATATGGGCAGTTTGAAAGGAATTACCTTCTTCCCTCTTAATGGCATCACAATCACAGCCAATTCATAATAACAAAGGTTGGTTTACAAATATTTGTAAAAAACATTTTTTTTTCCTTATCCATTCACAAAATTCATGTAACACAATAATATTCACTGTTATTTACACTCTAAGTGTGGGAAAGGAAGAAGAGGAAAAGAGTCAGCTACTTGAAAAGAGAACAGTAATAACAACTTTGACAAAACTGCCTCTTTCAGCAAGGTCTATTTCTTCATCTCCCTCTAATCAAAGAAATACTCTGGGCTCTGGGTATCTATCAAATTCATAATACTTTTGTGCAAAGTAAGCTTTCAAGTTTCAATCATTAACATTGTTCTGAAAAATATTCTGCAAAGTGTTCCAGTCTTTCAGATGCAATATGTTTTTAAATTTCTTAGGAGTTTTACAAAATTCCATCCCCCGACTCTCAGCTTTCAAGAGCTGAATTTGTATATACATGTATGCTTGTTATTACGGTAGTCAAAGAAATAAATGAGGAGTTATGAGAAAGAGAAGAAATAAAGAGACAGTGGGAAGAAATATACTCACACAACAATCCTCCTAGCAAAGTGCCAGTATTTCCTGCCATGCCTGTCATAACCAATCGGTTCCTGTCGTATAAGCAGTCCACTTTTCTCCACCTCTGAGATGCAGTCATAGACCCCCAGAACACGATGCTGCCGGCACACTGAGCACATCCAGTCTTCTTCTGGTACTTCCACCAAATTCACACATTCCAAGTGATAGACAGCCGAACATGTCTCACAGCATATCAAATCCCCCAGTTTATGACATGACCTGCAATGGTCATCATAGGTTATTGCACCTTCGCTCAGAATCTCCTCACGCACTCGGTTGGATGCCAAGAATTGGTCACACAGGAGATGCAAAACTGTTAATTTGTCACTCACAGGGGCAAATGGGTAATTCTCTCCCTCTAGTGCATTCAGCGCGCTATGGTATTCTTTGTCGCTTTCAATATATCCTCTTGCAACCTCTGGCCATGTCATATTATCCAGAAACAAGAACTGAACATTGATACTGTCTCTCTGGTCTTGAGGACCAAACGTTGTGCTGCTACTTTCGTCTTCCTTAACAAGATTGTAAAGAAGTGCAATGTGGGTCTCCGCAAGTAGCAAGCATTGCTCCTCGCTGCACAAAGCTGCACAAAAATCCTCAAACCGGAATGGTGAGAGTCTCAACTGCTGACTGAAATGCCTGAGAACTTCATACACAGATAATGCTTGCATCATATCCTGGTTGTCAAGTAGGAGATCTGAGCTAGTTTTGGGGAGTTCAAGAGGGGGAATTTCTTCCTCCTCCAGGAATGGCAATGCTAATGATCGATTCGTCCGTGACAGTAATAACCTCTTCTTCGCAGCAGTGCTACTGCTGTCATCACTGTCACTGTCTTCTTCGAGTTCAAGATCATCTTCATCTGGTAAATCAGCGTGTGAGCTGTTTGAGCTAGATTCATCTTCTGATGAAGAAGATTGCAACAATTCCTCATTGAAATCCCCTCCCTCTTCATCTGAACTTTCATATTTCGGTCTCGCCTTTTTCCCCTTCCCTTTTCCTTTTGTAAGTTTGGGTTTTGCTTTGGACTTTGCACCTGGTTTATTTTGTGCTGAAGCAGTTTTACCTCTTCCCCTGCCTTTTCCTGGCCCTTTTCCAGAACTTGTTGTGCTGGATGGACTTGACTTGGGAGGATTTCGTTGGGCCTCTATGACCTCATGGATTAGTCGCTTACTCCGCCTAGCAGCTTCACGTAATCCCGGGGATCTCCCTCGGCCAACAGCACCGGTACTGCTGGCTTGACTTACCGGTGTGCTGCAGCGAGAACTTGCAGGACTGGAGCCGTTACTCTGGCCTCCATTGCCCCGTCCAACTCCAGCTCCTCCACCAGATTTCTTTGAATTTACCGGCGTCTCGTCCAGTGAATCAACAAGCGTTTTCGGCGGACGTCCACGTCCCCTTCTCATCTTGAAAATACAAATTAGCGGCTGCTAGCGGGTGCCTGGTAACCTAACGCACACCTAACTTAGGTTTGAGATCCACTAGCTTCGCGGTGAAACACGAATTCGGCATTATATTTACGAATCGCACGCAAGATCTGCGATGTCCGCCATTTTCTGATGTCGTTGACCACGTGACCAATTACGCATTCAATTATTGCACATGCGCGAGCCCCGGCTTTTCGATCTCATTCATACCCAAGTTTATTTCACTTGAGTGACATTCCGAATCATACTTATTTCATTTTTATTCAATGGACAAATTCCTACATATGTTTTATAATGTCCAAATTTAGACATTTACAACAAATAATTTATTTTGTTAACGAATTTGCCTTTACGGGTTGAGGGTTTTTATTGGTTTTGTGTTCATTGTGTTTGGGGAATTCCAAGTACATCATCGTAGAGAACTTTGAGTTTTGTTCCATTTTATCTACAACTTCGCAAATTTTGACGAGATAGTACTAATAAACTATGTAATAGCTTTATAAGGTGAACTTTTTAGTTTTGGATTCGTGCCATTACTACGTGCTTTTGAGACCATAAAGATACAGGAACCAGCCGTAGCCTTCCCGCTAAATCAACCAATCAGCGGTCTTGTTTCACCAACATGTAGAGTTACGTTGTATCGCGTCGGTGAGTCTCAGCGCAGCTCGCATGGTTTCTCTCATGAATGACGGGTGAAGCTATTTTTCACTAAGTCACGGAGGTAAAGATAGCCCGTTTAAAGTGCAACAATGTATGAAATTGCCAATTTGATGAGTATAAAGAGCTAGGTCACCACTCACCGTCATGTATGATTGTTTGACAAGTCAATGCATCTTCTTCTTCTTCTTGACGAGATAGTACTGATAAACTATGCAATATGTAGGAAAAAGAAGAAGATAGAATGTGACATTATGCAATATGTATTACGGATGCATTTTCTGCACTCTTCACCCGGGGCTTTTCACATGGTCACACTATGTACCTTTTCTGCGTAAATGCATGCAATAAATATAGTCTCCCACTCTCCCCTCAGTTGGGAAAGTATAATTTAAATTAATTCAACTCAATTTCGGTTGTATTGTTAAAAAAGGAAAAAATACCTAAACATGACAAAAATCCGAAGACTAACATTAGGCCTATCTATAGTATACAACAAAAGTGTACAATACAAGAAAACATGAATCAAGATTATAAAAAAACATTGGCATTCATTGAATAACAACTGAAGAAAAAGAAGAAGGAAGAATGTGACATATGAAAGAATGCAATATGTATTACGGAAAAAAGATAATCTTGAATATATAGCGACATTTATATGTCATTGTTTAATAAAATCTGCCATAGATTTTTACAAGAATATTAGTAATCCTATAGAACGTGGATGCCAGTTAAATTGTATTTCCACAAAGACATGTTGGTAAATGAAAGTTCGTTTGTAATTACAATTAAGGAGTGAGACCTTATTAATTGCACCCCTATTTTCTCCCCCCCCCCCCCCCCTGTCTTGTGTTGGTCACTGTGTACGTTTTAAATAGGTGATCATCGACGGGGACTCACGTGACTTGATGAAGAGTAACTATACAGGCGCAGATCCAGGATTTAGTAGGGGGAGGGCCAAATTTAAAATTATGCGAGCCAAATATTGGTACGTAATGGTGACACCGGCAGTGGCAAAAAGGTTTGGGGGGGGGGAGGGGTAGACAAAAAAAAAATTCCCCATCACCCCACTCTAACATGCAGGCCCCGCTGAACGTTTCTCGGCGGGGGTCAAGGAGTGGAGCCCCCAGAAGTTCAGGGGGTATAGGCATTTAATTACTGTTAGATGAGCATATTTTGACTGGCAAGCCACAAATTGGTGTGGGGTCCAGGGGGCGGAGCCCCCAGAAGCTCAGGTGTTTTATACATTTAATTACCGTCCGATGAGCATATTTTGCTACCTTATTTAATACACTGGCAGGTCACGAATTGACGTGGGGTCCAAGGGGCGAAGCCCCCGGAAGCTCAGGGGTTTGGGGCAATAAATTACGGTCAGATGAGCATAGTTTGATACCTGTGACACTGGCAGGACTGTTGGGTTCAGGGTGCGGAGCCCCCAGGAGCTCAGGGGTAGGGGCAGCGATCCCGGGGGACGGGGGGGGGGGGGGACACGTGAGAAAAAGTGAGAAAAAATAATTTTATAGCAAATACTGACTAAAAGACTGCAACAAACTTTTAGGCTCCGGAGGGCCCAAGAGTGCAGCGTTTAGACAAATCGAATGCAAAAATCTTCTCGCTATAGGGAGCTACGCTCGCTTGCATAATATTCTTCAACGTGTACAGTAAATATTCAAGAAAAGTGAAGTGTGAAAAAGGTATATTGCTCGTTTTTATACCATTGTTTTGCTAAGGAATGTAATTTGTCACTTTCGTCACCTTCACCCATCTCGTCACTATGTTTCCTCGCCCAGACGTTATGATGGGGGGGGGGGGGGGTAGTTGCCCCCAAATAAAATTCAAACTTGGTTTATTTTTAACTCGATACCAGTGATTTACAAATGTTGCTGAGATGGCATGGTTTTTCCCAGAGCTTACGGGGGCTCTGCCCCCTGGACCCCACCAGGGGCTTTAAGGAGGGCCCATGGATGCTGATCTGACCGTTATTAAATGCCTAAAACCCCTGAGCTTCATGGGGCTACGCCTCTCGACCCCCGCCAGGGCCTTGCCTTTGGACCCCACGCCAATTTACTCTCCACTTGCTTCGCTCGCTTTGCTCTACCTGATCGAAAATACCCCCACCCCCAGTTTGAAAAACGTCCCGCGGGGCCTGCATGTACCATGTAAGAGTGGGGTGCGGATTTGTTCACCCCCCACTACGCCACTACGCCACTGCTCCTCCGTCCCTCTTAGTTTCGTCTCCCCCCCCCCCCCCCCCTCCCGGTCATGAAAAGAATCGCAGCCCCTGCTCAGGGGTTTTATACATTAAATTATCGTCAGATGAGAATATTTTATACCTTATTTGTGACACTAGCAGGTCACGAATTGGCGTGGGGTCCAAGAGTTGGAGCCCTCAGAAGCTCAGGGGTTTTATACATTAAATAACCGTCAGATGAGCATATTTTGATACCTTATTTGTGACACTGGCAGGACATAAATTGGTGTTGGGTCCAAGGGGCAGAGCGCCGAGAGCTCAGGGCTTTAGGCATTTAATTACGTCAGATGAGCATAATTATACCTTATTTGTGACACTGGCAGGTCACTAATTGGCGTGGGGACTAGGGGGCGGAGCCCCAGAAGATCAGGGGTTTAAGGCATTTTCTAACGGTCAGATAAGCATGCAGGGGCCCTCTTAGGGCCCCTGGTGGGGTCGAAGGGGTGGAGCCCCGGAAACTAGGGGTTTTAGGCATTTAATTACGGTCAGATGAGCATATTTGTGACACTGGCAGGACACTAATTGGTTTGGGGTCCAGGGGGCGGAGTCCCCAAGAACCCAGTGGTTTTAGGCATTAAATTACGTCAGATGAGCATAATTATACCTTATTTGTGACACTGGCAGGTCACTAATTGGCGTGGGGACTAGGGGGCGGAGCCCCCAGAAGATCAGGGGTTTAAGGCATTTTCTAACGGTCAGATAAGCATGCAGGGGCCCTCTTAGGGCCCCTGGTGGGGTCGAAGGGGTGGAGCCCCGGAAACTAGGGGTTTTAGGCATTTAATTACGGTCAGATGAGCATATTTGTGACACTGGCAGGACACTAATTGGTTTGGGGTCCAGGGGGCGGAGTCCCCAAGAACCCAGTGGTTTTAGGCATTAAATTACCGTCAGATGAGCATCCAGGTGCCTGACTTAGTTGCCCCCAAATAAAATTCAAACTTGGTTTATTTTTAACTCGATACCAGTGATTTACAAATGTTGCTGAGATGGCATGGTTTTTCCCAGAGCTTACGGGGGCTCTGCCCCCTGGACCCCACCAGGGGCTTTAAGGAGGGCCCATGGATGCTGATCTGACCGTTATTAAATGCCTAAAACCCCTGAGCTTCATGGGGCTACGCCTCTCGACCCCCGCCAGGACCTTGCCTTTGGACCCCACGCCAATTTACTCTCCACTTGCTTCGCTCGCTTTGCTCTACCTGATCGAAAATACCCCCACCCCCAGTTTGAAAAACGTCCCGCGGGGCCTGCATGTACCATGTAAGAGTGGGGTGCGGATTTGTTCACCCCCCACTACGCCACTACGCCACTGCTCCTCCGTCCCTCTTAGTTTCGTCTCCCCCCCCCCCCCCCCCTCCCGGTCATGAAAAGAATCGCAGCCCCTGCTCAGGGGTTTTATACATTAAATTATCGTCAGATGAGAATATTTTATACCTTATTTGTGACACTAGCAGGTCACGAATTGGCGTGGGGTCCAAGAGTTGGAGCCCTCAGAAGCTCAGGGGTTTTATACATTAAATAACCGTCAGATGAGCATATTTTGATACCTTATTTGTGACACTGGCAGGACATAAATTGGTGTTGGGTCCAAGGGGCAGAGCGCCGAGAGCTCAGGGCTTTAGGCATTTAATTACGTCAGATGAGCATAATTATACCTTATTTGTGACACTGGCAGGTCACTAATTGGCGTGGGGACTAGGGGGCGGAGCCCCAGAAGATCAGGGGTTTAAGGCATTTTCTAACGGTCAGATAAGCATGCAGGGGCCCTCTTAGGGCCCCTGGTGGGGTCGAAGGGGTGGAGCCCCGGAAACTAGGGGTTTTAGGCATTTAATTACGGTCAGATGAGCATATTTGTGACACTGGCAGGACACTAATTGGTTTGGGGTCCAGGGGGCGGAGTCCCCAAGAAACCAGTGGTTTTAGGCATTAAATTACGTCAGATGAGCATAATTATACCTTATTTGTGACACTGGCATGTCACTAATTGGCGTGGGGACTAGGGGGCGGAGCCCCCAGAAGATCAGGGGTTAAGGCATTTTCTAACGGTCAGATAAGCATGCAGGGGCCCTCTTAGGGCCCCTGGTGGGGTCGAAGGGGTGGAGCCCCGGAAACTAGGGGTTTTAGGCATTTAATTACGGTCAGATGAGCATATTTGTGACACTGGCAGGACACTAATTGGTTTGGGGTCCAGGGGGCGGAGTCCCCAAGAACCCAGTGGTTTTAGGCATTAAATTACCGTCAGATGAGCATCCAGGTGCCTGACTTTAGGCCCTAGGTGAAATCCAGGGGGCAGAGCCCCGGGAAGCTCAGGGGTTTTAAGGCATTTAATCACGGTCAGTTTTTTTTTTTTTTTCATTTTTAGCCCCGGAAATCTAGAAAATTACGTCGTCAGATATTTCGTTCAGTGGCTCAGAAGGAGGGGGGGGGGGGGGGGGGGGGGGGGGGGGGGGGTTGGAAGGAACATTTTTTTCTTTTTTTCTTTAGCACCAAAAAAAAAAAACCTTTTCCCTTTTTCTTCCTTCTTTTTTCCCCCTTCTTTTTTTTTTTTGCCAATTTTTTTTGTCAATTCTTACTTCTCATGCACTGAACAACAATTACTTATATACCGGACCAAAATTATGGAACAAATTGCCTCAACAACTTCAAATATGCCCAACAGTGTCAATTTTCAAAAGAAAGCTTAAGAAATATCTTGTAAATGAATATGTATAACTAGGATTATTTTTACATAAATCCTCTTTCTGTTTTTTGTTATGGGTTTCGCTGGTTCAATTCTATATGTTAATGTTTTGTGTCATTTTAATCTTTGTATTTCTATCTTGTTTTAGTATATTTAAGAAACTTTTTATGTAAATGCTATCATCTTTGGGAAGGCCATTAATTGGCCTCTGTTTTCCCCACCACATTAGACGTATAATGTCAATTGAAGATGTTTCATTTTAACGTTTATTATTGTATGCATATAATTTGTACTTGTGTTGTTTTAATCGGATCATGTGGATATAAAATACATGATGCTAGCCTGACTAATTTGCATGTGAAGAAATGTCCATTAAATTTTAAATGACGGTGACATATGATGAAAAAAATTCTTCATGAAATTCATTTGTTGAATGATAATTAAGTTGGCCTATATGAATATAGAAAAGACAGGGTCTTATAACTGTTGTAAAATATATTACCGTGACCTGCACCCCCCCCCCCCCCCCTGCCCCTGACTAGTTTGTTATTTTTATCCATTTGTTTTCACTTTAATCACTGAGCCTATGAAACTATTTAAACTATTCACGCTAGTTTATGTTTGGGAGTTTGTTTGTTATTTATGTATTTGTAAAATATATTATACTCAACGCGTGCACAAGATTGGCATGTGTATATAGGGTGCGATCTTATCACACACAAAATTGGCAACACTACTCATTCGTGAAATTTGAAATTAGATACGTTCATCCCTCGTAGCGTAGTGAAAAATAGTGTCACTCTCTTTCACACGTGAATGTCCATGACCGAGCTAGCGAAATACATCCAGGTACTGCGCCCAGAGTTTAGGGGGAGAGAATCACCGACGTGGCGGAAAGGAACTGCTTTCACTATACACTTTATGCATGCACCCGCTGCTGAAGACTAGCTAGCAGTAACATATCGACGCGACACGAGAAGCGGAATTCCACAACCATGAGTGGCACTTCTGGAATGTTTAAGCTCAAACCATTCTACGATTTTGACAAAACACAGATTGATCTTCCAGACTGCATGTTCAAGATGGCTAATATTCAGGGAAATTCATCGCAAACAAATAGTGGAGAGGTGAATATGAGATTTTAAGTTCGTTTTGTGTGATAAGCATTAGCGAAGAACTGAATTTGCTGATGATAGCAGTGAAGCTGAAGGCTGAAGGAGTGAAGACGAAGTGCTAGAACTTTTATTTTTTCAATTTCAATAACGGTTGTGAATGACGGTTCATTAAATCAAATTCCCTATCTCAGTATCTGAACTTTTGAAGGACCTAATGACGATTTAGTCTATATGGAGTATGAAACTATGAATACTACCATTAAATACCAGCATTTATTCACATAACCTGAGAGTTGAATAGGCCTAGGCTACTTCTAAGTAGCCTAGGCTACATGAAACATAACCGAGGAGTTAATGATCTCCTTGCTTCAACCTATACAGCTTAGACCAACTCACTGAGGATGTGAGACCTTGTAGTACAAGGTCGTGCCTTAAACTAATCACCTAAATTGCCTTGTCTTTGTGTTCAGATTTATCAGTTGAAATTCAATTAGGTCTAAGCAACGTGTCGAGCTATAATTTTGTTGTTGTATTCTAAACAATCAGATTTTATGGCACTGTCAGGTATTTAAATTTGTTTTTTAATTCCATGTAGGTTGACCCTGCTGTTGCAGCGCTAGAACGTCGCCAGGAAGCCATCCTTACAGATCTGCGCTCAATGGAAACAGAAGTAGCTGCATTGACGACCAAGATTCAACCCAATGCACAGGACAAGACTTCTGCTCCTTCCACGTCTGCTTCTCCCTCATCCTCAAAATTGGTACGCATTTCATCTCATAGGGATTGAAGATAATTGTTGCTTTCTTGCAGTTGGGGGGGGGGGGGGGAGGAGATCATTGAATAAATAAAAAGTGTTTTCCTTTATATTGTGTTGAAATTATCTTGGGGGTTAATCATTCCATGGACCTCTATCAGGGATTATTTGATAATTGCAACTTTGAAAGGATTCTGCATGACTTGGCTTTTGCTGCTTGTTTATCCATCACACAAGTGTAATAATTTAAAGATAAAGTTGAGTTCTGGTCATGCGATTGCATTGTAAAAAGAAAAGGTGTGGAATGGATCAGAAAAAAGTTGATAATGTAGCATGTAAGTATTGGTGTGTACTGTGTACTGCAAGGTTCTGGAGTCGATCAAAATCATAATAAATTTGGCCCAGTCTTGGTAAAGTAACAAGCACTGTACACAGAAAGATGTATATGGATTATGGGACTGGGACTACACAAATGGTGTCAGGGTTACTTACCTTGATTTCCTTATCTTTCTATGCTCATTTCTCAGCCAAAAGGTATACATTTTCTACCAAAATAGTTTTTTAGGCAAATGACATTTATTTGTAATTTTTAACATTCAGTGTAAGTTTCGTTTCATTCTGTGAGAATTTTATTTTTAATTTTTTACCAGAACTAATCTTGTTGAATCTGTGATCTAGTCAAATATAAAATCAGTTCTGTTCTACAGTGTTGTGATGAAATCTCTTTCTTCTCTTGTCTAGGTGTCCGGAGGTCTCCATGATGTCGTCATCTATGCAAACCCCAACAACCCTCCTTACTCTCTACTGGTTCTCTACGAGCAGCTGAAGCAGCAGTTCAGATGCTTGACAAAAGTTCACATGCACTCCTCTATATCCTCTGTTCCTGATAAACTTATCGGTTACTTCAATCAAAATGGTGGTCAACCTCTCCTGCGGATGGATGCTCAGCTCTCCATCACCCTCATCTGGAAGAATGGTAACTTGAACTCTGACTGGTTAAATACTATAAAACCAGGGGGGTGTTTCACAAAGATCCTAGGTCAAACTTTCAAGTTATGGAGAGCCATTTGTAGCCTTAAAATAAAAAATACTCAAAAGCGAAAATTCAAGTATTTAAACTTTTCATAAATTCCACATTAAGAACTTAAAATATCCTTGATAATAGAAAATATGAATGATTTGAATTAACATTTCATGCCTTTTAAAACAACTTTTACAAAATATTTTCAAAGATGCTAATGGCTTTCCATAATTGTTAAGTCCAACTTAGAGACAAGTTCAACTTCGGATCTTTGTGAAACACCCCATAACATTTTTTCTATGAAACTACATGTATCTTGAATTTATAATGCTGGACACCTTTGCAGCAAGACACAAGTGACTTGCCAAAATTCAATGTTGTAATTCGCTCATTTTGTGGCATGAAACTGTTATATCTTGCTAAATTTCCATGTGGTAATTCAATGATTTTATGCCATGAAAATTTTGTAACAGTTGGATACCATGTTGATTCATTTGGCTTGCTATTAATAATACCTGATAACAAAAGTTAAAAGCATTGTTTTGACACAAATGTTTGCACTTGTCATTGCTGAACTCTTACTATTCTCCCTCACCATATGATAACTTTTTTTTTTTATCCCCTTCTGTAATATATGTAATTAAATTCTTGATAATTTGTTTGTATTTCATAATTTTTATTAGGTTGAGAATATTTTTTGTATTTTTAAAGTTATGACTGAATGATGAAACCAGTTTATTTCATATAAATTCATAGTACACAGATGTGATATCTGTGCCAGCCCAGCAGTCAGCTATCATGGTATACAGTTGTTTATAGGTTTTAGGAGACATTTAGATGTGATCAGCACGTCACCGTTTGCAGTCCAATACCTGTGTTTACCATAATCTTGCATTCTTCACCATCTTCTCCATCAGTATCACAAGGTCCCGAGATGAAGATCCAGGCAAACTCCCAGACCCCTATCCAAGGGGAGGTGAACATCCTCCGCTACCTGAGCCGTCTCTTGACCCCAGCCTATGATGCCTCCGACGATATCATCACCGTGGCCAACATTGACAACTTCCTGGACCTGGCTAGCTCTACATTGCTCAACGGCACCTCAAAGGAGAAAGCTGCCGGTGTCAGGGGTCTCAACTCTGCGCTGGGAAGGGGGGCTTGGCTCGTCGGTAGCGGCCCAACGGTGGCCGACATCGCAGTTTGGAGCGCGTTGCACCAGACTGGCTTGGCCAGTGGAGCGCCATCTAATGTTCAGAAGTGGCTGAAGTCTTGTGCTGCTCAAAGTGATTTCAGGACTGCTTTAAATGCTGTAGCATGAATTATGATAGTATGAAGTGGAGAGAATTAGGTAGTATTTGGTTGCCTGCTATTATATTTAGGTTAGTAAAAATGGTATACTAACTGCGGTATACAAATAATGTATTTCAGAGTGTAATAGTATCAATGCAATTCTTATACTGTATACAATATCTATCTCTCTCTCTCTCTCTCTCTGACTCTCTCTCTCTCTCTTTTGTGTATAGGTTATAAGTATGAGTTGCATTGCACCATGTCAAACATTGGTTACTTGCATCAACAGAGGGTTGTGGTATAATTCACAAAAACACATGGCAGATAATGTGGTCATGCCAGGTATTTTGTCACATATTTTGAATGTAGACCAAGGAATGTAGTGGCTATTTCTGACCATAGTTGGATATTTGGGAGTTTCATTTATCTGGTCATGGGGAAGTCTGAGGTTTTGGGGTAATTTCTGCCAAGATTGCCAAGTATTGTAGAGTGCTGGACATAAATCGACATTAAATGTCATTCTACTTCATATTGTATTACAAACAAACTCTAGTAGGCTAAAATCTTAAATGTATTCGGTAACATACTGTATGGCATAAAATAGCTAGGATCTGCCCTCTTTCTTGGTCACATGTGTAGTCACAGATTAACGAACAGGCACATTGAACATTTTTGCGCCTTATGGTTGCTCAGCTCCAGCCGGGGTAATAATGTGATGCTTGGTATACATTAAGCAGAGTAGAGTATATTTTTATAGAAGCTTTGCTTTAAAGAATTGACATATTATTATTACCATTATTATTGAAGTGTTTTAATTGGTTAGATCCATTCTTCAAATGATGTATCAACTTAAAATCCCAATATCGGGTAACTTTGTATTTATGAATTTATGCTGTAACACAATGGACTTGCACAAATAGTACAAGTTTAAGAGTATTGATTAACATTGGTTTTTTATTTACCCTTTAAACATGTGGATAAAATAACTTGCGATCTAAATCTTAACATTTCACATTTTATTCGTTCAGCTGATACAGGTTTATGGGTAAAGAAATAGCGGTCACATTAACACAATTACCAGACACCATAAAGGACACTATAGGAAATATTAATTCTAAATGCCATGTATTTGATCGCTGGTTTACAAATTTATTTAAGACTTGAAAAGGAGTTTAACCCATATACCCACTCTATGTATGAATTAGAATTAGGAGCATGCACTCAGAAAAGATTTAAATATTTTAAATACAAAAAAAAAATCCTTCAACCTTGTCCGCGTGGCTCATTTTCATGTATGTGTATGTTTCCTGTAAATGAGCTCAAAGTGTTGTGTTTTTTTAAATATTTTTAACACCTTCTGTGCTACTTACCTTTTGATTCTAATACGTCTTCATCATACATGTATATGAATTTTCGATATGATGAAATGTTGACCTTTTTTCTTTCTCTGTTTTATTATCTTCCACTGGGACAAACTTTAAAATGTACATTTTCATTGTCCAAGAAGAAAAGTGCAAGTATTACATTTTCATTGATTCTAGAGTAGGATTTGCCACCCACAGTATGTGACATGATTCCCACTATAAAGACACATTGTAAAGCTGATACCAAATGCCTGGTGTGTCTGAGCACATTGGTTTTAGAATAAGAGAGAAACTGATGAAGACTAAGCTTTGTGATGTTGCCTTTTACTTGATAATTGGTGCATCACAAATACCAAATTACTAACCATGATAAATCTTTATCCTCTGGCTGTGTATTAAAAACTACTCTATCGATTCTCAACATTTCAAACACCACTGTACAAAACTGAACTGATTTTACGCAAAATCTGTACTTTATTGACAATTGATGACACCTACGTGTAAATAGCAGTAAAATACAATTTTTTCAATTTACCGATGTTAGAAAGAATAGTTTGAAAAATCAAATTGTAAGTCTACTGTCAAATTTGCCGATCAGCCACTTCGTATTCATTGTGTGCATTAGTGTGCAATGTGTGTATTGACTATTCATGTGTGCAATTGTTGCCTCTTAGCACGAAGTACTGCTGGAGTGGGCCAGTCTCAAGGTATTTTGTCATTTGTTGTCCCTTATGTTACCAGAAACATAGAAACGTAAACAAAAAATGAGAATCACAAAATTGTAATTTTCCTTGTTCTTTGGTTTTGTCCCAGCTCCTATAGGACTGTCAACTTGCCAGAGCATTGGCCTATTTGGATGTACTAAAAAACTTTGATGTGGATGATGTAAGGGATAAAATAAGTTAGACTTGTCCCTCCTCCCTTCATTGAAAAATACAAGTTTTCTTTTTTGTTGTTCAGAATTTTTTGTAAGTTACGACTATTATTCTATATTCAATCTTTGTGTTATATGCTTCCTCTTTGAATTTAAGATTTCAGTTAGTCTTGAATAATATCTTATTGTACAGTTATATTCATGGTGCATTTAGGATGTATCTGTATCATGAAAAAGTAATCTAGGAATGTTCATTCATTAAGCTTGCTGAAGTGTCCTTCCCAAGTACATAAGTAATTTAAATCCGTTTGTCTTTTGTTAAATTCAGTCAGTGTATAGTGCATTTTAGGGAACAAAGCCTGCAAGGTACTGCTATTTACAACATCAGGGTTGAGAAAAGATAACAACATGGATCTAAGTGCTTTGGGATGGCTCCAAATCCACAAGCTTCACATATCAAATCTACTATCTTCACGTCTCGGGTGAATTAACCCATTAGCAACTAGATATTTTGTAAAAATGACCTATTCCTCACTGGAAGATGTTGTAATATAATCCTACTGTAGACATCGTAAGGATGACTCACGTATAACATTATCATGGTAGATCCCATAGGTTTTGGTGGTTCAGTGAGTAATCGAGTCCTGGAATAGCTATAATTACAATGATCATTGCAAGGTCTCTATATTCAAATGTATATCCAAAACAAGGCATTGATTCACCCGATCTTTGACTTGTGAAAGATGATTCTGGTTCAAGTTATTACTAGGGACTTTTTGATTTGCACGACGAGAATGTGGACAGCAACGTGTGACCTCCTTTTAAGAAAGTCACACATGACTACCAGTGCCTTAAAATGAAGTCACACGTCCACGCAAATCGAAAAGTCCCTAATGTTACTGTCTTAAATTGCACAAGAATTAAGACATTTTTACAATTTCCATGACCTTCACTTTAAAATTCACTAGTTAAGTTTCTGCTAAGAAATGACAAATGTTCAGGACATGAAATATTCACAAATTTGTACAAGATTTTATTTGTCTAGCTCTTGCAGAAACAACAAATATATTCAAGACAATATTCAAGTATCTACAATTGTTTAACAAAAGAGAAAAAAGAAATGAATACTTCAAATTTCAAAAGCAGAACATGTAGAAGGCACATCTGTTCACATTTGTTCTTAACTTGAAACATACGGTACAGATAGGAAACATTTTCTTCAGGGGATGTCAAACCTGGTGATGAAAAAGAAATGAAGAAAAATTGTACATATATCTGCACACATTTGTTCTTAACATACAGAAAGGAAACATTTTCTTCAGGGGATGTCAAAGAAACAAAACACACAAACGAAATTGTCTCTGAACTCAGATATTCATGCTTCAAATTAACATTGTTAGGAGATTGTTGCAAAATAGGAAATAAATACTGGTGAGTACAGTTAATTTTTCATATTTCACAGATACAGAGAACACCAGATCAAATATTTTTTTTCATGTGGTAATATCCATATCTGAGTGGAAAGAATCAATGAAATATGATGTTTTTTTATAGCTCTTCTTCGATGTAGAATATAGTTCAGAGTGCCCATCCTCAACATAAGATTTAAACAAGATTTGAAGTACAAGCAGACTATGAGTGAATAAGAATAAATACATGGAATATGAAAAAACCAAGTGGGTGCATTGACATGGGTTAGGATTACAATTAATGACGCCTTGTATTTACTTATCAAGTGTTAAAGCAAATAAGGATTTCCAATTTATTTGAAGATCAAACCATTTCACAAATTACAATTATACATATAATGATTGCATTGGAATTTTATGGTTAGCAAAACCATATAACTTACACATCTTACATGCATATAGCACAACACACAAGTTGCAACATCCAACCAAATATGTATCGAATTGAAAGTTCCAATCTTGTGTCATTTTCAGTTTTTACGGTTTCTGTCAAATTTTTTCTTCTTTTTAGCACTTTCTATGTGCAAATAGCTTGAATATAATATGCAGAGTGTAATAATTATGTTCCCCAATGATTTCTTCCACTTTTACATCAGTGATTTACAACATGTGTTTGTGAGTGGCACTGTTGGTAAAATTCATTTACAAAAAAAAAAAAAAAAATGGGCATCAGTGATAAATCTCATTAAAATGTAAACATAATGAAAGCATCGAGTCTAGAAGCAATGAATTTAAATGCAACCGGTGCATTCTACCTTGGCTAAACCCTAATTCCAATCAGCCTTTTATGAAGAAAAAAAAAATGTAATTCTTGTCCACCCACCACCCCCTTTATTATTGCGGAAAAAATGTAACAACGAAAAAGCAAAAGAACCAACATGAAATGTTGATATCATACAAGTATGAAATAATTGTCATATACAGTACATGTACCACGTCCAGCCATACTGAACAATTTTGAATCGTTGTCTTCTGTGTTCAGCCTCAAGCCCAAATGAAGTTCCGATTGTTTAATACTTTAAGGTTGCAATTATTCAATCTGTACGACTAAAGGCTGTTCAGACATGCCACGTTAAACCACTACCTAATATTTAGAGATAATGCTGTTTTTTTGAAAGGGTAAGTCAATGGCACGTGCATGCAGCAAAGGTTGTACCAGTATGCATAAATAACTCTGTGTATATGATACACAAATGAGAAGCGTGTTAAACTTCAAGTAATTAAAAAACACAAATCCTGCCGTGATTTACCGCTGTATACCTAAACAAGGTTGTGCTTATCAGGATATTATTTCATTCTCCAACTACAAGCCTCTTGGCAATTTACTTTCACAAATTGGTTCAGGTATTGATATGTAGTAGATGATCACTTTCTACCATCATTCTGCGTCTTGTGATCTTCATGTACTGTGTACAGCACTTGATGAAGGAGAAGAAAATCTTATTTTCATTAGAATGACAACCAACACGAGACTTATAATAGTATATACATCCAAGCACACATACTTTTTGATAAAGTAAAAAGAAGAAATATAGGAAAACATAAACAAAATGTACCATCAAGGCTGATAATTGTGAACAGAGAAATAGACAGGAGAAAGGAATATGTGTATCTTTTATTAACTAGTGTTGCCATACAGGTGGAATTTCAACAGCAAAAAGGAAAAACAATCCATAGTTTGATGTGATCGTCTATACTACCTTCATAAAGATGATAGCGCATCAAGAAAAGAAGTAATATTGAAAAACAATCCAGGTTTTTATGCAATAAATTTGGTAAGTGATGACTGAGGCATAGTCCACTTGGTAACCATACAAAGCCTCGTAGAGTTTAGAATGAGAAATGATATTCGATATTGAGTAAAAGTGGATGAGAAATAAATACATTGATGAATTAATTATTGCTACAAAGCTATGGTGATCCCTCCTATCTGCTCGTGCATTAACTGAAACCCTAACTCACATAATATGCACAGAAAACTCATGGCGACACTAGCTATTTCATAATACTGTAAAACCATGGCATTTTGGCAAATTAAGTGAGTGGGTCAAAACCGTGAAATGTTAACGTCTCCAAATAACTGAATTAGAATTTATATGGATATTCTGGTGTGTTGCAAAATTTTCAGGCCATAACATCAGCTTTCAAGCTTGACATGCTTTGGTTGACCCATGCAACAGAGAGTGGATTGCTGCTGTCAACTTTTGCCACACACATGTACAGTGTACATGAATCATATACACCAAACAATGTGGCAGTCTGGTTTTCACTCCACAACAAGTAAAGATTTAACAATTCACAAAAGAGTTTAACAAAAGTCCCGCCCGTTTGACAGTTTTGAAATTTGTCATTGAAATACACGTAAATTAGAATGGAGATTGATATCTCTGTACAGTACTCGTTAATAAATGCCCAATAACATCCAACCTCAGTCTTCAAGTGGGATGTTCCTGAAGAGATACGACATGGACTCTCCGTAATGTATTCTCCTGATGGATTCTGAGAGGAGGAGGCTGATGTCGACGGTCCGCAGCTTGCTGCACTGCAGACGCTGGAGGTCATGTGACACCGTGTTTGTTACAATCACCTGGAGACAGACCGAGAAAGATGTAGAGGACAAAATAAGAGAGGTTATTTATAATACCGACGTTTGCACGGTCCAAAGTCTATGCAACAGTAAGCTCTTATTTGACCTACTCTAGCAATCACTAAGATCACCCTACTCTTCCTTTGTCCATAATTCTTCGTAAAAAATAATGTCTCTTAATACACGCAATGTTTTGAAAACTTTAAGCATTATTTGATAACAAAATGAAGTCAAATTGAGCTATACAGGGACAATTATATACCGCATATCATATTCATTACAAGAGGGCTATGTGAGGTACAATACAACAGATGGCATGTTGCCTCAACATGCTTTCCCAATGATTCTCTAAAGTTAGAGACCAAAAATTAGACTGTAACGTCTTCATCACTCGTTGCCAGCTTGGTTTAACCAAGGGAACAAATGGTGGAAAATTACTGTCAACTATTATATTCTATTATATCCCAAGTTGGCCACTCAATATTCAAACTTGCATCTTCTTTTTTATCTTTATATAACAAATTGAAATCCAACTACCACGTACATCTGTGAATCTCGATGTGCATCCCCTCTTTCTTTTTTTCTTCTTTTTTCTGTCTTTTTCCCCTTTTTACCAATATTTTTTCCTCCATATTTGTATTATTATTTATCCTTTGAGGGTAGTCACTAGTCATACTATCAAGCTTTGCATAACTTGTCAACCCTCCTGTTTGATGTTTTCGATTAGTTAAAGCCAGCCTTACTTTATTCTACATATATTCTTTTGTCATGTGTAAATTTGCAATGTTTGTTTGCTATATATTTGTAAAAATGCAAAAGAAAAAGAAAATCAAACAGAAATAAATAAATCAAATCAGATCAAATCAAACTGTTATCACACATGAGACATATACATTCAAACATTGTAACAGACTAGAATTTCATTTGACAGAAAATAACAAATTAAGATTTCACAACAAAAACGTTACCTCATCAATGCAGGAATCCTCAATAATCTTGGGTGATTCAGAAGACAAGAGACCATGTGTAGCGATGATGTAAATCTTATAGGCTCCTCTCTCCTTGACTAGTTCAGCTGCTGCTACAAAGGATTCTGCCTCATCGATCATGTCATCCTGGTATGAGAGAGAGAGAGAGAGATAGAGAGAGAGAGAGAGAGAGAGAGAGAGAGAGAGAAAATTCTCATAAGTGTTCCATAACAAACTGATATAGCCTACCTTAAGGGAAGAGTGATCTGTTAAAATTAAGGGTGAACTCAAGTCTTGAATGATAACAATTTGATCTTTAAAGTATTAGATAGTTCTTCTACTCTCTCGTTCTGTTGGCATCCTCATCGTACAAAAATGATTTTGTGTAACTTACCCAACTAAAGCTATCATGACTGTTTTTTACTATTACTGCAACTGTATATGATTATGATAATTTCTTTTGGTAAACTGATCTGTAAACTTTTACCAGTGAAAAACAAATTTCTTAATGGATAATAAATGCTTAACATCAATATATCAATACAACTAATTCTCCTTATCCCCTCCTTTTTCTTGTTCTATTTCTTGTTCTTGTCCCCCCCCCCCCTTCCACTTTTCCTCCTTTTCCTTTTTCTCCTCCTTTTCTCCTCCTCCTTCTTTTCCTTCTTCTTCTTCTTCTCTTTCTTATCTTCTTATCTTCATATGTGGTTAAAAAACAAGAACTTATCATTACTTATTTGATAACTACATGACAGATGAAAATGTACATTTGTCAGGGATGAAAGAAATGCAGGACATAATTCATGAAGATAAAGACTTACAACAATAATGGCAATCCTTCCTCCTACGTCTCCTACAACATTGATGGGTGGTTTCTCTTTGGGTGTGAACACTGCACAAAAGAAATTGGTGCATATATGTTAATAAAAATAAATGAACATATATATGCCAACAAAAGTAAATATAGCATTTAAATTAATTAAAAACTTTGTTTGTTTCTTTGTTTGTTTTACCCGACTGCTAAGAAAGCATGTGTATGCCTGAAAGTAAGCAACCTGGAAGCTGACGGTGTTAATTCCTCCAAGACTTTGTAATGAGGATTAATGCCTTACCAAAGGGCACTAGTATATAGACTTGGTTTCTATCCAGAGCCTTCCGGTTACAAGACCAATGCTCTACCACTAAGCCATCATTCCAGTTAAAGGTAATACAAAGTTTTGGTATGGGGTCATGAATTTGATTCAAATGTACATATTGGAAGCATATGCGATCCTACAATATTCAGTGATCGTTGTCGCGGTTGAAATCGAGTCTGAAGTGATGGAATTGTAAATAATAAACTCTTTATGTTGTATAGCTCCCTCTCAAGGTCAAGATATTAATTTAGCTATAAAACAATGTTTCTCGACTAAAATCGACCGATTGGCTATTTCCATTAGGAAATTATATATCACAACTGCATATTCTGAGATTTTCATGGTCGCAGCTACCATTGTATGGCCGTAGGCGCTATTTGAAATTTATCAAAATTTTTCTTGAAAGCAAAAGTGTTTTAGGGGCTAAATTTTCTAGTGCTTATAATACATCCAAAGGGGCATCCAAATATATCAAAATTGTAAAGAATCACTATCCAGCTAATTTTCAAAATTTACCCAAACTTTGTAATACCTTTAAGGAGTATTTCAAAGATATAGTCTTTAACTGTTGCCTGATTACTTCTCTCAATTGAGCAGTACAAAGCTTTCTATTTTAACTTATCTGGGGGTTTGAATGAAGTACTATACAAACAATATCAAATTTTGTAATGTTTGATACCAAATAATGATCATATAATAATATCCTTTATATAACCACAGTCTAATACCACTGATGAAAGTAGAGTTTGACGACAAGTATTGTATGTTGTTTTAATTTTCCTCTGTCAACATCTCCTAACATTTTCTTCTGTCAACTTCAAAGTCAACATAAGACTTTCTGATGACAGTACTAGGTACAAGAGATAGAGCATGATTAATTGATACAGTCAAACCTGCTTTAGTGACCACCTGTCTACAGAGACCACATTTGTTGTTTCCCTTGAAAATGGTTTCTCATTGAAACATTTACTAAAGGAACCTGACTACAAAGACCACCAGTATATAAAGACCACTTTTTGTGTTTCCCTTGGACAGTTGCTATAGACATGATTGAGTGATACTTACAAGGAAGCCCAGGCATTCCTAGAGCCTGACTGCTACTCCCTGATGCCACAGGGGGCGGAGAATGGCGGCCATCAATCCTGTCAGATTCAGATTCTTTCTGCTCTCCATGGATCACAGCTAATCCTAGACGTAGCCTCTCAGCATAGGATGTAGCCCTGTTTGCTGAAGCAGGATTGCGAGCAACTATCACAGCATTTCTCCAATCAGGAATCTACCAATGAAAGCAGAAGGTTTAAAGTCAGTTATATGGCAGCTAAGTGTCCTTTAAATATTAAGATGGGTGAACATTTATTGGTAATGGCTGAAAGAAGAAGTGCTGCATCCAGTGGCAGTAATACACCTAGCAAAACTGCAACAGTATTTTCAAACTCTTATTTGCAAGTATGCAATAAAGATACATTACTTGCAACAATTGCAAAGAGAAACTCATCTAAAAGTTTATCCAACGTGCATGGGTGTGACATGGATAATTTACTACATATTTCATATCACATATTTTATGATCAATATATTTTTGGGGGTGAGACAAGGTTGGCTTTTAAAGGTAATACAAAGTTTTGGTATGGGGTCATGAATTTGGTTCAAATGAACATATTGGATGCATATATGCGATCCTACAATATTCAGTGATCGTTGTCGCGGTTGAAATTGCGTCTGAAGTGATGAAATTGTAAATAATAAACTCATTATGTTGTATAGCTCCCTCTCAAGGTCAAGATATTAATTAAGCCATAAAACAATGTTTCTTGACTAAAATCGACCAATTCTCGCTACCCCAAATAGCGATTCTGCCGAGATCCGGGGAAAATCCTGAAAACGCGCATTGCATTATGGGATAGCTTTTCGACATTACAGCTTCCTGTGCAGGCGCGCGATAGCGCAAACGTAAAACACCGTCGCCACACAACGTGTATGCACCGAATATGTCGTCTGCTCGGTCTTGTTTTTTTTTCGCAAATATTTCAACGTTTATTTGAACATTTCATTCGTTGTTTTTTGCGTCTTTTGACATCAGTGACGATGGTTTTCTTTTGTGAGGCTGCACAGTGCTGGGCTCATGATTCCAAGCGTAAGAACCCTGAAAAATGGGGGTGGATGAAGGCCGTGACTTGGGATGGGACTCTATACCGGAAGTTGTAGTGACGACCCGAGAGAGTGAAAATTACCTCGTCTCGCGAATTTCGAGATTTTCGTACCTATTTAGGGTAGCGAGAATTGGCTATTTTCGTTAGGAAATTATATATCACAACTACATATTCTGAGATTTTCATGGTCGCAGCTACAATTGTATGGCGAAGCGTTATTTGAAATTTATCAAAATTTACCGGGAGCACTTGTAAATTTTTATATTCAATTTTACTTGAAAGCAGAAGTGCCTTAGGGGCTAGACTTTCTAGTGCTTACAATACATCCATAGGGGCATCAAAATATATCAAAATTTACCAAAACGTTGTATTACCTTTAAGCTACTTAACAACTCAATCATACTTCATTATCCATATATCAATGGAAATACCTCACATCTGGTAGGATGCCAAGGGAAAGAGGAACTACTGCAATTCATTTTGAAGTATGAAAGTCCACTGGACATCACTTACATGTTCTTGAATGTATTGGACCAAGAATGGGGAAGCTCTGAGGTTGTCTACAGGAACGTCAAAGAAGCCTTGGATCTCTTTATGATGTAGGTCCATCGTGATTACATGTGTCACACCTGAGAAAATGGAATAAAGAAAACATGATAATAATAATAATAATATTGGATTCTTATATAGCGCACGTATCGACCTTGCAAGGTCCTCAAGGCGCTCCAACATTACATGGCTATGCTAGGCTGCTGATTTTGACGCTCACAGCATTTAAGGAATTCCTTCCTACTGGTACCCATTTAATACCTGGGTGGAGAGTGGCAAATGTAGATTAATGTCTTGCCAAAAGACATTAGTGCCGAGGCGGGACTCAAACCGCGAACCCTGTGATTCAGTCCGACGACTTATCCACTACGCCACAACACCTCTACATGCCAAGAGGTGGGTTCTTTTATCTGCGATGATTGATTTGGGCAAGTAGTATGCATTACCAACTACATCAAAGATTTTAGTACGTCTTATGATTATATAATAGCTCACCATAGCTTGCATCTGGCAAAATATCAATGAAGTTCACTCAGCAATATACATTCATGACTTTAATTGGTACAGACATTTTCCAAAGAATTGTTTTTGCTAGATGCTATCCTACAACTGATGTCACAGGTACCTCTGGTCTCTGCTTAAATCCATGCAGAAGGAACTCAAAATCTAGTTCTGTTGAACAACAAAGTATGTTAACCTCATATACTTCCTTTCTAGATATACTGAGACACAGTGCATACAACAGGCACATACTGTACCAAATAGTACGTAATTACACATTCTAAAAGAGAGGTTTTAAAAAACAAATTTGAAATTCTTACCAGATTTGCAGAGCATAGTGGCAAGCAGCTTGGCAACAATGGAACCTCTTTTCCTCATCTGACTCTGCTTACTGTACGGAAGGTATGGGATAACAGCTACGATGGACCGTGCACATGATGTCTTACAAGCATACGCTATGATCAGTAGCTCCATGATCGCATTATTCACATCTCTGTAATGCAAACATATTAAGACAAATCAGTTAAGTATCTTTGTTAGAAGTCCCAATATTAAGATTAGCTGCACCTCACTTCCTAATACATACACATCAACACATTCTGCATGTTTACAAACAGTGAGTTCACATGATTCTTTTCAATACAAAGGCTATGTTTTGACACTTGTGAAATAAACCATACCCTAATCAATCCTAAATCTGCACAAACTACATGATACAAATATACATCATAGTCATACCTACAATAATGAATAATTAGATAATATTTAGACAGAAATGAAGGGCCATGACTACTGATGTCTGTAACAGACCTGGCCCTTGATGATGATGATGATGAATACCGGTATGAGTCATAACTTTACAAGAAATTTAATAAAAATATACTCTTTATTGGACAATCTTGACATGAATCCTACATGTTGCTTATGATTTTTGAGAGATCAACATATCTCTCATTTAGATTAACATAAATATTTCGACTTCCTGAACACCAGACAACTTTTTCATTTGACAAATTTAAGCATGTCTCTGAAAAAGAAGTGTTGCAAGTTATCACTAACTCTACTTCAAAGACGTCTTATCTGGACCCTATCCCAACTCACCTGCTAAAGAAATGTCTTCACGAACTTACACCTATCATAACTTTTGTTATTAATGAGTCATTTAATAGTGGTTGTTTTCCTGAAAAATTCAAACTTGCAAATATTGTACCAATTCTCAAAGGCATAAAATGTGATTCTGATGTACTTAATAATTACCGCCCTATTGCAAACTTGAAGTTCTTTGCTAAGACATTAGAAAGAGTGGCAGCTTTACAGCTACAACGGTACTTAAATAATCATGAACTCCACGCAAAATTTCAATCTGGGTATAGATCATTCCATAGTGTTGAAACTGCCTTACTGCGAATAACAAATGATGTATTGTTGACACTTGATAAGGGTGAGGAAGTCATACTAGTCCTCTTAGATTTCTCGTCTGCGTTTGATACCATAAAGCATGATGTCTTGCTGCAACGATTGTCGCAAAAGTTTGGTATTCGCAGTGGGGCACTCGACTGGATCGAGTCTTATTTGACAAATCGTAATCACACTGTTGTTATAAGAAATGAACTATCGTCTAGTTATTGTAGTTCTCAAGGGGTACCTCAAGGTTCAGTGTTAGGTCCCCTGTTGTTCACACTTTATACTGCTCCACTAGAGTCACTAATTGACAGTCATAATGTTCATAAAATGTTCTACGCTGATGACACTCAACTGTATATTGCATTTAAACATTCAGATGTCCAAGGTGTTATTTCTCAAATGGTTGACTGTGTTCAAGCAATTAAAGAATGGTCACAAATCAACGGTCTTAAGCTCAACAGCAACAAGACTGAATTCCTTCACATATCTTCACGTTTTCGTTCTACAGATCATATATCATTCATTAACTTAGATGGCACACAGGTTAATTCTGTCAGGAAGTGTCGTAATTTGGGTGTGATATTTGATGATAATTTCACTATGGACAATTTTGTTTCACAGAAATGCAAATCAGCATCTTTTGCACTTCACAAAATTGGGAAAATTCGCAATCTGATACATAAACACACTACTGAACGCTTGATTCACGCTTTTGTGGCGTGTCATCTTGATTTTTGTAATAGCCTCCTTTCTGGGATTTTGGCTCGTCAAATGCAGAAGATGCAGGTTGTGCAGAACTCAGCAGCTCGTCTTATTTATCGTATTAGGAAACATGAATCTGTGTCTCTTATTTTAAGAGACTTACACTGGCTACCCATTCACTCTCGCATTTTATTCAAAATATTGTTGTTAGCTTATGAATGTTTTTATGATTTTGCGCCTCCTTATTTGATTGAGCTATTAACATTGTACACACCTTCTAGAAATCTTCGTTCTAATAAGAAAAAATTGTTTGTTATTCCACCAGTGATGACCAGGTCATATGGTGAACGCAGCTTCGCTCACACTGCCTCAACTTCATGGAACAATCTCCCGGAACATCTAAAAAACATTGACTCCATTGTTAAGTTTAAGATTGCTTTAAAGACGCACTTATTTAACATTTAATTCATCCATTTTGTCCGTTACCCAGTATGTCTTGTCTTTGTATTCTGTTATGTTTTTTCTCTAGAGCGCGTAGGGACATGTTTTAATACTATGTGTTATGCGCTATACAAGAACGGTTAATTATTATTATTATTATATTTGATCTCTTTACAACATAAATTGCAAATTGGGAGTAATGATACATAAACATAACTAGGCATTATGTACCCTTCAACGTTTGATATAGAGTGAGTTACAAAGCATGTTAGCTGCATTTTCAATGTTGTATTCAACGGTAACACAAGAAAAAGTTTCCTGCAAATATGTTGAGCAATTTTGCAAACACTTCCATATTCATGCACTTAGAGGTTCAGTTTCAATGCTCAAATGTTGCAATTTTCAAGAATAGTCTCATCAAACCACACTTTTACATTTGAAATAACATAACTTACTTTGCTCCAGTCTGCAGTATGAAAATGTCTTTGCCTCTTACTGATTCTTGAATTTGTACTTTTGTTTCTATTGGGGGGAAGAAAAAAATACTGGTAAGTGAAATAAAAATTTACATTTTCAAAGTGATGTTAGTAATGGCCTTTACACAGTGATCGAATAAAAAGCAAACCAAAGTTTTAGTGGTTATTTAATGTTAACCTAGAACAACCTTGGTCCCCTAAAGGTTGACCTTTGCTATATGGTTTGACTTGATAATTATACAAATTTGTGTGAACATCTCCGCCAACATAAATGGAAGACTATAATTTCATGTATTGGAAGTAAAATAATAGTCACAATACAGAAGGGCTTTACAAATCATACACATTTAGTCTCATTGTGCAGAATTGCTGCTAATAATTTCATTCCCAATTTCAAAGCCGAAAAATTTCCCAATAGTGTTAAAAGTAAATGATCTCATCATACTTATTAAACACTTCATGTATCTTTAATAAATGATATGGTAATAACATTAGGAAGTCTGTCAGAGGGTCATATGCCATTCTGTGCTAGGAGTTAAAGAGTATCCTCTACAATTTTCACTTCCTCTTTTATTCTCCCATGGATGCCATTCATGTACATACTACATGTACATGTCACATGTTTGAAATAACAAAATGTTTACATCTTCAAGTGCTCTACATTGTAAGTACATGCATATGTTGCACAATTCTCTCAATGTAAATTCCAGAAACTCACAAATGTTTGCCAATGTCATGAGTGGTTCAATTTAGAAGTTTCATGGGCCTTCTCGTGAAATAAGCCACTATTTGTGTGTACACACACACAAACATGCATGTAATGTCTATGGGAAGTGGAATCCCGTAGGCATTGCATGCAATGAACCGCTACATACATTACAAAGTGAATGAGCAGTAGGTTATTTCACAAGAATGCCGTTCCATGCCGTGAAATAATGGAATCACAAGTGACAGAACAATAAACTTTTGGCAATTCAGAAAACTTGGTTTTGCTTTGAGATTCACTCCTTTACAGTTCATGGAAGTTGCATGTTGTAAATGCTTCTAGGTTTTGCATTATTTTGAATAAAGACATCCATGAGCATTTTTTTATTTTATTACATAGCCTGTAGGAGCTATAGAATATTGACATTGCCCAAACAAAAAGAAAAAGAAAAAATAAGAAAGAAAGAAAGAAAGAAGAATAAACCCCAAAACAAAAATAAAAACACTTGCAGCGATAGTGCTACATATAATCAACATGAATCGCAGTAAGGGTATTGAGATTTTACCTTTGTTATCTTGTGTGTAAACATCCACCTGACCCAATTCTACTCCCAGGCGCCTGGTAAGAAATAAGAACATGTACTTATATTAGATCATGGATGAAAATAATAAAAAAAGACTCAACAACAAGGGCAGTATGACACAGCCTGGTATGACAAGCTATCCATGCCTTTGCATGTAATCTCACAGCTATACTACATGTAGTCGTAGACACTTTCTCACAGGATTCACAGAAAAAATACTGCACAATTCAATTGCAAACCACACAGATGGTGGGGTCCGGGCAAGTGCGTGATGTAAGCAACGGTGATGATGAATTGCTTACATTAATCTGAGGATCTGAGATTATTTACAGTCGCTAACGTCACGCACGTGTGCGAGCCCTCACCTCACCGTCGGTACGGTATTGTGAAGCAGTTTGCCCTGAATCCTGTAAGAAAGTGTACATTGTAAGTCTTTCGTTTTTGCAAAAATAATCTAAAAAAGATAAGAAAATTGATACGAACAGGTAAATTACAGACTTTTAAATTATGACCATTATTAAAACAATTGATGAATATTTACTTGATTTTGGGTAGATCTACTCTAGGCTCTACGTTAGCAGCTCGACGCCGGAGTTACTTACAGGTCAAAGTATGGATATGATTCTGAATTAGCGCCACTACTTTTTTAGATTTCCCCCAAGGACCAAACCCGCTATTTGAATCGTTTCCCGGTTCAGGATCTGGAACTCCGACGCCTTTGGTGGCGGAGCTCACTTTCTTTACCCTTGTCCTGCAGTTGAGTTTATGGGAGATCGGCCTCAACCTCGGGAAGGTTGACAAATGGCAGATTGATTAAAGAATTCCCCATACCATTTACCATACAGTTGTTTCTGTCTGTTCTTTACAATGTCAATGTCTCCAATTTAATTTACCACTGTCTCAGTGACTCACTCACTGACATGACAGACAGATTCACACTGAGTGCGACGAGATCAGTCGTCCTTTATTTTGATGTTCGTAAACGTGTTGTCATGTCGCATTAAAATTGCAATTCAACTTCAGTTTTCAAGTTTCAAGTTACAACTTACCTTGCAACGGAATTTGCCAATTCTGGATGGCTGTTTCCAGCAAAAAACAGAAGGCCTGTGGCCCGATTACTAGCGTTAATTCTGGCCATTGCTGAGCTCTAGATCTAGTTTACTTTGCGTCGAGATCCTGGATGCATGCAAGTGTATAATGTAGGCCCTACCTATGCGAACAACATTCGATGTCTTCGTTCGTCGATTCTCTATCAAAATTGGAAGAACGAATTTGTTGCGGATGTTATACGTGTACCAGTGCAGTAGTGATCATGACAGATTTTTAATTACTCAACTAAAATATCATCAATTTAATCAAAATAAAAAACATTTTAGCTTCTAAAATATTTCTAAAAATCTAAGAATGAAACTTTCTTATTTACGGAAACTTCTCAAAATTACAAAACATTATTTTCAATGGAATGCTTGTTGCCGATTTTCCTTCGTCTGAACTTTCGCGCGGCACACATGTAAACAAGGCGCACGTGTGAATCTGTTGCGCACTCGTACACACTGGATCTCGATCTCCGGCCGAGGCCGAGCTAGCGGTATTAGAAAGAAGCAGCCAGCGTGAAGTTAAGCGGTCATGATGGATGGGCGTTGCGCTGTCGATGCACTCTGCAAATAAATGCAGTCTCGTCGGTCAACCGTGCTGCTCAGTTGACAGTTCAGTTCAGGCGTTACAAGCATGCCATAGCTTTCAGTTAACTAAAATAAAGGGTCAGTCTAGGGGTTTTGATTTGGTATGTTTTACCAATAGTTAATCGTCTACTACTAGATCTAGTAGTACTAGTTTACTAGATCTAGATCTAGACTTATTGTTGCCTTTTGAGACTCTATTCAACATAATCTGTTTGGGCAATTGGGGCCTTGATGCTGCATGCTGCATGCTGGTGGCACGATTCAGCTGTGGAACATTAAGAAGAGCTGTCATCATGACTTCGTCGTCTACCATGTCTACTGATGCTGTAGTCCTTTCCCCATACTTTCGGGGAAGAACTACCCGATCTCGAGCATCAAAGTTTGGCATGTTGGAGATGACTAGACCTCGGTCTTTACACAACGAAGTGGAGAAACCTCTTCATAAAAGTACAGCAGACAGTGGAGAGAGGGATGACCATGATGACAGATTAGGTGTTAAACAGAGACATATCAAGATTGCATATGAATCCAACAACCCGAACAGCCATGCTGTCAAGAAGATGAAAGCTCAGTCTTCAGTCAAAACTTCGACAAGCAGCAAGCTATCATCAGCTAGTATTAGTGACCCACCTGAAAACTCAGAAAGCAATAACAACAAGATGAAGAGTGGAAAACGGGAGTTGAGTCAACAGGATCAGGATGGGAAATCCAAAAGGAGTTTGGTTCAGAAACAAAGAGTTGGGAAATCTTCAAAAGCCAGTGTATCAAAGAGAGAGACTTCAACTGATTGTGCCATGTCTGAGGATACTAGCGATGGTAAAGAGAAGGGGAAGAAGAATGGATGGGAACCAGAGATGTGGAGAGATCAGCTGGAGAATCTTCGTGAGATGAGGAAGAACAAAGATGCTCCTGTTGACAGCATGGGAGCAGAGAAGATCTGCGACTCATCTGCAGCTCCTGAGGTAAACAGTTAACCCAATATCAAGATGGATTTAGGGGAATAAAGTTAAAGCAGCAGGTGCGTACACAGGGGGGGGGGGGTGGGGTGTTTTGGGGGTTAAACCCCCCTCTATGTTTCTGTCAGTGGCAAACCCAGGTGACCTGGCTGCCCCCCCCCCCCCCAAAAAAAAAAAAAAAAAAAAAAAAAAAAATATGGTTACGTAGTATTACCGGTAACCTTTATTTTAAACAAGTTCTAAATTTCCAGGGGCAAATTTTTTTTTTTTAAATGCTCCTCCTGTGTACGCCACTGTAAAACAGTTTGTAGATGTAGGTCATGCAGAGAGTGCCATTATTATGCCATACCTTTACCAAAAATACCAAGGCCTTGGCAAAGGCACCTACATGGTAGAGTGAGTGACATAATGTTGGCGTGTGTCCCAGACTACAGGTACAGGTTCCTGTGCATGCATGTACGGTACACAACTTGCGGTCTTTGCAGTTGTAGAGTTATTGCTAAACCAAGGGTTTCAATGTAACACCAACAGGAAAGGTAGGGGAGAGGGAGGGGAGGGGTAGTCGACAGTCGTAATGACATACTTTTATGGGTTTGGGTTCAGGTGGTCAAAATAAATGTGTTTTTTTTTTAGTTTAAACTTTTAATTGATGTAAATACATGTAGTTGTATTATTCAAAAACTCTTTCCTTAATTTCCAGGTGTATCGCTACCACGTTCTGCTATCATTGATGCTGTCCAGTCAGACCAAAGATCAAGTTACCTCTGCTGCTATGGTCAAGCTTAGGAGTCATGGTTTGACCGTTGATAACATCCTTAAGACTCCAGAAGCCAAGATTGGGGAACTCATTTATCCTGTTGGGTTTTGGAAGGTAATTGTTAAAGGTTTTTTTTTTTTTTGGTGTGATTATTTTACATCAGGGCATCACTGTCAGAAGTAAAAAAATTAATACATGTTGCAATGGGTTGTCGGTACTTGTTGGTGAACTTGTAGTTACAGTATATGACAGTTTTTAATGAAATGCTGCTCTGTATTCATGATGTATTCATACTTAGTTGTTCAAGTTTTGTACTCTTTAGTCTTTACTGTCATGATCTGAGAAACACTACAAGACTCATGACTTGGCTATATTTCTTTTCATTCCAATGTATACAATTATACATCACTGACCTATTTTTATGTTCTTACCGTTAACAGACTTTTCAAACTGTACTTTATCAATATCACTTTCTTGCATCTTTACCTTTAGTGTAAATTGCCCAGTTCTTTGTGTCAGAGTAGTTGTCAAAAGGCTTGAGTTTGATGAAAATAGCAAGCTGAGAGGCTTAAATCTAGGCAGTTGCATATCAAATCTATGAAGCTTTAGAGTGGACACGAGAGGGCAGCATAAAACAGTTGAATAGTTTTCATTTAGGACAAGACAACCATAAAATGGGAAAGGTAGTTTGTACCGGTAGTTCATTTTATTGTTATGTTATCATTTATGTTACCAGTATAATTGTCATGTTTTATTATCTAGAATGAACATGCAGTTTGTTTAGAATTCTTGAGAAGTAAGTATCAACTAATGTATGTTGTTGTTGTTGTTGTTTAGGTTTATAGGCGTTTATCATTCAGGAGTGAATATTTACGCCGTACTTCAAAATAGTCCAGAATTCAGCAGTTATTTGTATGTTTTAACTTGCTTGATAAAATATTCCATGTGTACATACTTATCATTAAACTGGTATCACATAACAGGTGTTATATTTATCTTTATTACAGAGGAAAGCTGATTTCATCAAGAGAACCACACAGATCTTAAAGGACCAGTACCAGGGAGACATTCCTCCATCTTTAAAGGAACTGATCCAGCTTCCAGGGGTAGGTCCCAAGATGGCCCACATCGTCATGGATGTGGGATGGAACCAAATTACAGGTATCGGGGTAGATACTCACGTCCATCGCATCAGTAACAGGCTCAAGTGGGTCCAGAAAGAGACAAAGACTCCGGAAGCCACCAGGGTCAGCCTTGAGGATTGGTTGCCAAGGTGATTTAAAAGCACTATGAGTGATCAACTTTTGATTTTTGCTCTTTTTTTCCCAATTTGTAAGCCAGTAGTGTCTTCACTCCCATATGTCCCATCAGGCCTTTAAAAAAAAGATGTTGTATTGCCCTTTAGGTGCCAAAACATGGATTGGTCAGTTGGTCAGAAATCTTTTCTTTTTTTTTTTTCTTTTTTTTTAACTTCCTCTTTGGGCTGATATTTCTCAGTTTTGAATGCTTTGATACATTTTTTTTCTAAAAAAACTATAATTTTTTTTTTTTAAAGCTGACTGTAGATTTCAAGATTTTTGAGCCAATCGCAAAGCCAAAGTGCAATACAACCATCTTTTTTTAGGCCTCATCAGAAACCCATTTATTAACATGACTGTATACACATGCAAAGTCTGACCCAATAGTCACAATCAGAATGAAATATAATTCCCCTCTTCCCACAGGTGACCCCTCCAACATTAGGTTTGTAAAATTACAGTTTCATAAAAATCTGATTAGGATACACCCGTAATCCATTGTAAATCTCATTTAGTGAAGAGAATAGATTGCCGAATTTATCAGAGTTTAATATGTCACCTGCACGCGGTACAGTTATGATCTTCCCTCCAAATTTGTAAGCCAGTAGTGTCTTCACCCCCATATGTCCTGTCATCAGAACCCATTTATCAAAATTCCTGTATACATCCAAAGTCTGACCCATAATCACAATCAGAATTTAAAATAATTCCCCTCTTCCCACAGGTGATCCCCCCTACATGTAAAATTTCTGATTCATAAAATCTGATTTTAATAGGGAAATTAATCGAACTGGATACACAATTAACCCTTTGTAAATCTCATTTAGAGAAGAACATAGATTGGAGAGCTTATCAGAGTTCAATATTTCACCTGCACGCGAGACAGTTATGATCTCATGGCTTTCTGCTCTGATACTCTGCTTCTCTGAGACTAGAAAAACATGCAGTCCACATCTAGCAATAAGAGGTCAAATGACCTGCAAATGAAAATATTCATCATTTTCTCAATTTTCTTACTGCAGGGACTTGTGGAGTGAAGTCAACGTTCTCCTTGTTGGATTTGGCCAGCAAACATGTCTACCTGTGGGACCAAGATGCTTGGAATGCCTTAATAAGGATATCTGTCCCTTTGGTAAGCAGGAGATCAAACGAAAGAGTCCACTCAAAACGAGTCCTGTCAAGAAGAATACAAAGACATCTCCTTGAGAGCAGTACGTAACGGATGGTTGGTTACATGTATGTATGAGATAGAAAAACATGAACGTGACTACGAGTGAGAAAAGACTCTTAACCTGGAGTTGATAACGTTTTCTTAAACAGGCATTTCCCATTGGTTTCATCGTGAGATATCTGATAAGTACTCATTGGGAAAAAGAAATGGTGATTCTATGCATGTCTGTTCTTAAATCTTGACAATCAGCGAAGAAAGTCTACTATATACACTTGGCATAGTGGATTTGATGAGTGAATCTAACAGTACTATAATTTAAGAAAAAAGATGGGTTTGTAGTAATCTTTACACATATGGGCTAGATTTTGTGACAAGTCCTATGTAGTTTACATGTATGTCAGCCCCTCAAGGATGTTAGAGTTGGAAGGTGGTAGGAGCAGTTTTAAAAGACTGGAAATTTTACAAGAAAAATACTTCTATGCAACAACTATGATAGCATGTGTGTATTCATAGTTATAGACTATTTTACTGTTCAAGTGGTAGTGATGTAGGTAAATATTGTGTATGTTGATAGTATAGACATATTATGATATGGTGCTTCATGTGTATTTTAAGGGTACATTAAAGGCATTATTTAACAATTTTTCCAGTTTTATAAATCTGAGATGCATGGCCCTACGTGTTTCCAGTGTCTGTGATATAGTGTAATATTGATGCCCTAAAAAAATTGCACTTCAAAATGATCATGTAGTGCTTCAAAAAAAAAAAAATTTAATTGAGTGACCGCTTTTACCATACCGGTACTCATTTTTCCAAATGGACTGTAGTGTAATAAAATCAGTTTTTGAAATTTCTAATCCAATCATAAATATCTTGATAATCAGACCGGCGATCGGCTTGTAAAAGTCATGGGATTCCTGACTGACATTTTGATTGCAGCATGAGCTGAATCCAATATTTTATCTGAGGCAAAGATACCCAATCCCTTTAAGTTTTGTAGAATTAATGTATCACAGATTCTAATGAATTTCATGCTGCACGTCTTTACCTCAAAATAGTTTGACAAATTTATATGAAGCTTTTAAGTTCAACTTTCTAAAAGAGATTTGCATGCCTTGTGGTAAACGGTGTGGTAAATGTTTTTTTTTGGTAAACTGTTTTTGTATTAGCATATTATTTAAATTGAAGTTGAAGGGAAATCCAACCTTGATAGAAAATTACTTTAGATTAAAGGAAAAAAATCAGGGAAGCCTAATAAGCATAGCCCCAAGCGTGTCGGCATCCAGCTCTGGATCAAATCTTTTACAAGCTTTGTCTGGACAGCTTGAATCCGTCGTGTGTTGGCTTTCCCCACAATACCAGGCTTCTTCTTTGGTTGCCTCGGAGTATGGAGCACTGGCGCTGGCCTAGAAGGATCACCTCCTACGGGGAAGTCTTCATCTTGCCCCCTCGTCGCACCACCTGACTCCAGGGAGTGATTAGTACTTTTGGGTTGAGGCTTTTGGGCAGGAGCGGCAGCGTCCAACCGTAACCTAAGTGACTTTGACTTTCGTATGTACACAAAATATTACCAAATCCTTTTTTTTCTCCAAATGTTTAGGGACGTATAGATTTCACTATTGCATAACTTTTTCATTATGTGCCCGAATTTTTTCAAACTTTCACTGATTTGCTTTTCGAATTTTTTAGTTTTCATACAAAGCAACAAGGTATCAAGGTGGACTTACCGTTAAAGTTTTTTCTCTTCATGCTCATGTCGTATTTTATTTGCTTCAAAAGTTAACTAAAGCAAGAATGACAATAGTATACTTTCCCTCCTGAAATAACAAAATGCATTTTTCCTGGCCTCACTCGACATTACATGCATCAAGTAAATTTCAGTTTTGAGCAAGGTATGAATTTCTCTCTGAAAATAGCACTGAAAATTGGCTGTCAACATTATAGAATATAACATAGCTAGTAAAGTAATATATCAGTAGAATTAAACATGTACCATCTGCTATACTGCTAGGCACAAGTTGAAACTTCCTTGGCCCAACTGCTTGTTGCGGTATAACTCGATGATTGTATAATATTAAAACTTTCATGGGTGATTATCGATGGCCATTTGGAATATTTAAGGGCTGAAAACATAAAAGATTCATTGACATTCATTAATTTCATCTGCATTCTGAGACCAAAAAGTGTTTGATCATTGTGTACGATAACAGTCTTTGTTCAGTTTGGAGCATTCCCTCTTTTCAATTGAATTCTGCAAACACACAATGAAAGTTCATGTTTGCTTACATTGTGGACAGAAATACATCTCTGGTAAACTATGGAGCTTTAGGTAGTAGACATGAATCCATTTTCCACATCGCAAGTGTTTCACACTGTACCCATTGTTTCTCTACAGTTTCTTCTGCCTTAGCGATAGTTAGATGGTAAGTCACATTTCTCTGGCTTGCATTTCCTGTCAGTGAGCATAGAGATCTGTTTTGAGGTACCCCCAACAGAGATGATGCAGTCAGGTGCTAGGGCAAATAGAACATGCCCAGCTGTTCCATGACCATAATTATTGTCATTCTGTGTTTTGAGTTTGTACTTCTTCCTAACGATGTCAAGTATGAATACTCTGCAGGAGGCATGTCTTGAAGACTTAGGGGTCTCAGAACTGTTTTGCAGTTGAAATCCTCCGGATACGACAATGTAATTGTTTACTTTGGCTGTTGCGTGGTATGAAATGTACAGAAGTTTGTTTGTTATATTTCCGTATAAAAAGACAGCATGCATTCAGTAAAATAATAACAAATAGAATAATGAATAACAAGATAAGATAAATGGCTGGATAGCCCATATTCAGCGGTATCGTTATGATACCACTGGTCTTCCATGGGGACCAGAAATTATACAGTAAAACAATACAATATACATAAACACACGACAAAGAAAAACAACAAAGAAAAATAGCAAAACATAAATTCCCAAGCAAAATATAATCCTCTGGATACGACAATGTAATTGTTTACTTTGGCTGTTGCATGTTATGAAATGTACGGAAGTGGTGTACTCCATGGACTAACGGGTGCAAGGGTAACGGTAGAAAGAACTGCTGTGTCTATATTTTGGGAGTTCATTATTAGCAAGAGTACTTGGTTGATTAGTACTCTTTTTTGTGTTCTTCTATTCTGTGCTATAACAACTTTACTACAAAATCAGGCATGACTCGATTGCTTGGTGTCTGAGTGCAAGAGTGCTTTCTTCTCATCTCATCTCCTTATGTATACCGGTATACAGCATCTCAATCTTGGTTACATACCGGTAACATAATATACAGGGTGGCACTGGGTGAGCACAGCTGGATGTAGCTGGTGTTTATATACACATGGATTAATGGGGATTAACGCTCTAGACACTAAGCCATGGGAAAGTGAAGTTGGTAGCAAAGTGAACAGGTCATCAATATAGCAAACACAATATCCCTCTTTTTCTCAGATTTAAAAGTATACATAAAAATACATTATATTTAGGTTGTGAAACAACATTTGACAAAATCATTTCTGTGTATTTCTGTTTGCAAAACGACATCTTATAAAGTGAAAACGAAACGCAAGGTAATAAAATCAGTTTTGGTAACAAAAAACAAAACTTATGATACAAGGTAACAAAATCAGTTTGGTAACAATACATGTGTGAAAGAAGTATGGATAGCACAGAAAAAGAACATCAGAGTTTGGAGAGATAGGAATACATAATGAATAGGCAATTGTAAACGTAGAGTTAAACAGAAACTCTATCTTTGAATTTATTCTTCGGATTAAGACATAACATTATATTAGTGGTCGGTCACCATGATAAGAGAATACATCTCTCTAAACCAAAGACAGCATTGATATGTTCATTACAAGTTAAATGCATAATAAAAGAGTTCACTAAAAGTTCATGGTTTGAGTCCTCTGTTCGATCATTCATGCGATTAAAATTTTCCTTACTTGTGACATATATTGCGTTGTTTGATTTCCTCTTTTAATCTTCACACTTCCTCCCTTCTTTCCGATTACGACCCATGGACTTGGGTCAAAGCGAGGGGAAAACATATCCGACTTTCTCTGAACTATGACATCACCACAGCTAATGTCTCGCGATTGCCTTTGTTGCCTTCATTTCTTTCGATCATGATACACTTTCATTGCCTTGTAGTTATATACTTTGTCGTTGCGACTCGCTTCTTGATGAGCTTTACTGGGCGTGGTAGTGGAGCTGCAGACATCATTCTCTCGATCAGCAGGGGGCTGAGTGTCCATATGAACAGCACTAGTGTGATTGTCCTGGAGATGGTGGTGATGGTGTGATTGTCCTGGTGACAGTGGTGACGGTGTGATTGTCCTGGTGACAGTGGTGACGGTGACGGTGTGATTGTCCTAGTGATGGTGGTGACGGAGTGATTGTCCTGGTGACGGTGGTGACAGTGTGATTGTCTTGGTGACGATGGTGACGTTGTGATTATCCTGATGACGGTGGTGACATTGGTAATGGTGTGATTGTCCTGGTGACGGTGGTGATGGTGTAATTGTCCTGGTGATTGATGACTATTATGCTATGTTTCATGTCAGCGGCAAGGTAACCTCTTTGGTTAAGGAGCGGGCAACCATATATATATATCTTCTTTTATCTTATTTGTTTACAGACAGTGATCATTGTTGAAGTCTACTGATCGACTGACACAAATAGCCGAATCTTATTTATGATCACAGTTTGTGTGATAGTTGTCCATGATGGTCTGAAGAGGTGCTGGTGGTGGTGGTGACGGTGTGTGACTGTCCTGAAGATGGTGGTGATGGTGTGATTGTCCTGGTGACGGTGACGGTGTGATTGTCCTGGTGGCGGTGGTAACGGTGTGATTGTCCTGGTGGGGGTGAAGGTGTGATTGTCCTGGTGATGGTGGTGAAGGTGTAAATGTCCTGGTGGTGGTGAAGGTGTGATTGTCCTGGTGGTGGTGAAGGTGCGATTGTCCTAGTGACGGTTGTGACGGTGTAACTGTCCTGGAGATGGTGGTGATGGTGTGATTGTCCTGGTGACGGTGGTGAAGGTGTGATTGTCCTGGTGACGGTGGTGAAGGTGTGATTGTCCTGGTGACAGTGGTGACGGTGTAACTGCCCTGGAGATGGTGGTGACGGTGTGATTGTCCTGGTGATTGATGACTATTTTGCTCTGTTTCATGTCAGCGGCAAGGTAACCTCTTCGGTTAATGAGCGGGCAACCATATAGAAGTGCTACCGGCAGTAATCCCTAAATTCGGGCCGCGTTTTGGCACTCCTGGAGCATTGTTGGCCGTTGCGGGTCCTGGCCTGGCAGCGAGTGCGGCGATGAAGGAGATTGTCTAATATCATTGGGTCGTATTATAAGTCTTCGTCGCACTGTTAGCCTTTCGTTTCTTTTTGCACCAAAGACTTGGGGGTGACGGTGTGATTGTCCTGGTGACGTTGGTGACGGTGTGATTGTCCTGGTGGTGATGAAGGTGTGATTGTCCTGGGGATGGTGGTGAAGATGTAACTGTCCTGGTGGTGGTGAAGGTGTGATCGTCCTGGTGACGGTGGTGACGGTGTGATTGTCCTGGTGATGGTGGTGACGGTGTGATTGTCCTGGTGATGGTGGTGAAGGTGTAACTGTCCTGTTGTGGTGAAGGTGTAATTGTCCTGGTGGTGGTGAAGGTGTGATTGTCCTGGAGATGGTGGTAAAGGCGTGATTGTCCTGGTGACGGTGGTGACGGTGTAACTGTCCTGGTGACGTTGGTGAAGGTGTGATCGTCCTGGTGACGGTGGTGACGGCGTGATTGTCCTGGTGATGGTGGTGAAGGTGTGACTGTCCTGGTGGTGGTGAAGGTGTAACTGTCCTGGTGGTGGTAAAGGTGTAACTGTCCTGGTGGTGGTGAAGGTGTAACTGTCCTGGTGGTGGTGAAGGTGTGACTGTCCTGGAGATGTTGGTGAAGGTGTGATTGTCCTGGTGACGGTGGTGACGGTGTGATTGTCCTGGTGACGTTGGTGAAGGTGTGACTGTCCTGGTGGTGGTGAAGGTGTGACTGTCCTGGTGGTGGTGGTGAAGGTGTGATTGTCCTGGTGACGGTGTGATTGTCCTGGTGACGGTGGTGATGCGATTGTCCTGGTGGTGGTGGTGGTAAAGGTGTGACTGTCCTGGTGGTGGTGACGGTGTGATTGTCCTGGTGATGGTGTGATTGTCCTGGTGACGGTGGTGACGGTGTGATTGTCCTAGTGATTGATGACTATTATGCTCTGTTTCATGTCAACGGCAACCTCTTCGGTCAAGGAGCGGGCAACCATATAGTAGTGCTGCCAGGCAGTAATCCCTAAATTCCAGCTGCGTTTTGGCACTCCTGGAGCATTGTGGGCCGTTGCGGGTCCTGGCCTGGCAGCGAGTGCGGCGGTGAAGGAGATTGTCTAATATCATTGGGTCGTATTTTAAATAAGATGCATACAAACACAAATATAATTTCACTGAAAAAAGATAAATTACAGAAAACGCAGGAAACCACCATCATGAGCGGTAAGCTTGAAATCGATGGCGGCCTCGAGAGAATAGCTGCAAACTCTTAAATTATACAATTGTACACGCGAAATTGATCAAGTGGGTGCAGTGAAAGTGCTTGTGCAAGTGCGAATGGGGTTCTGGTACGTAATTTTTATAATCCAATACTAGTGTATTTTAAGAATTAATAAATTAAATATATATTCAAATTCAGAGACAAAGTTTAAATTACAAACGATTTTGTATGAGAAGTGACTCTCCTGATGGAAGAGGATCACATAAATTGACCTGTAGCCTACTCCAGGGAGCTTGTGGCATTTGAGAAGGCTGAAGAGCCTCGGAGGGAGGAGAAGACATTTCCACTTGCCGATCACGATGTGGTGGTTGTGCAACTAGGGTTATGTCCGGGTCAACGTGGACATGGGCTGTATATCCCTCAAGCTTGTCGAGGCCGGTAAATACCTCGGGATAAGCGGATTTGAGATCATTTTCTCGATCAGCAGGGGGCTGAGTGTCCATATGAACAGGATGAGCATTCTCTAGTTGAACTAGCAGGAGTATTATTGCTGTAGAAGCTTATATAGAAGCTGTCTTCTTCCCTAGAAGACATCCGCTGTTTCCTTCGACAACGATAAACCGAGCGGTCGTCGAAATCCCCTTCGAGCAGGAAATCCTAGCTTGAAATTCTCCCCTCACGGGCAGTGGAGTTGTAACACCGTATCATATGGTAATAGATGCACGATGTGAAGAGATCTTCCTTTGAGTACCTGATTTTGTCACACCACTCACTGCCCATCCCAACAGTGTCCTGTATGCATATGGTCTGTCTTGATCACTGTTAACAAACTCTGGTGGTTCTGCAGCTCTTTGGACATGGTTTCAGATAAGAAGACCAAAATCTAAAGATATATCAGGGAGGTTCAGATGTCTGAGATACGAGTAATCCATTAAATGAGCAGCCGTAGGGATTTCTCCTTGCTCACTGGTGTGGTTTCTCGGACAAACACCTCCTGGAGATCTATGATATTATTTCCTTCTAGATCCATAATTTCCAAGTCCTTCGAAACTTGACATCTTATCACCTTATCTTGGATAATTGTTTGAAGATTGATATTGATGAGTACTTCTCTTGTGTGTAGTTACCCAGCTTGGTAAGGAACAAGGAGTATTTCTGTAATGCCTCACCGTCTTCTGTCTTCATCATAGGCCATGCAGTTGCCTTGCTGATCCCATCAAGAGCCAATTCCCTGTTTTCAAACTTTGCCTTTAATAATGACTTGGCCTTTATGAAATTCTGCAATTCCAAGGACCACTACCCCCCCCCCCCTGGACAATACCCCCTAGGATAATTGTCCTAGAGGATGGTTGTCGTAGGGATTAGTTTTTTTTAGGGTAGTAGTCGTCCCAGGGGGTGGTTGTCCTAGGGGGTAGATGTCCTAGGGGGTAGATGTCCTAAGGGGTAGTTGTCCAGGGTGTAGTTGTCCCAGGGGGTATTCGTCCTCGAGGGTGGTTATCTGGGGGTGGATGTCAAGGAGGTAGGTGTCCTAGAACCGTATATTTGATATTACCTGGCATTCTGTTGTTTTTTTATAGTTTTTATACACCAGTATCTTTTACAGTTAAATTGCATTACCAGTATTCAGCACAATCTTTAATTCTGGTGAGAGATTAAGTGAGTGAGATGATCAGGGAAGGAAAAGAAAGACACATATATGGAAAACTGACAAATTGAGGACCTTATGCTGTATTCTGTAGACTTTTGGAATAATGTAGACACTAATCCACATTTGCCACTCTCTACCCAGTTATAAATTGGTATTGAGTCATTTGCTGGGGTTACAACTGTATGGCCCTCATAAAGAACAGCAGTAAGGTCCATGATGCGTCCATGGGTAAACGTACACAAAACCATTAGTATATCAAGTTTCTATAATGAAGATAAATGTATCGGTTTAAAAACAAACATTTGTTTTGTTTATAAATTTAGTGAAAATAACTATTTTCTTGATGATGTATACATGTAGTTGAAAGTATGTATCTCCTGAAAAACTCTGTATGCTACCCTCAATATATTTCTTGTAAACTCTTGAATTCCTCTCCTTGGTGAGAAGTGGTAACTAAATATAGTTCATTATATAAATACAGAAAGTGAGACATAATTGGTTTGTCTCCAATAGAATCATAATTGCTTCAATGATTATTATCTGGTTTTCCCCAAAAACCCTTTTGGATCTCTTTCTTTTTGCAGTTCATTTATTTAATTATTGTATTTTGAGCTTTTATTATAAGTGGCTTGTTTTGATGGCAGACAAGGTGCAGATATTGTATACGGACAGTATTACATTTATGTAATAGGTGAATAGATGTTTGATTAGTCCTTCAGATCTTGAAGAATTTGTTTTCTTCTTAAGAATTGTACTGTGATGTTCCAACATCAAAATGTTTTTGTTACTCTTTAAAGAATATGTTGTTTACCCCAAACCAAATGATCTCGTGAATATATTTTGTAAAAAATATAAAGGGTGCCTTCTTTTCACTATAAGAAAAATTATTTTGTTGTCATTATTTTTTGGGGGGTTTCACAAGACCTGTATGGAAGTAAATTATTTTCAATCAATTGAGAGAGGCGACAATTGAGAGAGAGAGAGAGAGGGAGAGAGAGGGGGAGGGGTGGGGAGTAGGAGTGGATGAGAGATAGGAGAGAGAAATAACACCTTCTATAAACTCGGTTTTATTTTCTAATTACGTTCAAGTATCTTCCAGTGGATTGACGCAGGTCTAATTTCAGAGGCAATGGCTCATAATTTTCAATTGGCTATGTTGCACCCTGTAGCGTATAACCAACCAATCGGACTGACTGCACTTCAATAAATAGCGACAATTTCAAGCATGATGCGATACCGTTCACAAAAGGCGGTTCAACCTGAAATTTAATCAGAATTATAAACAATCATAAATAATATGTCGATTTTCAACTGTGTTTACAAATAATCTTACATCAAATGAGTTGTATGATTAATGCACGTTTACTGAAATTACATATTATACTGTTCCAAAATGAAATATCAATTACCGTAAAGATTATGTTCTATTTCCTTTGTTCTCTATTGTATTTGTGTGCATGATAAAACAATAACCCTTTTGGCTCTACACATATTACCCTAAATTCCTCTTTACATACATGTCTACAGTAACCAGAATTTATCTTCATTCTGTCACTTTATAAAACTGCCTATATATAAATGATATTAAAATAACACAACACGGTCTGTACAACAGACTATCCCCATAGCACTACACACATACACGGTATTATGTAACTGCACGTGTAATGCATCATAAAAGTTACTGTGCGTACGAATCACTTTCATAACAAATTTATACATCAAATTATCTGAAAACTATGAACTGTATAAAACCAACACCCAACTCAAACTGACGGCTAGTTATCAATTATCAACATCATATGTTCAAATTATACTCACAACATTGGGCTTGTCTGGAAATACTAAATATTGATCGCAATCAGAAGGATGACTTTTCCCAAAATTGAGAATCATTTGCAGCTAAATTGTTACGCCCCCACTCGGCAGACCAAAAATTCAACAAAAAAAAAACATCGCTTCTGACGTCATACTCCGATCGTCAACTGAAACAAAAAATGTCCTCACAAAACAGAGATTAGTATCTTACATTCCGGCCCCTAAATGTGAAGATTTTACTGAACATTTACTTCTCTAATCTCTTCTTATTCTCAACCTGGACTTACAGGTATATACTTTATCCAAAATTCCAAAGGAATCCCAAAATTTAAAACATAGCTATCTATACTGAATGCCTTCATGCACCAATTAACAAATACCGGTAATCTAATTTACATTAATTTTCATGAACACCTAAGCAACCAAACAACTTTCTTTGCAAACGAAAAAGAAAAAAGTTGTTCATGTCTAGATTTCCTTGTTACAACACCAAAAAGGACTACAATTTCCTTTTCAAATAAACTTACAACAAAGTTGGTTGCCTTACTACCTGTATCAATGTATAACATGCTTCAATAAATTAACTTTATAAATTCCCACATTAAAATATGAAAACCAAAATTTCACTCTAAAAAATCTCTGTTGGCAACTGTTACCACTACAACCACTTCTTTCAATCCCATACAAACTAAAAAAGAAATCTTGTTATGTGTCACCCAATAAAGGGAAATATTGATTCTGTAATCAACACTATGTACGATTTCACAGATACTGTTTAAAACTGAATTGAATTCACATACCAATTCCAGTACACATAGAGTCATGTTGTTGTACCGAAATATAACTTCACAAGACATTATCTGCTAGAAAATATAAATTTTCCAAGTCGAAACTTCCAAGTCCCTACATAGACAAATACATCATCTGCATATACCATTTCAATCTTTCTATACACAATCTGCATATATGACATTATCGATTCTGGTATTACATATTCTACCAAATAGCCAACGCCATGTAATTTGGTTGTCATGGAAACAGTAATAAATGACATATCATCAACACGTATAACTGAATTGAATGTATTCTGCAACTTTAAGCTTTCTCCTCTGGAAATGAACCTAATATAGAATACATATATACAAATGCATTCATCATATGAATATGAAGGAAAATCACATTTACCATTTCTAATGAATAGAGAGATTGTTTAGAAGGTTGAAAAACAAAAACGTTACTTTCCAATATCGTGCAAACATAAATTACACCATGTCAGTCCTGCATAATGGTATAATCCATTTTCGTCTAAAATCTTGTTCTTTGACATTCTCTGAAAGTTGCTCAAATGTTGACACTTTGTCCATGATGTTGAAGCACAAAAAATTCCTCAATTTCTCGACTGATCAATGTTACTCTAATACGCGAAAAAGGATCGATGTCAGTTCCGCTTTCTGGTTTTAAGAACACAAAACACGAATACCTCTACAATTGGCACGGGACAGCGCTAGGCTTGACCCCTCATCTTAGAAACACAGAAATGTCTTCAAGAATCTGCCTCCAAATCAAATAGAGCTTTGTAACTGGTCTCCCCTCAGTACGCTGGTTCAGGTCTTCACTTCACACTGTCGATCGAAGCCTTTCTCTTCTGGCCATGTCTGAAGGACTCTTCCCAAAGGCCAAACATTGCGGTGTGGCTGCTCGTCGACCACCAGTACCAAATCGTAAACCTGAATGATGAGGGAGGTATCGACATGTTACATCACCTGGTTGACAATCTTGCTCTTCCACCACCTCGGCATAACCTTCAGTGTACTTGTAGTGCAGAGCGTGATCTCTACCTAGCTTCCTTCTGAGACTCCGCAACCTCTGTTCTGCTACCCATCGGTTGTCTGTCAAGCTACATGTAGGTCGTTTTTCCTTGAAGGGTATGTGAAACTGGTACTGTTCCATCTCTTTGCACTTCCCTTCATTCTGTATGTCAAGTGCCTTTCTGTCCTTCACCGACATTCCTTTATTGTCTGGAATAGCAGCAGCAGCAGGGCCATGCAAAGACCATCCAAGTACAGTACGTATAGCAAACAGCTCATCTTCTCCCTTTCCTCTACGAACTTCTAAGGGCATCAGAGCAAATGGCGTATCTTGCCCTATCAGGAGTCCCACTTCTTGTCCGCAGGCAAATGGTAGATCCAGCCCCCCTAAGTGCTGCCATCCTTCTAAGTCTCGCATACTGGCCATGTGGTTGCTGCATATGTCGGTCTTCCTGTTCGTGAAAACCTTCTGAAGTTTCACTGTATCTGTCATGAGACCTGTATCGACCATACAACTCACAACTTGAGTCTGGATCCTTCCATCAGGATTGTCCAAGGTTGATATGGAAAGTATGCGCTCTTCCCCCTGTGCTGACACTTTCCTTACTAGGCCCTCTGTGCAGAAGAAAGTGGTCGAACCAGAGTCCAGTAGAGCGTAGGTCCGAACACATCTATCTCCATCTGCTGCCTGAACATGCACTGGACCTATGGGAAGTACACATCGCATACCGGCCCCTATGGCGATTCCGTAACTTGATTCTGACCCAGTTAATATGGAGCCATTCTGTTCTGTGGTTTCACTCTGATTAGTGGTGGTATCATACTTCAAGGGCTCTCCATGCTGGGTGAAGTCCTTGTCTGTTACAGTAGCGCTGACCATGTTGGGTTGTAACTCTGAGGGCTGTCTCAGCTGGTAGACACCCTTCTCTAAATCTGTGGCCATGCTGGGCTCCGTCGTCAAGGCCCCTCTTCGTTGAGAGACATCTTTATCTGCAGCAGCAGTCATGCTCTCTCCACGCTGGGAGAAGTCCTTGTCTGTAGTGCTGACCCTGTTAGGTTGCACCTGTGGGGGCTGTCTCAGCTGGTAGACAGCCTTCTCTAAATCTATAGCCACGCTGGGCTCCGTCGTCAAGGCCCCTCTTTGTTGGGAGACATCTTTATCTACAGCAGCAGTCATGCTCTCTCCATGCTGGGAGAAAACATCTTCCTCAGCTTTTGCCATGCTGAGTCTTGTCTGTAGCTCAAGCTTACTCCTTCTCTGCTTCAGCTTAAACTCCTCCAGTTCAAGAGCTTGTTGTTCGTTGAGAGCTGCTGCCTGGGCTGCCAAGGCCGCTCTCTTCACCATTGCTTTGACTCTAGCTCTGGAGGTACTGCTTGTGCTGCTCTTGCCAGTCTGGCTTGCTGAATCCCCGGGCTTGACGGACTCTTGATGGGACATATCGCTCATGTTGACTTAAAGCACTGTTGTTGAACTTAGTGTAGCGTATAACCAACCAATCGGACTGACTGCACTTCAATAAATAGCGACAATTTCAAGCATGATGCGATACCGTTCACAAAAGGCGGTTCAACCTGAAATTTAATCAGAATTATAAACAATCATAAATAATATGTCGATTTTCAACTGTGTTTACAAATAATCTTACATCAAATGAGTTGTATGATTAATGCACGTTTACTGAAATTACATATTATACTGTTCCAAAATGAAATATCAATTACCGTAAAGATTATGTTCTATTTCCTTTGTTCTCTATTGTATTTGTGTGCATGATAAAACAATAACCCTTTTGGCTCTACACATATTACCCTAAATTCCTCTTTACATACATGTCTACAGTAACCAGAATTTATCTTCATTCTGTCACTTTATAAAACTGCCTATATATAAATGATATTAAAATAACACAACACGGTCTGTACAACAGACTATCCCCATAGCACTACACACATACACGGTATTATGTAACTGCACGTGTAATGCATCATAAAAGTTACTGTGCGTACGAATCACTTTCATAACAAATTTATACATCAAATTATCTGAAAACTATGAACTGTATAAAACCAACACCCAACTCAAACTGACGGCTAGTTATCAATTATCAACATCATATGTTCAAATTATACTCACAACATTGGGCTTGTCTGGAAATACTAAATATTGATCGCAATCAGAAGGATGACTTTTCCCAAAATTGAGAATCATTTGCAGCTAAATTGTTACGCCCCCACTCGGCAGACCAAAAATTCAACAAAAAAAAAACATCGCTTCTGACGTCATACTCCGATCGTCAACTAAAACAAAAAATGTCCTCACAAAACAGAGATTAGTATCTTACACACCCGATTGCACAATCATTCTATTTCACATTTTTTCATTTTTTTCTCATTTTCCTTTCTCCCCACCCATTTTTCCCCTCTCTCAAGATCACTCCTCTCTCTCTCTCTCTCTCTCTCTCTCTCTCTCTTTCTCTATATGCATTCCCACTCCTATCCGAATCCACTCCCCCCCCCCCCCCGCTAAATATCACATTTGCTCTCTTTTCTCCAACTTAATAGATAAACGAAGAAAGCATTGTAGACGTGAATTTGTATCATTTCTTGTTTTATTACCAATCGAAAATAGCATGAGTGTGACTACCAAGCACAATGTACGATCTAAGATGGGAGGTTAGGTGGTGATGGTGATGGTGGTGGTGGTGGTGCACTGGTAATATCAATCAAAAGAAAGACAGTTGATACCATTTTCAAAGTTGAAATGACTATGCAAGAGTTGTCCTATTGTTCTGCATTATTATTGTTCATAGTTTGTGAAGTAGTTATAAATGCAAGCCCTAATATTGTTTTCAACAGCGAGAAAAAATACCCCTCCTGCGATAAAAGTAACCCCTTCATAGTTCATCATATTACGCTACGTGTCTAATGCAATTGTAATTATGAGTATAATTATTAAAGCATCATGCCAGCTAATATTTTCCTATAAAAAATGTCGATGGTATTACTTCACTCTTTTGTAATCTTACACAAACTCTAGCAACAGTTACATAATAACATATAACCTAATTTTTCTTCTTCTCATAAATATATACCCCTAATATTTCTCACAACTGTATAGTAGAAGTAGCTAGTAGTAGTAGTAATAGTAGGTCCATTTTGCACGTATATAGGGCTGTTTTTAAAGTAGTGGTTCAGTGGTAGGGATAGGGGCGTGGTCTTCGATAAGCCTCCAATATTCAAGGGGTGGGACACCTGTTGTTGTGCACACGCATCAGTCAGAAACAAATAGGTCTTATGTGATACGTACCAATTGATCCCATAATATTAATAAGTGGATGGATCATGAAAAGTTTACCCCAAAAAATTCTTGATAGATGATCCTGTACAAAATGTATATTATTTTATACCAACAGTCAAAGGAACATATTGAAAATTACAAGAAACCTAGAAACACGGTCATTACATTCAAAGTTTATGCATTTAGTAACGAGTTTTAAATCATGTATGAAACTATTAAACTTGCACCTTGTTTCAATCCGACAAAGCTTGATCCAAACAATTTTTTTTCAAAGGAAGAATGACTATAACAAACAAAAAGGAATATCAGTGTCAGTTTATATAACTACATGTATGTACATCTATGTTGCTCTGAAAGATTGAAACAGATTGAAAGCTTTACAAATATGTGTCATTTATTAACTATGATTGTGATTAAGTTATGATAAAACAGATCGATAATTCTCGGTTTCGTTTTTCTGGGCCGGACGCACTGCACATCTATTAATAACTACTACTACGACTAGTACTGACAACGACGATTACAAAAGTACGTGGCAAAAGTCGAATAATGTCTTTCTATAGAGACCTGTGTCATGCCAGAGCTCGAACCCAGGACCTTCGCATTTCCAGTCAAGTATTTAAACATCTGGACAGTGACACCTCTACCATTGGTGGGCTGTGCCATTAATTACTTGTATGATTGCAGTCGGCCAGCGGATAGTTCCACCTCGTGTGCTCCTGGTCATCTACCCCCATATTTCCCAAATAAAACCCTATAGCACTGAAGATAAGTGTAGGGGTAAGATCACCGGAGTGATCTACATTGATCTCATGTAGGTATCTATTGATTGCTGTCCAGTAAGCATCGTGAACGTGCTGTCGATGCTTTGCGATTTCGTACTTGAATCGCTTCCAAACGTGCTCCAGGTTTAGCCCTCCAATCGCAACGCACGGGACGACAAAGAACATGATTTTCTGTGAGCCGATCATAACATTGAGGAAAAGTAATATGGGGAGGTTCCGATGGTCAATATTTTTATCACTGAAAAAGAGATAATTCCAAACAAGATGAGCGGTTATTCCCCACGTCGCAACAACCATGGTGAAAGCCATCCATCTCCTGATGAGTCGACGTAGTACGTTGTACTGCGCGTAAAATCGGGATATTCTTCTGCGTACTCGATCGATATTGTTACCAGATGCTTGATCGCGGGCGAAAACAGAAATCTGACGCACTTCACATTCAAACGAGAGACGTTCGATATAGATGAGATAACAAAAACAACCATAAAAGATATAGCCAACGAAAGCACACCAGTGTGTTATTTCTTTATAGGTTGTTAGGGTAGAACAAGAGCGAAAATAGTAGTCATTGACAAAGCGAAGCATAGCATTTGTTACTGGCCATGTAAGGAAGAAAATCAGTCGAAACCAAGATAGACCTTTGGCGCCAAAACGTGAATTCTTCAGAATCGCAACGCGTGTCGAAAGAAAGGATCGGCACAGTGGATATTCTTCTCGATAACGGCGACCAAGGGTCAGGTAGAGAATTCTCGCGTAAAAACACCAGAAAGGTATGACCATGATTTGAAATAGGTACGTGAAGTATGACACCAGATGAAGAACTTCTTCTTTCTTGCCCCAGTAGAACCCCATGTAGCTCCGAAAATCATACGTCATCAGGCAGCACGATAGTAGGAGGTACAACAAATGTTGGAAGTTATCACCAAACCTGTAAAAGAAAACAAGAATATTATTAAGAATATGGTGAATCATGGATTTGTTTTTCTTACTCTAACCTAGACCGGTATCTAAAACAAGAATGGTATCTAAAACAAGAATTCGTTTTATCTTTCTGGTGATTCTTGTGCTAATGCTTACTTATGCCTGGATTACATTTGGCCCGGGCGCCGCACGATATTGGTCTACGATTTTTCTGCGATTTTGGTGGCATCGTAGGAGGCTCCGGGCTACGATGTTTGTGTTCACATTATCTACGAGCATCGTGCCATTTCTTGCATTAGCCCTCGGGGGCAGACCGGGACACATCCGTACAGAGGCTGCTCGGAGATTGTACGGAAATCGTGCAATTTCAGTGCAACACCCGCCAGTCTCTGCAACCTCCGCACGAAAATCGCACGGAGCTCGTGCAGCTTCCGTGCAGAGGTTGCGCGGAGAAGGCGCGGTGACCGCGCAGACTCCGTGCCTTTTTTTCGGCGTCTGTTGCCCCCATATTCACTGAAAAATCGCGCGTTTGCTGCACGATCAGCGTGAGGCCTCCACGCAATGCCCATGCGGGGATTGAGCAATGCCACCTACGACATGTCTACTGGCTACGGGCTTACGATTTTTCAAATTTGTTTAACTCCCCGCGAAACAAAATCGTAGTCGCCGCGGAAAATCTCACGGCCGCCTCCTGCCTCCCCACTGAGGCCGCACAGAAAAGGGGATACGGGCAGGATACGGGCCCCGTTGACTAATCGCAGGCGAAATGTAATCGCCATTGAAATGAAAATGCTAATTTCAAATCCAATTTTTAAAAATTGCAGTAAGCCTGTAGGATCGATAAGCATTAGTTTGCAAATAATGCAGATACCAATCGAAATAGATTTTCGTTAAATAGCATTGCTAGATAATGCAAAATAGAGAGCAATCTAGTTAATCAGTCACCCCCATTTTGAATTAAATTGTCATGATAAAGCAATGATAATCAATGAAGAACAGTGAAACACTCCATACAATTTCCAATTTGCCAAAAATATTGTTGTCTTTGAAATCGACACTTACATTTTCGGTCTTGAGCCCGTGCTTTCGCTGATCGATCTCCGACGTCGTCGTCGCTGTCGTGACTGTAGTCATATTTGTTTCCGTGTTTATTGACGTATTCTTGCGAGGAACTTTCATCCGAGTCTTCTCTCTCGTCGTTGAATGTCAATATTTCCTCATGTTTAATGGAATGTTGTGTTATCATCGTAGGCGATTTGGTTCTCAGCAACGGACTCCAGAGGCCGAGGAGTCCCAGTGTTACTTGGACGACGGGTGGTAAGGGGTAATTATCTCTCCAACGACTTTTAAGACGTCTCTTATTTGATTGGGGATGACATGTGCTTGATTCAATGCTTGAACTGTCAAATAGATGATCATCTATCAAAGGAGTAGTGTCATCATGCTGAATAGACAGAGAGTAATGATTATCCATGATGAGATTTACTTGATATTACGTTGAAGGAGAAGGGTCGTCTGGATAGCGATTCTAATGTCTCAAATAAAGAGTCTTTTTAATATGTTCAAAGTCACCTACGTAGCCCTATTAAATAACAACAGGTGCAGCAAGATAGAAAGTTCTTCGTCGGTATCATCAACTCAGGAGGGCAAAGCAAAACAATGCCTCAATAGTAACAGTTTTCCCCACCAAATGAAAGTCTCTTCATGTTGTCACATGAACATGAATATATAAGAGCAAGTGCAATTCAGGAATGGTAATAACGTCATTATAAGATAAGTCATACCGAGAACCAATCACATCGATTCTTCCAGGTGAATGATTACGCAAATTAGCAGTATATTGGACATAATAATTATGGCACAGGAAATCCTTCTGCGATTGGATCAGGGAGGTCAGACAAATAGTCTCACCTCCCTGATTGGATAGTGTTCGAGTGCTACAGATAGTTACTGGCTCTCAAGTAATAAGATATATAATTGTAGAGGTATAATTTCTGGTTTCCCTCTTACGAGGTGCTGCAGGTTTCGCTTCGCGTATGTCCTTATTGTTAAAAAAAATCATCTCAACTACGAAGCAGAGATAATTCAACTTGGTTATGATATGTCATAATAGTTGGGGAAGTACATCGGACATCGTTATGAATCAAGAATCCTTAAGACTTCTTTTCATGTCCTTTTCCTTTTCTTTACACACATGAATTTACTTCAACGTATGCTGTTGAATATGATTTCAGAAAAACACAAGCTTTCTGACTTTTCTCATAAAAAGCTATAAGGCTATAAGGATATTCACCATTATCATTATATTAATAAACCTTCATTTCACAAAACATTTCACAAAACATGTCATCATCGCAAATGACAGTTTTGTGTTAAAAGCGAGTGAAATCCTTGCATCTGGTTGGTTATCAGCAGATTTGTCACTGATTTTTGTCGACTGAATTGTCATTGAAAATAAGGCTTTGTGAAACGGGTCACAGGACTCTGGTATAAGTCGCCTAAAGAGGCAATCCCAATTGAAGAGGAATTTATCACAATCGCAGTAAGTTTTTTTATTATATGTAATGATTTGCACCAATCATATCATTCTCTTTCTTCAACAATAGAGAAAGAAGAAGTTAAATACCAGTGAGATGTCGGAAACACTCTCGAGAAACTAAAGATTCGTTTGCCAATATATTAGTACCACCAATTTGTGTTTGTGTATGTGAGGGGGGGGGGGGGTCGGCGTTGGAATTGATGTGCATATTAGGATGAGATAAAGAGAAAGAGAGACCGAGAACAAAATGTTATGTTTCAAGATTAATTTTCTCTTGCACATGTGATGTTAGTATTTCGGTGGTATATAAATACAAGAACTGTTTCTCGTAGAGAACCTTCTCGACTATTGATTTTAAAATCTAATATTTCATTCTAGAGAACCTTCTCGACTATTCATTGTGTTGAAGAGATGTGTTGCAGAGTTGCGGGATCATACTACTCCCAAGGTACAAACCCAGATAAAAACCCAATAGAGCCGAAGATATGAGTAGGGGTGTCACCACCGGAATGATCCACACTTATCTTATACAGATAACTTTCGATGGCCACCCAGAAAGCTTCATTGGTATCCTTTTATAAAGAGGAGTGACTTGTAGTTTCACTGACATTTTGTTTAAGGGGGAGGGGTTCAAAATGAGGCGTCAGCTGGCTTTCAATTGCAGGGGCGGATCCAGCCGGCGGCAGGGGAGGGGGCCCAATTCGTGAGAAAATATTTAGCGGTGAAACAGCCAGCCGGTGAATAATCGGGGGGGGGGGGGGGTGGACACCTTTTTTTGTTGGCCCTCGAAAATGTGAAAATTCGCACCCCTCCCCCCCCCCTTGACCACCAGGGGAGGGGGCCCATCTCCAAAAAAGGTAAAATTGACGTGTTTGTACCTGTTTTTCCCCGGGGAAGGGGGGCCCCCTAGATCCGCCACTGTTCAATTGTGCTTGAAGCGGAAATCAACGACCCGATTGGATAATCATTATATTTCACATTTATTCCTTTTTCACTTTCCTTTCTCCTTAACTGTTTGTCTTCTCTCTCTCTCTCTCTATCCCTCTCTCTCTCTTTCTCTCTCTCGCTCTCTCTCTCCAGTTCTTTCCCCTATCTTTTCTCGATTATTCCTGCTTTTCTCTCTTTCTCTCTCTCTCTCTCTCTCTCTGTATTCCCATTCCTATCCACTCCACTTTTTTTCTTCCCTCGCGCTTTGAATATCATTTCCTTTCTTTTCTCCAACTTAATAGATAAACGAAGAAAGCATTGTAGACCTGAATTTGTTTCATTTCTTGTTTTATTACCAATCGAAAATAGCATGAGTGTGACGAAGCACAAAATATCGTGTAATCTGAACTCTTTCACAAACTTATGAGGAAGAAACTGAAGGTGGGAGGTTAGGTGGTGGTTGTGGTAGTGGTGATGGTGATGGTGGTGGTGGGTGTGATGGTGGTTAAGACCATTTTCAAAAGTAAAATGAACTATACAAGAACTTTCCTACTGTATGATCACTGTTCATATTTTGTGCAGTCGTGTTTTGTTTTTTCCCTCTCTTTCCCTCAACCGAGGTGTTTATTTCCATAATTTCAATACATATTTGCATTTTTCACTCAATGATTGAATACAAAATTACATTTGCTAAAAAAAAGTCAAGTATTCATCAACTCTTCCAGCTCAGTATTATTTTCTTTGCTAACACATAACATACTTTAAAACAATTTTAGCGAAGTAGTAATAAATGTTGGACAGTATTGATAAAACCCCCACATTGTTTTCAACAGCAAGAAAATGTTCCCCTCCTGCGATCAAAATATTACCCCTTCAAAGTTCATCATGTTTGCGATGCCGTACGCAACATGTCTACGCAATTGTAATTATGAGTAAAGCTAAATGGACATAATGCCAGCTTTTTCTTTCTACAAAATAACTCACCATTATCACTTCGCACTTATCCTTCTGTAATCTTACATGAGCTCTAGCAAGTAACATGAACTTACATGTTTTACCCAAATCCTAGGAGACTTCTTTTTCCTGAAACAAACATATTTCCAATTTTGATTTTAATGGTTGATTTAATGTATTCACATTATCATAACAATCTTTACTGGATATATTTTCTATCATTCAGAGCAGCATATACATTCATAGGTGTAGTTCTAAGATTCCGACCGACAGTGGTAATGATTTGTTAAGGTAGTTCTTACTTTAAAGCGCGTCTGTACTAGTGTGGACAGGACGAATTAGACCTCCCAGCGAGGTCACTGACAGGTGGCTATCTCATAAACTCAGCTCTCAATTAACATAAGGAAAAGAGGATCATGGGGGACCAACAGGCACCGATTAGGCATTGTTTTTTATATAGAGGGAACAAGTAGCTACAATAAGTACAGTGGGCCTTTAAAATTACTTCTTGATATACCACAAAGAAGAACAAAGTGCAACTTTAAACAGTTTCATGCATGATTTATAACTTAATTAGTTAATGTATAAATGTTAAATCTAATAAGCGTCATTTGTATGTTTCTTTGAAATTGTCAATATCCTCCTTTGACCTTTTTGATAATTTACATTTTGTACAGAACCATCTATCAACAATTTTGGGGGAACTTCTTCAAGATCAATCTACTTCCTCCAAAATATTTTTGGATCAAATGGCACGTATCACGTGCGATGCATTTGTTTCCGACTGATGCGTGTGCCCCAACCCTCGAATATTGGAGGCCTATCGAAGACCACGCCCCTATCCCTACCACTGAATAACCACTTTACAAACAGCCCTACGTGAAAAATGGACCTAGTATTACTACTACTCCTACCATCACCACGACTACTACTTCTACTACATCTATACTACTAAAGCTGCTACTACTACTAGTAGTAATATTATTACTAACTGGATATGTTTATAGCGCTCATAATGACCATGGTGCTCAAAAGCGGTTGACAAATACACAGGTTCAAGCTGGTTATCGATGACTGTGTACACCGCATTCATAGGTAAACTTTCCTAACGAATGGGAGGAGAGTATACGTGGTAAAAAGTCGTTTTGTCTTTCTATAGAGACTAGTGTCACGCCGGAACTCGAACCCATGACCTTCGCCCTTCCAGTCAAGTATTTAAACATCTAGACAGCGTCGCCTCTACCGTGTATGATTGCAGTCCGCCGGTGGATAGTTCCACCTCGTGTGCTCCTGGTCGTTGTCCCCCATATGTCCCAAATAAAACCCTATAGCACTGAAGATAAGTGTAGGGGTAAGATCACCGGAGTGATCTACATTGATCTCATGTAGGTATCTATTGATTGCTGTCCAGTAACCATCGTGGACGTGCTGTCGATGCTTTGCGATTTCGTTCCTGAATCGCTTCCAGACGTGCTCCAGGTTTAAACCTCCAATCGCAACGCACGGCACGACGAAGAACATGATTTTCTGTGAGCTGACCACGACATTGAGGAAACGTAATATGGGGATGTTCTGAAGGTCAATATTTTTATCACTGAAAACGAGATAATTCCATAGAATATGAGCGGTAAGTCCCCAAGTCGCAACAACCATGGTGAAAGCCATCCATGTCCTGATCAGTCGACGTAGTACGTTGTACTGCGCGTAAAATCGGGATATTCTTCTGCGTACTTGATCGATATTCTTTCCCGATGCCTGTTCGCGGGCGAAAGCAGAAATCTGATGCACTTCACATTCAAACGAAAGACGTTCGATATAGATGAGATAACAAAAACAACCATAAAAGATATAGCCAAGAAAAGCACACCAGTGTGTTATTTCTTTATATAATGTGACGAAAGAGCAATATCGAAAATAGTAGTCATTGGCAAAGCGAAGCATGGCATTTGTTACTGGCCATGCAAGAAAGAAAATCAGTCGAAACCAGGATAGACCTTTGGCGCCAAAACGTGAATTCCTCAGAATCGCTACGCGTGTCGAAAGAAAGGATCGGCAAAGGGGATATCCTTCTCGATAACGGCGACCAAGGGTCAGATAGAGAATTCGCGCGTAGAAACACCAGAAAGGTATGACCATGATTTGAAATAGGTACGTGAAGTATGACACCAGATGAAGAACATCTTCTTTCTTGCCCCTGTAGAACCCCATGTATCTCCGAAAATCATACGTCATCAGGCAGCACGATAGAAGGAGGTACAAGAAGGCGCAAATGTTAGAAGTTATCACCCAACCTGTAAAAGATAATAATAAAAAGTAAAACGATTATGATGAAAGGATTTTTCTTTCTTTTTAATACCGGTATCTAAATCGAGAATTTGTTTCTTTCTTGGGATTCTTGCAATAATATCAAACTTACCTATTTTGGAGTTTAAATTAAAAGGATTATATAAAACAGAGGCATGGTGAGATATACTTGGACGCCTTTACGTGATCTCACAGGCAGCATGTACACATTGATCCGCTAGTAAAGCCAACGATAATTCAATTAAGGAAAACAAAACAATAAGTTGACTAGTGCCGTATCCAGAATTTAGGGAAGGGAGGGGGTCTACTGCCCCCCCCCCCCAAAAAAAAGTCTTGACGCCCAAATCATGCCAATGCTAGGGGGTTCGAACAGTCGTGAAGTGTGGATCGAGCCATTGAATTGAAAATTCTAATTTCAAATCCAATTTTAAAAAGTTGCACTAAGAGTGTAGGTTCGATAAGCATTAGTTCTGTGAATATACAACTTGTGTGTTATACGATACCAAATTGGAAATAGATTTAGTTGAATAACGTTGCTATAATTATATTGCAAAACAGACTCAATAGAGAGCACTCTGGAGATGTGAGTTGGTCTAGCGGCACGTTCACTTGGTCAGCTCTCTGTCTTCGCCTACAAACTGACTCAGGCGACCCCGTTTCGAAACTGAGTCACGTCTTTCGTGAATAATCGTGAATAATCATGTGTTTGATACACGTCTGTAAAAACCCAATTACACACACACACACACACACCCACACACACACACTCCAGCAAGTTACCCAGTCATTGTCTCCCTCTTATAATTTTAGTTGTCATGATCAAGAACTAAAATTAGAATAGACTTTTGTAAATGAAAAAATTCCATGGATAAAATTGACGCTTATATCACGTTTAGTAAAATTAATTAATATAAGCGTGATATCTTGTGACTTTCTCAAAGATGAAGGGCGTGGCTAACCAAAGAGCTCCTCCGATTATGATCCGGCAACTATTACTCTGGTCTTTATATCGTCAAAGATAAAGTAAATGATTGTATTAGGGTCAGTGTTTTGTAACTCGGGTTTTGGGTTAGGGTTAGGGGTTGAGTTCGGTGCACGGTTGAAGTAAGGAATGGTTTAGAGCAGGATATTGACTGTAGAATAATTGTCACCAGAGTATGTGTTGCCGATACGATATGTATTTATATACCAAATCATCAAATAAATGCAACCGGAAAGGTCACCCCATACTATATTTTATATTCCCTAATTTAAATTAAATGTGGATAGCAATGAAGAACAGCGAAACACACCATTTGTCCAACATATTTTTGTCTGTGCAATAGATACTTACAATTTCGATCTTTGGCCCGTGCTTTTCTTGGCCGATCTCCGACGGCGTCGACGCTGTCATGACTGTAGTCGTATCTTTTCCCGTTTTTATCGACGTATTCTTGTGTCGAACCGTCATCCGAGTCTTCTCCCTGGTCTCTGTCGTCCTTGTTTGTCAATACTTCTTCAATGTTATTGGGATATTGCGATATTGTCGAAGGTGAATGGGTTCTCCGCAGTGGACTCCAGAGGCCGAGGAGTCCCAGTGTTACTTGGACGACGGGTGGTAAGGGGTAATTATCTCTCCAACGACTTTTAAGACGTATCTTATTTGATTGGGGATAACATGTGCTTGATTCAATGCTTGAACTGTCAAATAGATGATCCTCTACCAGGGGAGTAGTTTCATCACGCCGAATAGACAGGAAGTAGTTATGCATGATGAGATTTACTTGATATTACGTTGAAGGAGAAGGGTCGTCTGGATAGCGATTCTAATGTCTCAAAGAGTGTTTGTAATTTGTTCAAAATCCCCTACGTAGCCCTATTAAATAACAACAGGTCCAGCACGGTAGAAAGTTCTTCGTCTGTATCCTCAACTCAGAGGAGCTAAGTAAAACAACGTCTCAATAGTTACAGTTTTCAACACCGAACGTACGTCCCTTCACATGTTTTATTATGAACGTGATTTAGAGCAAGTGAACTGGGAGAATGACAAGAACGTGACACCTCTCCTGTAAGACGTTCTTCACTCTGTAATTCCCACCCATAAACAATACCGAGAACCAATCGCATCGAATCTTCCAGCTAATGATTATGCAAATTAGCAGTTTTCTCAAGGACATCTAGAATTACGGCACGGAAACTCATCTGTCATATGATATATTATTCGAGAGTTATAAATAGTATCTTACTGCTCATTAGCAATTAAATACATATTACAGAGACATAATTTCCTTCCTGCAGAGTGGTGCAGGTTTCACATTACGTATGTCATTATTATTATTTAAAAAAATCACCTCACTTGAATTAGGAACCAGGGATTATTAATCACAGTTACATTATGTAATACTAGTTAGGGGAATTACATCGGACAAATTTCACAATGTTTCATTGTAATGAATCATAAAATAGGTCTTTTCAAGTCCATTTTCTTTTCTTTATGCACATTTATTTACTTCTACGTTGCGGTGGAATATGATTTCAGGAAAACAGTAGTTTTCTGACTTTTCTAAAAAATAGTTTATCACAGCTGTAAGGGTATTCACCATAATTATTCTTTTAATAAGCGTTTATGTCTCTTGTTTGAGTCAACTAAAGAGGTAATCCCACTTGTAGAAGAATTTATCATAATCACAGTAATTGTTTATCATAACAATTTGCACAAATCATATTATTCTTAACATTCTTTTTCTTCATCATAAATCATTATAGCGAAAGAAGAAGTTATACCAATGAGATGATTCGACACTTTCTTGCGAGATGTCGAAAACACATGCGAAACTAAAAAATCGTTTGCAAATTTGAAGGCTACCACAAATATGTGTGTGAAGGTAGGAGGTGGGGGTGGTGGGAGTTGGTTTCCATGTGAGAGAGAGAGAGAGAGAGAGAGAGAGACCAAGAACAAAACAAACCAGGGGAAGGTGGGGGGGGGGGGGTCTTCAAATTCGGCGTCAGCGGGCTTTTAGGGGTGCTGGAACCGGAAATAAACGACCCAATTATTGGACAATCATTATATTTCACATTCCCTTCTCATTTCCTTTTCTCCTGAAACTTTTTTTTCACTCTCTCTCTCTCTTTCTCAAGTTCTTCCCCCTCTCCTCTCTTGATTATTCCTGCTTTTTTTTCACTCTCTCTCTCTCTCTTTCTCTCTCCTCTCTCTCTCTCTCTGCATCCCTACTTATATCCACTCTTGTTGTATTACCGATTGAAAATGGCAGCTGGTGGGCGTTTCACAAGACAGGTTTTGTTATAAGATACTGAAATCCTTGCTTCCGATTGGTTATCAGCAGATTTGTCACTGATTTTTGTCATTTGTCATTGAAAAAAGGCTTTGTGAAACGCCCCCAGGAGTGTGACGAAGCACAAAGTACCGTGTGATCTGAACTCATGAATAAACTTAGGAGAAAGACACCGAAGATGGGAGGTAAGTAAAGGAGGTGGTTGTGATTTCAGTTCAACTCAGTTTCAGTTTAGTTTCTTTTATTTTACATGAACAAAAATACATTAACAAAACATAGCATATTCAACAAATTGATATTCATGAACACTATAAAGACATTTACACAGCATAAGTTTATATTGCATTTACACGAGATTATTTCAAAATTACATGTGAAAAAGAAACGTCAAAAGCATAGCTTGTAGAGTTTAATTTAAGCTCCTCGAAATCATTTCGACACAGTGTCATTCAAAATCAGGTAGAAGTATAATGATTTCAGAAGAAATATCGAAAAGCAAGTATCACGTAAAGCAAAGTATACATACATAAACAATGAAATGATATAGATGATGGATGTAAGGAAAAAGAGAAGTAGGATGAAAAGGTAAAGATTGGGAGTCAGAAGAAGAATGAGTGAATAAATGAGGAAGTTTTAAAATGGAATTTTCAAGGTCGGGAGCCACAGTCGGGGGAAAAAAGAATAATAGTGCTTTACGCGTTCAAATTCAGGAATAGCAATTAAAAAATATTTAAAAATCTGACACACCTTTTAAGCTGTTTGAGTGGTTTGAGTGTTTAGTTGATGATGGTGATGGTGGTGACGATGGTGGATGTAATGGTGTTAAGGAGGTTGGTGTTGATGGTATCATGGTAAAGAACATTTTCAAACGTAAAATGCATTATACAAGAACTGACCTATTGTTCAGTATTATCACTGTTCATATTTTTTGAAGCAGTTATAAATGCGTGACAGGATTGATAATGCCCCACATTGTTTTCAACAGGTGTTGTTCCAGGAGTTCAACCGACACTGGGAATGATTTGTCGAGGTCTCTCTTCCTTTAAAACAACTTATTAATCTACCATCTTCTAAAACAAGGTGCACATTTAAACAGCTTTATGCATGATTCATAACTCAGTTACCTAATGAACAAACTTTAAATCTAATAACCGTCCTTTCTGTGTTTCTGTGCGATTGGCAATATCTTCCGTTGAACTTTTTGATTATTATTATTTTGTACAGAACCATTTATCAACAATTTGGGGGACCTTTTTCATGATCCATCCACTTCCTCCAAAATTATGGGATCAACTAGCACGTATCACATGCGACGTATTTGTCTCTGACTGATGCGTGTGTCACACCCCTTGAATATTGGAGGCCTATCGAAGACCACGCCCCTATCCCTACCACTAAACAATCACTTTCTTTTTCTTTTTCTAATGTATATATATGTATTTCAATGTATTTCTTTGCCTATGTCTTACAACAATGTATAATGTCATTTTTACTGTGATTGGAATCAAATAAAGTTCAATTCATTTCAATTCAACTTTACAAACCAACCTACGTGCACAATGGAACTACTATTACCTTCACGACTTCTACTACTACTATTACATCTATACTACTACACTTACTACTTTTACTATAAATAACAGGATATGTTTATAGAGCTAATATTCACCAGCAAAGTGCTCAAAAGCGGTTGACCATAACCCCGGTCCGAGCTAGACTATCGACGACTGACGTGTTCACAGCATTCAAGGAAATCCGTCCTACCGATAGATATACCTATTTAACGAATGGGTGCAGAGTTCATCGGTCGATTAATGTCTTTCTATAGAAACTAGTGTCACGCCGGAACTCGAACCCTTGACCATCGCACTTCCAGTCAAGCATTTAAAAATCTGGATAGCGACACATCTAGGCTCTCCTATGATATGTATGATTGCAGTCCGCCGGCGGATAGTTCCACCTTGTGTGCTCCTGGTCGTTTTCACCCATATGTCCCAAATAAAACCCTATAGCACTGAAGATAAGTGTAGGGGTAAGATCACCGGAGCGATCTACATTGATCTCATGTAGGTATCTATTGATGGCTGTCCAGTAAGTTTCGTGGACGTGCTGTCGATGCTTTGCGATTTCGTACCTGAATCGCTTCCAAACGTGCTCCAGGTTTAGCCCACCAATCGCAACGCACGGGACGACGAAGAACATGATTTTCTGTGAGCCGATCAAGACATTGAGGAAAAGTAATTTGGGGAGGTTCCGAACGTCAATATTTTTATCACTAAAAACGAGATAATTCCAAAGAATATGAGCGGTCAGTCCCCAAGTCGCAACAACCATGGTGAAAGCCATCCATCTCCTGATGGGTCGACGTAGTACGTTGTACTGCGCGTAAAGTCGGGATATTCTTCTGTACACTCGATCGATATTTTTAACCGATGCCTGTTTGCGGGCGAAAGCAGAAATATGACGGACTTCGCATTCAAACGAAATACGTTCGATATAGATGAGATAACAAAAACAACCATAAAAGATATAGCCAAGAAAAGCACACCAGTGTGTTATTTCTTTATATGTTGTTAGGGTAGAACAAGATTGAAAATAGTAGTCATTGACAAAGCGAAGCATAGCATTTGTTACTGGCCATGCAAGAAAGAAAATCAGCCGAAACCAGGATAGACCTTTGGCGCCAAAACGTGAATTCCTCAGAATCGCTACGCGTGTCGAAAGAAAGGATCGGCAAAGTGGATATCCTTCTCGATAACGGCGACCAAGGGTGAGGTAGAGAATTCGCGCGTAGAAACACCAGAAAGGTATGACCATGATTTGAAAGAGGTACGTAAAGTATGCAACCAGATGAAGAAATTCTTCTTTCTTGCCCCAGTAGAACTTCATGTAGCTCTGAAAATCATACGTCATCAGGCAGCACGGTAAAAGGAGGTACAAGAAGGCGCAAATGTTAAAGGTTTTCACCCAACCTGTAAAAGAAAATAATCAAATGAATACGATTAAGATGATTTTTTCTTCTTCTTACAATACCTAGCATGGTATCTGAAACAAGAAAACGTTTCTTTACTGGGATTCTTGCAAAAATATGCAACCTACTCACTTGGGAGTTTAACTAAAAGAACTATAGAAAAACTGGTCTGGTAAGATTAAGTTAGGGCACGTCTTGATGTGATAGTCCATTTACATCACGTTACTTCTCTCAGTCTAAGTCATAGCATGTTAAGATTGAGCCGCTTATAAAGCTAGCGATAATCTAATTAATGGGAAGAAGAAAAATCAGTTTTCTAGTGCCGTTTCAAGAATTTAGGGAATGGTGGGGTCTACTTAAGATGCCCCAAAACAGCCCTGGCGCCGAAATCATGCCAATGCTATGGGGCTTAGATAGTGGTTTAATGATTGAGCCATTGAAATGAAAATTCTTTTTTTCAAATCCAATTTTAAAAACTTGCATTAAGAGTGTAGGATCGATAAGCATTTTCGTTAAATAATATTGCTCGATAATGGAAAACGGAGAGCACTCCAGCAAGTTACCGAGCCATCGTCTCCCTCTCATCATTTAAATTATCATGATAAAGAAATATGGAATAGGCCTTCTTTGTAATGGGTCAATTCCATGGATAAAATTTACGCTTATATAAAGTGAAGTGAAGTTTTTATTTTTATTAGAAGCGTGATATCTTGTGACTTTCCCAAAGATGAAGGGCGTACTGGCTATAACCAGAGAGCTCCTCCGATATAATATGTCCAGCGACTATCAATCTTTATTTCGTCAAAGATATAAATCATGATTGTATTAGGGATTTAGGGTTCCTTAACTCGGGTTTTAGGTTAGGGGTTGAGTTCGATGCACGGTTGAAGTTAGGCATGGGATTAGAGCACGTTATTAG